CACCCTACTGCGGCCGTTTAGGGGAATATAGGAGAAAAACTTAAATCTCTCTGGATTTGTGCGTGCACTTTTGTGTGCGCTGGTGCCTACAGGGCACCAGCGTGCATACAAAATAGGCAAGCAATTTTTTTTTTTTGTTTTGAAAAGGTAAGTTGTAAGGTTATTAGAACACCTGCACCAACAAGTGAGAAACTTTTAAATTCTAAATGAGCCATGGAAAAAAACAGAAATGTTTACTTGTCAAATTACCTCTCAACCCTGCACAGCGGCTGCCTACTCAGTGGTTTTTCTTGCATCAAATGGCCCATTTCAGTTTCATAGCTTTTGGAAGCACAGCGCGTCCAAGTATACTCAGAATTCCAGCGATATTAGCCTAGTTTCGGTTTCTAAATTTGGCTCCTTCCGATTAAAAACCAAACACAAAAACCTCAGCAGGTCCTCATGGGATGTCTCTTATTAAGTAGCTCTTATTTCAGAAGCTCTGAATGCTAATCCAGATTTTATCACGATAACAATATAGTCGAATAAGAAGCGATAGAAAGCAGAACGTATATGTTCATATCAGCACCTCGCTCGTTGATCGCTTTCATTTTCCTCATTCAATGCAAGGCCAAACACGGGTAGGTATTGCAGCAGATGATAGCGCATATAGTCGGTATCAAATGTACTTTCATAGATCGACCATCTGTAAGAACTGGGCCAGAATATTGCCAGCAGCAGCCGATGGAACTTTCGCGAGCACATTTGCGTTGTATGCGGACTAAATCGTAATTTTAAATGGGAAATCAAACGCATATTTGACTAAACGCGTGACGTTACGTGTCCTGAAGTGGTCACACTCTATTTCACAGGTGAGAATGCTCACTAGCTGCGTAGAGAGCTCACAAACGGCTGCATAAGCCCTCTTCCACATAGACTCGGCGGGCGAAGAAGGCGGCAATATGGCGACTCCGCTAGCAGACGACAGAGTTGTCTCCACTCTGGTACGGCGGGAGCCAGCAACATTGAGGCACTCTACGCTACTCTGCTCCGAAGGAGCTATATAGTGCTCTACCGCGTCCGTCCGACTCCGGATGGATGGATGGATGGATGGATGAATACGGCTGAGCCCTTTGGATCGGGCGGTAGCTTACGCCACCTAGCCATTTTGTTTTACCATGTAAGCTTAGAATATTTAAATGTGAAATCTATATTCACTCCGCAGTGCAAAGAAAGTGAGGCTATGAAACCCCCTTGCCATCAGTGAATAAGAAAATACCTAGTTTTCTCTCGATTTCTGCCACCATTCACTTAATCTTTGCTTGGTAATCTCCACAGTCTTGAAATCCACTCTCCCTTCGCTGTCTCTAAAACCCAATGACTTTATTAAATCTATGTTGTCTTCGGTAGGCATAGGGTGAAGCCCTTTACAGTAGAGTATCAAGTGCTCAGCCGTCTCGTCCTCCTCTCCACAAGCAATGCACACTGTATCAATTTCCGGCGTCAGCATAGGCAGCGCCATCTGTCGACAGCGCGTACCACTAATCCACACCCGCGTGCCACGGCGGCCGGCTAGCTCTGATTAGTCAAAAGATAAATTTATTTATTAAAAGAAAAAAAAAAATAATGTAGGTATTTAAATAAATGTTTTAATATATTTTAATAATGCACTAAATGTTCATTTAGGTGAACACATTTTGTCACTAATTATATTTTCCAATTAAAAATTATTTAGTTAATTAAAATTTTTATATTATTTTTATAAATATATAAATGTACCCCAGTAATTAAAATTCCCTATTTCTATAAATCTAAAAATGTTAGTGTTTTTAGTTTTCTTCATTAGCAAAGGTCAATACACCCCCAACTTGTCCAAATTGTTGCCCAGTGTGAACTGGGAACGGGAAAGGCATTTGAAGTCCGACCGGTCCGACTGGGAATCGCTCCAACCAGTTACTTTCCTAACTGGTTCCAGTGCACTCCATTCCCAACTGGGAGTCAAACCAGTTGTCTCCCAACTGGGAATGGTTGAAACCAGTTGACCCCTCAGCTGGCCCCGGGACCAGTTAGTCCCAGTTGATTCCCAGTTGGGATCAGTTAGTCCCAGTTGAAACCAGTTGAGGTGCCAACTGGTCCCAGTTAGAAATTTTCGCCTGGGAAGATAGACAATCCGTGGATGTCCTATACAGTGCTGTATTTTAAAATAATATAGAGGATTTTACGTTTGTCAGTCAATATAAAGCAACAAAAAACAACTCATAAAGTGTACAGATTTAAAAAAGAAAAACAATTACGTAAAAAAATCGCCGTTTTTTTTTATATTTTGGAGATATGTACGGAACGACAATAGTTTTGACATAATAAAGGAACATTTTACAATAATTTGCGCAGTTGAACGTAAGAACGTAAATGATTTAAAAAATTGCCTGACCGGCATCATGCAGCAGACGACGCAGCGACGTCACACTATTCACATTAACTCCGGCTGGCTCCGGCCAACCCAAAAGACCATCTCCGCTGCGTAAAAAAATTGTCTGCTTCAAGCACCATTGCCTTGGAAATTGCCTTCTCAAAATTTTCACATGCATCCAATATTATGAAAACTTTGATCAAATGTTTAGTGCTTTACCAACTCCACGACAGACTAGTTTCGAAAAGTGTGAACTCACCATTCCATTTTTCTAATTCCTAAACGTGAAAAAATGGCCACTGACAGCCACATTGTGTTACTAAAAAAAAGAATTAGCATAAAGCTGCTAACGTTATGAAACGCGGAGACAACTGCAAAAGTATGCTCAAAGCACTTATTCTGCTAAGCCGAAGGGTGGTCACACAAAGCGCTTCGTGGCAACCTCTTGTCACTGCAGACATATCAATCATAGCAAACATAAAAGTTTTTGTTGTGAGGCAGGTTCTATATAACATAGGGCGCTACAGTCCCTTGCACCTTGTCAGCGGTTTTCTGGTCTTGCCGCAATACATGGAGATTTGGGGCAGGTATATGCGGCATCCCTTCTCGTACGAAAATGTCAGATACAGGCCGGAATGAAAAATGCCAGTTCCACCTGGATCTGAAATTGGGGCACCAGTTTATATCCCGCCTGGAACCACGCAGTTCCAGACGGGATACAAACTGGTGCCCCATATTTCAGATCCAGGTGGAACCGGCTGGTTCCAGTGGGTCTGCAGAGCTGCTAGTATTGCGCGATACCAACCGAGATACAAACCGGTGCCCCAATTTCAGACCCAGGCGGCACACACAGTAGTTCAGGCATCGTCACCAAACACGATACGCAGAACACACACACAGCACGCACAGGCACAGTATCCAGTGCTGAACGCATCGGGAAGTTCCAGCGGGCAAGCGGTATCCGAGTTGTCCAAGTATTGTCACCAAGCATGCCAGCGCCAAGTGCATCGAGATGCTGAACCAAAATGCAATGGGTCGGCAGCTTTCTAGTGAGGCCAGTGAGGCTTCGAACACTGCAACAGCCCCAGCTTTTCTTGGCAATGCAGTGGAAGGTACACGCCCGCGTCCCCTCTGCCATTTTGAGTGTGCGCGGGCTCTCCTCCTCTCCCCGGAAATGGGGGAGGAGCAGCGCCAAGCGCTTCCGTGGTCGGAGGCACTGTGGCCGGAGGCACTCATTACTGCAACCATAGAGTCATTACAATAGACGCTAGAGGCTCAGCTGGCGCTAGTGTGCTGTTGCAAATTGAAGCAGACAGCATGCAGTCAGAAATTGACTTCCGGTAATGCATTTCTATGGGAAAAAGCGAGTGCATTTTCTCTCTGCGCTCGATGATAAGAGCAAATATCACGAATAATTTGTACGTACTAGGCACATTGGAACATTTCTCAGTCACGCAGACGAAATAATTGCTGTAATTGACCAATTAATTGGTCAATTACAGCATTTTTATTTGAAATTCGCGGCATTAAAAACGGTGTTAAAACCGCTTCGTATGTGTATTTATGTGCACTGTCGGACACTGTTAGCGCGAACACGGCGTCGACGCTTTCCAGCATGGGGGATATACGTGCCAAACGAACGAACGACATGTGGAAAACCAAGAGAGACGGCAAGAACTACGCAGTAACACAGGGTAAGTAACTCCCTGTGCTTGCAGACGATCAAAATAAGTTGAAAGTCACGTAATATAGTCCGATTTGCAATAAATAAGTACTGCTTTATTCTTTCTGCTCATGAATATGTGCGAAGATGCTTGTTCTGTGTTCAAATCATCACCCGCACGCTCCAAATCTTTGCGCGATAAAAACTGACCAACATAGGAAATAATAAGAAAACACACCTTTCGTAGCCCACGTACTTTATTCTTTACGTTTCGAACGTTTTTTTTTTAACCGCTCGTAGAGATGCACGACGGGGTCATTTTTATATAGTGAGAGGACAGGCATATTAGCAATATATAAGCACCAACGGAATGCTGGCGAACTTTGAACATACTCTACATTCCTTTCGATCGTTATTTTGCTTAGAATCGTCGCTCGTTTCTACATATCTGCCATGGAACAGAGGTTTGGGCCTGAAATATAGCGAAGTTTAACATCGTTCAGTGGTAAAGGAAAAATGCTGTAACTAAAGCAATTGAACTTTCACAATACTAATTAAGGTACATACTACCCGGTACAACCGAAATAACAAAAGTTATTAATGTTATTTTTCGGCGACGAGACAGGATTCACGCACGTTTTCCCATAGGAATACACAGGAAGACTGGAAAAGTAGACTGCAAGCTGTCTGCTTCAATTTGCAACCGGAAGTCCCATAGACACTAGCGCCAGCTGAGCCTCTAGCGTTTATTGTAATAACTCTATGACTGCAACAAATTGGCCACTTATTGCTTTATCGATAGATTGCGATACTAAAATAAGAAACAAAATCATGTTCATAAAATGGAGCACTAACGTTTTAATTATAACTTTTGACCCCGTCGAGCTAGGTTGAGCGGCTTCCTAGCCGTTCGCGAAGACGAAGCCGCTCAAAATCTAACATGGCGCAGGCCCTCTGCCGTGTCCTGCCGCTGCTCCCTACCGCGGTCGCCGCGGTACCGTCGGTGGCCTCGCCGGCCTAGCGCTCGCGCAGTGCGAGACGTCTACCGAGTAGCGTGCCATGTCGGATGCTACGCCAGGGCCTCTTAGTTTTTGTGGTCGACCTGCTGGCCGACCTAAGAAGTACGCGACGCCAGAGGAAGCTAGAGAAGCACGGAATGCAGCTCGCCGAGCCAAAGCCCGAGAACGAGGTGTGCCGCCACGGGTTCCGTCATCGCCGACTAGGCGAAGGCAGCAAAAAGCCGAATCCAAGCGCCGAAGACGCGAGTCTGATCCTCGTGTACTAGCTAAAGATGCCGAAGCTAAACGTCTTAAGCGAGCTGCAGTTTTTCCGTTCGCCTATATGCGCAGGTTCGTGTCTACATCTGTAGATTGGGTGCCGTCGGGACATCATTGCGCGGTTCTAGGTTGTACGAACAACTACCGGAAGCGTCAAATAGCATGCAACGTGCCCTGCAGCGCGCACAAAAGCCTGCAAGGCGAGTGCGGGTGCAATGTTTTTAAGCTTCATCGCTTTCCGAATGACAAGGAACTCCGGCGTCAGTGGGTCGCGGCGGTCAATCGGAAAGACTTTTGCCCATCGCCGTTCTCCCGAGTGTGCTCGCGGCATTTCACGCATGGAGTGCGCACCGAGAACTCGGTCCCGACTGTCAACATGGGCTACACTCGCAAGGTGCGTACATGTTTCTTCGTTGGCATGGGCTCGCAACTTATTGCGTAAGAAGACGCCTTGAGATTTCGGTTGCACGCCAAAAGATCCTTAGTAGGTGCAAATTGACCCTCAGACCTCCTTTGGGGCGTGCCAGGTGACCGTCATTGGTTTGGCACGTAAAACCCCAAAATTTTACTTTCGTGGGAATGGCGCTGCCTTGCACGTGACGTCATGCTAAGGAAGGATGAACGTTTAGCCCACTTGTGGCACTCCGCGAAGTGGGGTTTGGCCCTTTCCCCCCCACCCTCTCTTCCTTCCTTGAGACAAGTCAAGTCGGTTACAATCTGCTCATTGCAGTATGGGCATGTTGTCTGTGTAGGAATGAAGTTGGGATTTTTACATAAACTTGCGGCTTCTGTTCATTTCCTCTTTTAGGACAGTGTGACGGCACTTTCCGTCCTGAGTCTCCGTAAGGGGTACCGTTAGCATCTTCTGAAGCTTCTGAAGCTTCTGGGAATAGGGTTTTCTTCTCCCTTGTGTCGGTCCATTTTTTGTTCCTCGAAATGGAGTCGTACGGTGTGGTGGTCCGAGTCCCCGGTCCATCGGCGCAGGGACCGAGATGCTTACGCACGTCGGCGCTGCGAAGGAGGAGACGGTTGTACGCTCTCGCAGCACCGTTGGCAATCTCGTTGCCCCCGATTCTCTCGTGTCCGGGGGCCCGTCCGTTTAACTGCTTTTGGTCTTCATTGTTCCAGTATGTTTTTAATAGACCCTTTTCAAAAATCCGTGCCATCGTCTGCCCACCATTGCATGATCACATACTCTCGTTATGCATTAAACAGAGGGGCTCGTCGCTGTTCGGTGTGAACTCTGTTCAGCTCGTATTGAAAACGGGTGCTGTGACATCGTTCGGCAAGGACCCTGATCTAATCCTACGCTTCGTGCCCAAAAATGGAGACCATCGATGTTCCTTAGACTTTTGGGAAAGGGGTATATTGTAGGGCTGATTTCATGGTGCATTTGGTGGCCTTCCTTGCTTCTTGCGAGATGTGAAGGTTGCTACTGTTGAATTTGGCGGTGTGTCTTCCATTATGTCCTATAATGCTGCGTGGACGGCCTTTACTTCTGCTGGTCTGCAGCGTTCGATGCACGTTGCTTTAGATCCGTCGTTTACGACGCACCATGCAACCGTGTACGTACTTCTCGTAGACAGTGCAACGGATGACGGAGTTCGAATTCTCTCGCACCGTTTCCACTTCTCGCTTCTGTCTCTTCACATACTTTGTTGTTTGGCCCTTACGTTGCAGACTTGCGTTTTTCGGGAGCGGAAATCGTTCTCACAGTGGGATCTTGTCCCCCATTGCCGTCGCCTCTTGCACAACTATGTCGTTTATGGTGAGACACACAAACACTCCTGCTTCCCTCTTTCACTCTTCCTTCCTCCCTCGCCACCCCCCTGCACAAAAGCAGCCATGAAGCTGCAGTCGCTGCCACTTTTGGTGTTCTGAGGTTCTCCAACGCGCCTACAAGAAAAAGTGCATCTCGAGCAATGATATCTACAACTATACTACTAAAGACGAAGCTTGCAAAGCAAATAGCCTAAAAGACGTCAGCTAAGAGTATATATTCTAAAGCACATCTTGCGACCATGCAACAGCTGCCGCTGTTGACTGTTGATCGCAGTCCACTTTCTGTAATCATCTGCAATTTTTTTATTTTATTTTTTTCAGGAACATTTTGGTCCGGAACAGTTCCAGATGGCCCCAAGGAGGACTGGCAAGGAAAAGGAGAAGAATGCCAATGGTATATGGACCCTCTTCTCTCACCGGCTGCTTTGTGGTTCGAGGCTTGCGAGAGAAAGTTCCCGTTCTGGAATGTCTGGCGCATGCTGAAGTCGAGCCTTTTAAGGATTCATGTGACATCTTCGTGTGTAGTGCACGGAAGCCTGTGCGCCGAGAAACTGGGGGAGAGGAGGAGACAAGAGCATGTGGGGACTTCGGATTGCCGAGCTCTGGTCAGAATGATTAGTGGGTAGGTATAAAGCTAGCTGTCTGTCTCCACAGCTCTCGTCTAACGCATTAGAATGCCAGCACCCAGCATTCATTCTTGGATCCGACGAGGGCAGTGGAGACAAAAGCAGCTAGGTTTGGGTATACCCACTAACCATTAAAAGCGGAGCTCTGCATTCTGACGTCCCCGTACGCTCTTGTCTGCTCCTCTCTCTGTTTCTCGGCGCACAAGTCTGATCACACTGACATCCGACAACAAAAACGGTAGATCGACGTTGTGGGAATACCTCCTGTTCTGACTGAACTAAACATCAGATATTTGCCCTTCGTCTGCATGTCCCTCCACTTTGGAGGGACATGCAGACGGAGGCATGCCTCCACTGCATGTCCCCACTGGACATGCAGTGGAGGCATGGTGTTACCATGCCTCCACTTCGGAGGCATGGTAACGCCATTTGTGCGACGCAGATTCCGAATCGTCGGCATTACACAGAAGGGACTGTACGGCGCTCTTTTCAAATACAATGAAAAGAAGGGTGGGGATGTGAGACGTAAACGTCCGGCAAGTGCTTTGCAGTCTACCAAAGCTGAGGCCAAATCTACAGAATGCAAGCGCACACTTTGTTGCGTTAGCAAGTCGCAGCAAGACGCGTCGACTTCGGGGGCAGTTCCACGTCCGTCGGAGCATGCCGTGGCCGACGTTCACCCAAAGCGCTGTAAAAACTAACCGTTAGGAAGTGTGTTCAATGTCTCTGTAGACCGGGGTTTGAGAGTGATTTGGTTTGTGTGCAAAACGATTGGAAAGTGCTGGTCAAACAAATCTGCACAACTGATAACCTAGACTCCTTCAAACTTTGCTTCCAATGTAAGGCGTCTCTAATAGCCGATTCACACGACGGACCGAATCGCGAATTTGTCCACGAACCGTGTACCATGTGACCGGCACGTCACCGATTCCTGCGATCCGCACCTCAGACGCCGGACTGATAAAGTCGAGCGCCTTTTCACTCACGGGTTTTTGGCGGGAGATTGACTTGAAAAGTGTTTAGTCTGGCAACGGTACAACGTTTTCTTAGTTTTTTTTTGTTTTCAGACGATTTAAACAAAAATGGCACATCATTGTGTTTTGTGCATTTGCTGGTTCATTTTTGTTGCCTGATTCTTGGTTTCACACGTGAAAGACAATATAGAAACTTTGCCCGGCTGACGCGACGCAGGTTCCGGTACTCCCCCGGGTCCGTGTCAAAAAGCTCCCGTCAAAACTCGTCTAGCACGCCGCGATAATTCTTGCACGTCCAATCAGGCTTTCACCGAGGAAGACATTTTTTGGGGCTTTGGTGTACTTGAGTGGTTGAAGGCACCTCCAAACGCCCCTCTGCGAGCCCAGAACGTTGTCGCTTCTACGTTGAACCCTTCTCGGGCAGGGCCACGCCTGTGTCACTGTCATGCCTTGGGTTAGTAAAGCTAGTGGAGCTTCGCACGAAACCTATCACTGTTTTTGTCTCGCTCTGTACGTAACAGCAGCATACGATTCTTTATAGCGGTAGCGAACATTAATTTTTCTCTTGAACAACTGTGCCACGGTGCAAAGTTAGTGTTTCGCGGCACTGTGGGGTGGCGAGCAGGTTCGGTCCATCCTCACTGGCGTCTGCTCATCGTCTCTCTCGTGTGGATGCGCTTGGAAGACAGACAAACCGCGGACATGTCGTCACGTGATCAATTTGTCCGCGGATCGGTCCGTCATGTGAATCGGGCATGAAGGAAACCGAGCACATTTACGGTTAGTACTTGGAGACAAGCTTTTGTAATTGCATTCAATATGTATATTTGTTTATTTTCTTTGACTGGTGATCTCATTTTATTTGTTTGACTCTTTAATCGTGTTTAATGTGTTCGTAAATTAATTCGAAGCTCTGCGCACGTCATTCGTGTGAGATGGTCACTTCGCTTGTCGACAGCTCTGGTGGTAGTGGCAATCGAAGTGCCAGCCTTTCCAATTCAAACTTTTAATGCTTCTCAGAATTCAATTCGGAGAACGAGAGCTTACATCCGACGGAGGAGCTCTGTAAAGTACCGCCGGTTTGGAATCCGAAATCGCCGGAATGTCGTGGAAGTGGCTGCGGTAAAGTGAAACCGTATGAATGAAAGGTGACAACTAGATCCACTAAATAAACTACGCTTCAGATTAACGACACTTGAGCCATCTTGTGGCTTAAAATCGTGGTGGCCAGTTATCTGAAGCTTTATCCAAAATCGCAGGAAATGCTTTTCCATTCTCCAGAAATGTTAAAACAGTTTGCAACAGAGCAATACGATATCACCTCAGCTTCCTAACGCCGTATCTAAAGCTGAGGAAGTCTAATTTTTTTTAAATTGTGATGATCGACAGTCGCGACTGCTCTGCTTTAGGCATCAAGATGGTGGCGCCCATTAGCACATCGGAAAACGGAGTGCCGATACTTTAAGCGTAGCTCGTTTTGTGACTCTAGTGACAACTTTTGCCTTCAATATTTTCATTCGATGCTTCTAAGTTTAAACAGTTCGGAAAGCACCGTATGTGCTTCCGCCAAATATTTAAAAAGGAACCCTTGCATTGACCACTTCTTTACGCCCTTCCTTTGGAAACAAAACCTAACCACTAGGAAACGTTTTTTGGCAAAATACTGTCGTCATAACCCTAGTTCATTTTTTTTTTTTGTTGTTGCTTTTTTGGCGTAATGTGAAATCAATGCATCATCAAACTGTTTTAAGGTAACTTTTTTTTTCTTTTTTAGAAAGGTTGTAATTGTAGGGTTATTCCTTGTTTTCATTAGCATTCCATTTTTTTTTTTGTCTCACTAATTTAAAACTTTTTTTGTTTCGTAACTTTCAAAATTTTGACATGGCTTTTGACTTTTCAGTTATAGCTTTGACTTTTCAGAATTTTTGACAAAATTCTGAAAAGAACTTGGGGAATTAGTGTTTTGGGGGCCGTCTGACAGGCAAGATGCATGCTGGTCTTAGCAGCAACTTGTTTACTATTTCTTTATATTACATTGATACATTTTTTTTTCATGCGTCATTCATCATGTCTTGAATGTTCTGTCTCAGATGAGCAGGATGACTCTGAAGTTCAAGAAAGCGAAGCCATACTGCCAGACGATGGACCAGGTGAGTTTTAGCTTTTACGTCTTTGGCCCTTGTGGACGATGGTTTAAGAGGTTAGCGTTATTGGTTATTGAAGTTTCTGTGCCTTGTACGCTAGAAGACTATCTTTTATCTTCATGCCGAGCTTTAAGCTTTTGAAAATACCCGTAAATTCATTAGCACGTTAGTGGCAACGTGATCATTTCATTAATAATGATAGCAGTTCAGTTTATTATTCCTGAAAGACACATGGGGTATCTAAGGAACCTAACCTTTTGATTAATAAAAAGACATTCTTGAGGTGTGCTATGCAAAGACAGCTGAATTTCATTGATAAGGGTGGCAGGCAGTGTTGGGAAGTACTTTAAGTACATTGCACTTAAAGGAGCTGTGCAACAATTTCAGTGCTTTGTTTAAATAATTTGGGAGTTGTTTGTGGTGTTGAACATGTAAACCAGATGGCGCCACATCCCTACTCTCCGGTATGCGTTGGTAAAGAGCCCCAAAGGCAGCGGGCGACATGGGGCAGAGATGAATGGCGTGCGTAGAAGACGGACATACGAGGCTTACGTTATGGGAAATAAAGTTAATCAGTTTGGTTCGTAACCTGGTTGTCTCCCTCGGCGTTAAGAAGAGACACTACAAGTCTGGCGACGAGCATGGGATGCCGCGGAAGACCGCAAGAGGGTTCAGCTCGACGGAACGCCTAGAGAAGACGCCAAAAGAGACCCGGGAGCAAGACCACAAAACCACGCCGTTCGAGAGCTGAACATAGGAGCCGCCCTAGAACCAAGTAAGCAGTGGTCATGGACCTTAGCGTCCCGAGCATTCCTCCGTTTGATCCACATGCTGATCCAGCTTCTGTGTCTCAGCGCTGGATGCGATGGCATGCAAGATTCGCGAATTATCTCATCGCCTCCCACGTCACGGACGACCAAAGAAAGCGAGCACTGTTGCTGCACCTTGCGGGAGAAGCCGTTCACAATGTTTTCATCACACTCCCGAACACGGGCACTAGTTACGAGACTGCGGTCGAGAAACTGAAAGCTCACCTCGAGAAACAGAGGGAGCAGAAGAACGCTGCAACACAAGCGAAGAGGCAGGCAACGAAATCCACCATCGTCGTCAAGTCTCCGAATAGCCGGTGCAAGTATCCGAATACATGGCGGGCAGATCGAGCAGCGGCGCGACACACTAGAAGACAGAACGAAGCCTTCCGAAAGTATGAGGCGGAAGCGGATCACAAAAGAATGCGTCTCAAGGGGCAAGAAGCATCTAGTATATCGTTGGCGGCCGCCACCTCGGCAGTTGCGAGACGTGGCCGTCCACGCCAGCACTCAGCGGTGTTCAATTGGACATTAATGCTTTCTCATTCACAACTCATGAGAAGTGGTTAGGTGTCCTCTTCAGTTTTTAGTTTGTTGGACACTCTGATTTCTTTGAATTTTCGCTCTTCTGAAATTTTAGGTGTGAAATGAATGCATGATCAAACTTTGTCTCAGAGTCACAATACGTTTGTTTCTGATCCAAGGTGGCAACAGTATTGACGATATTTACCATATGTTTTTTAACATAGTTTCACGGCTTCATCTTTAGACCGCCAGGCGCTCTGAATATAATTCACTCGAGAAGGCTGTTAAACAAACCTGCCACCCCAGCTTTCTGTTCTAGCTGTTAAGTGTCATCAATTTCGCCGGTGTAGCCGTTTTCTACTAATTTTTTGTTGCCATTAGCAGTTTCCATTTTTGGTTACGTTAATGTCATCTTTTTTTTTTTTTTTTCTTGTAACTTTTGAAATTTAGTTGCAAACACTTTGAAAAAAAAAAAAAAAACTAACGAAATGACTATTTCAGGTGCTCTCTGACAGTCTGATTATCTGCTGGTCTGAATAATAGCTTGGTGACAATTTCTTTATATTTTGTTTTCTTGCATCATAAATTATATTTTTTATGTTTTGTCTCAGATGTGCAGAGCGATTCTGACACCCAAGAAAGCAAATCCATACTGCCGGACGATGGACCAGGTGAGTTTGTGTGCTTGTCTTTGACCCATGTGGGCGATAGTTTTAATGGATTGGCATTATTGGTTGTTGGAAGTTCTGTGACTTAAACAGTAAATGATTATGTCTACTTGTCTTTATGCAGAGCTTTACGCTTCTGGAAAATACCTGTAAATGCATTAGGACATTAGTGTGGGATCATTTCTTTGATAATTGCAGCCAAGCACTTTTAAGCTGTGAATTGGGCATTAATAGCACCTTAATTATAGCACATCACTTTGTGGTAATTAAAGCCTCCTGCCATCTTTTTTTGCAGGGTGGGGCAGTTCCAGTGACAACAGTTTGATGCAAGCTGTTACCATCAAGACAGGTTCGTTGCTGCACAAGTAGTTTTCGCATTACGTAGCGGCTCATTTCGGGTCGAAACGTAACATGAAAAGGGGCTGGCAACATTTGACGGTTGTATGACCGAACAGGCGACCTAAATGGCACGGGAACCAAATATCAAGCCGTTGCACCCTCATCGAAGCCACTGTTTATTGCTCCAGAGAAAAGCAGTAAAAAATAATTTTTCCAAGCTGCTCATCCTACAAAAAAAAGCAATCCGATGCATTGGCAAGTTAGATTTTTGCACTTGCAGAGATCTTTTTTCTTTACACTTGAATTCTTGCAATTCAACAACATAATAACTTACATCTGTATTCATTTACGTTGCAACAAAAAATCGCAAGTCGCTGTTTCTAGAAACGCACTCCACAAAAAACCGCTACATAAAGTATGCCGTCAAAAACCATTTTCAATCTAAATTTTTCACAAACCTCGCTTAATGTAGGAAAAGAGCTACATGTAGCTGACATTATCAGCAGCAGGCCACTTCTCGTTTTTCTAGCTTTTCTTCTGTACCTTTCAGCATAACCTAATATGTCCCTCGGCACTAAAACATGTCCATGGCTTCTCTGTTATGGCTGTTTAAGGGGGGAACACTGCTCCTAGAGCTTTTGTTTTTATGTAACTTGGGATTGAATACAAAATTAAAATTGTGCACCTTATCGGCCTTTACAATCTTTCTACATATATGTCCTGAACTCTTTTCTAACCATGGGAAAAGCAGTAATTTTCAAAGGATCCGTGCAACTGCTTATATTTTTCTAACTAATTTGCATATGCAGAAATATGACACATCAAAATGTGGCCAATTGTTCTTTCAAAAGAAGCACAGGTTGGTATAATGTGGGGAAAGAAATCTTAAAATGTAATGTTTTTAAGAATACAACGGAAGTGTGGAAGGCGCATAAGCGCCGAAACTTCTACAGCTATGTCAAATTAAACGACAAAAAAATTCTGAATATAAAAAATGTGCCCCACAAACACAGCTATTATTTCTCAAAGTTAGTGTACTCTAACCGACATTGTCTATTATTGATTCGTCGGAGAGTTAGCCTTCATAACACGTGTGCTTTTCTACGAAGGAATGGTTATATTGTTGAAACATATTACACCTCACATCCTCAGCAGAATGATTTCTTTGTGTTCTATTTTGGTTTTGTCATGGCCTTGATTGCTGAGTTCCTTCCTATTTAGCATTTTTGTCCACCTTGTTGGGAACATAAAACGTGCGCGCCGGCTCAGGACAGCATTGGAAATCATAGTGATGCTTACTGACAATAATCTGTTAAGTGAAGCCTATAACATCATTTAAAGTGTCGCCAGAGCTCTCGACGTCTAAAAAATATGCCACAATACAGTTGAATTATCTAAATGCCATCTTTCTTACGAAGACTGATGCAAGCAGTTAGCCTTGTTAGAGAAGTGGAACCACTTTTCTCAGGACTATTTTTGACAGCACACTAGCTTTCGATCAAGCTCAAACTTATATTGAAACCGAAACTACAGTATTTTGGCTATCCACATGATTGTGGAACATAGTTCTCCACACTAAATTTAATTTTTTGACGGCCCTTGGAAATTATTTATCACCGGTGATCGACGACCTATGAGTGCGATCAGGAAAGAGTTAATATTGGAAGTTTCATTTGCAAATATTATGGAAAGGATAAAGACAATTTAAAATGCTGAGATCAGAAAATAAACATAGCTCAGTAAACTGAAAGGTATGTGGATTCCTGTAAGGTTTAAATGGAAGCTCTCTGGGAATTTATATCAGGGAGTATAAAGGGCATCTAAAAAACACCTGAAGTTATGTTTAACATATTTATACCCCTTATTGGATAGCTGACACATGTACCTATTGGAGAAAGGAAGAGACTGGGACAATTGGATGCGTGCAAGTGGTGATATGGCTTCCATAAAAGAGCAGCGTGTGAATACCAGTTCATTCTGAAATAATAGCAAAAAAGCATGCACAGACCCATTTTACAATGTTTTCAAGTCAGTATTTTAGGATAACAGAGACTTGTTTCACAATAATACTTCAGGACAAGATGATAAGTGCCTGTCAATCTCCAAAAACAACTGCAAAAATATGTATTTTTTTATATTTTGTTTTAAAAAGCAGTGTAAAGCATCTATCTAGCCCCCTTCCTTCGTACCTTGGCGCAAGCCAAACATATAAAGCCAGGCCACGTTTTAGCATCCTCTAGTGTTGTTTTCATTGTGTATCAGCATAAGTTAAAATTTCACTACGCTGTGCTTCCACTTGCAGAACCACCAGATTATGTTGAACAGGACGAAGAGCCTAGCAGCCATCTTGTGTCTGTTAAGTCAGGTCTGTCATAGAATTAGCACCTCCATATTTTTTTTAAACATTAACTTTATTGAAAAGAATTTCAATCCCTTTTGTATTTGCAGAGCCAGAATGTTACGAGGAAGTTCGGGAACCTAACAGCCTAGTGCCAGCTCTTACAAAAGGTATGTTGCCGATAGCACTTATTTTTATAGCTGTTAACATTTCTGAACATTTTCTCACAACTTTTTTTCTTTCTGTCTGCTCAATCGCCAGATTACACGAACGTGACAAAGGTCACGTTCCACTTAGATGCAGGTGCGTGCTCTATTAAACTGTCAATTTCGGCGTTCATTCGCCGGCAGCCCGTTGAATTCGACCACATTCTTTGCAGAGCCACAGGTTTCCGAAGACGCTCAACGACGCTGCAACAGGGCAGTGGATGTCAAGATGGGTCTGTTGTCTTCGTGGCATTTTATGGCTAGGTGCCATTCTAAATGTTGGAATCACTTGCGTGTGCAGAGCCGCCAGATCCGACAGAACTCCACACCAAGGCAGCTTCCACGGGGACTGGTATGTAGCCATGCTATTGTTCTTTCCGTTTAATTTTTTAATTATTTTTTAATGCAGAATGTGTTTTTTAGTTGATTTCTATATAGAGTTCTGTAACGTTTTAGTGTAACGCTTTTTACTGTAACGGCTGGCAGCAACTGAACTTCCAGCTGTAACGAAAAACACCGAAAAGCGTTATGCCCATAGGTAACCATATAAAAACACATCAGTTCGTGGCAGTATTTGAATTCGCTACCTTGAGATTGTGAAAGAAGTTCTCTGCCAACTGAACTATCCAGGGACGGCATTTGGAACGCATAAAAGTGATCTCTTTGGCACTGAAATATTTTTTATACATAAAAATGAAGTGAGCCCCGTCTCGTCTGACTCTCACGGCGTGATGAGCCTGAAGGCCTATCGCGCCGTGAAAATCTGCGATAGGCCTCGAAGGCCTATCACAGATTCTATGGTTATCAGTCTTTGTCAGCATAATCAAACTGTTGTATTTTTTTTTCTTTTTTTTTTTTATTTGGGCATGGAGGTTTTTAAAGAGAGCCCATGAAATTATTTATGCCTTGTGGCTCTCTGGCAAACCAGATTCATAGTGGTCTCATCGACAGCTTGTTGACAACCTTATGTATTCTTTCGTGCGTTATTTGTGATATTTCGCTTATTTTGTCGCAGATGTGCAGCACGACTTTGCTGCCCAACAAAGTGGGACCATTCCAGCGAATGCTAGACTAGGGCTGTGTTCCAAGTCTTACCCTAATGGATCAGAGTTGCTCCGGCGGATCCTGTTACGTGGCAAGACAGATGGAGCATTGATGGACGCGGGTAGGTTTTCGAACCCTGAAGTACATATCTTTTAAGCTAGAGTGAGATTGAGTAAATTTTGGAACACATCCCAGGTGAACTTGCACATTTATGTCTATCGAGCGTGGCCAACAGTTCGATGGGTCGACGTTATTGGTTGCTGGAGGCTTTATGCCTTGTACACTGTGAGATTTTCAATGCGAAAGCATTAATTGTCCCATGGAGTGAACTGGTGTTATCAGCTTTCCTTTGCTTCTCTTTATGGAGGGCTTCAAGCTTTTGAAAACACCTGTAAGTGCATTAGCATACTGGCGTCAACGAGCTCATTTTATTATTAATGGCGGCAAAGCACTTCTGTGCTTTAAATTGGGGCGTTAATGACACAATCATTTCCAGCACATAACTTTGTATTAATCGCAGCCTCTTGCCATCTCCTCTTGCAGGATTGGACGGTTCCAGCAAAAACGCCGTGATGACAGCCATTACTATCAAGACGGGTGTGTTGTTGCACGAGCATTTTTCGCATAATGTAGCGGGTCATTTCGGACTAAATCTAGCAGTAAAAAGACTACCAGTATTTGAAATTTCTACAACAAAACGGGTGGAGCAAGTGCACCGTGCCAATGTTCACAAAAGCACTGCACAGCGTGTGATCGTCAAAGCCCGGCAGACACATGTTTGTTGCTTCGTAAAGCGTGCCATATGCACAAATGCTGAAAATGGGAAGCAGCCAGATGCCCGTTTCTGGAATGGTCTATAGGATGTGGAGGATGATTGTAGAATGCATTGGGGTCAACCATTATTGGTCCCTCATTATTAAATTTATCGGTCAGGAACAGATAAAAAACTTGTCGTTGCAAGTTACTTGTTGTACAAAAGAAAGCTACCGGATGTATTGACAACTAGACTTGTGCGCTTGTGCAGTTTGTTGTGTTAACCAGAGTTTTTATAATTTAATAACACTAACTTGAGTAGCCAGAGTAATATGCTGTAAATGTTCTTTTTGTGGGCTGAATATTTTGCAAAGTGTGGATTTCTGAAATATTTTGCAATTTGGAACAATACGTAGTGCATTAGGTACCATAATGTGATATACCTGCATGATAAATTTTTGCATTTTATTTCAAGTTGCAATATTTGCAAAAATTAATTTGTATACATTACAAAAGGATAAACAACTGCTATTCTTTCTTGAATGAATTATACCCGCAGAAAACAGCAGCATAAGACTTGCAGCACAAATTATTCTTTTAAAATCACATTTCTGCGAATAACGGGTAACAACTTACAGTTTAGTTTGTTTCGTAACTGAATTTTTACATCTTCTTCCGAGGACCCTGGGCATTGTCCTTGCAGAGTCCGAAAGCAAAATAAGGTAGTGCATTTGAATGCTCCTATATTAGATACTTAAAAAAAGGATCTATTCTATATGTCTTAATATTTTTGTACAAAGTTTGTGCAATTATTGCACCAACTGTATTTTTATAGAGTACAGTGTAGACCGCATATAACGTATGTCTCGGGAGTCGCGAAAATCCGCACTATAAGCGGTACCGCGCTATAACCAAAACATCAATTTTTCAGGCCAAAATACATGCCATGAAACAACTTACCTTTGTAAAAGAATTTATTTTTATGTTAGATGAAAAATAAAGCTTAGTTTGAGGAAAGTCTTTATTTCACCAGACTAGTACAGTTCTGTCTCAAGTGTGTCACACATTTTGAAAGAAATGAGCGGAGTTGCGGACGGACGTTGCGAGCGTTCAGGATTGCTAACCCTAATCACTTTTCTCCGGAGATGAAAACGCGTGAAAATTCGCATCCTTCATACGTACGCGCCAGTAATAACTTGAGCACACGCGTGAAATGCGCCAAATAAGAAATCCGGGCGATGTTCGAGGACAGAAATGCTTAGAAATCACCACTGTAGTCGAAGTAAACAAACACGACGACACGGGCGTTTCTGCCGTCTTGAGAGCGCCGCCACGACATCGCCGCACGAGTAGGTGGATCTTCCCTTCTAGTACTACGTGCTGGGTTATCACAGCGACACACAACGAAAATTCACAGTCAAGGATAGCGCTTTTACGCAGAACAATGAGATGAACGCCGTCTACGACGACGATTACAACCGACGCCATGTTTACGGATAGAAGCTGTAGAAACAGCCGGCCCGCGACCGAAGAGAAGGAGGAGGAGGAGAAGCGTTGTAAGCAGGGACTCAAACCGAAAAATATAACGTTTCGGTTACGGTTACGGTTACCGTTTCCTGTTGATACCGGTTTCGTTTCGGTTTTTTACGGTTTTAATATTTACGGTTTCGGTTAGCGGTTACACGCTCCTCAAAACCGGTTTTTTTTCGGTTTCTCCAGTAGTCTGTTTTATTAAAATGCTAGACACGTGTTTTACAATAAACGGTTTCAAGTAATCCCAGTATTCCAACAACGGGGTATTCACAGTACCAAAAATTCAAAAACGACTTCTGGTACTTCGAATTGGTCAAAAGTTGCACGTGTTTCTAGCTCCAACACTTGTTCCTTAAATCTATTCGCATTATATAATTTGGTACCCAAGCATACATTTCCCGCTCCTTGAGACGTCGTCCTGTCTGTTTTCTGTCCCTTCTACGTTTTGAAGTTTCTTCTCTACCCCAGTGTCAGGTTAATTCAACATGGTTACAGTTACTGGTTCGACGAACCTTCAAACAGGTTCGACTTCGTGGACAGTGCGGTTAGATTTTGATACAAGCATGTCTAGGTTTGGAAAAAATGTTTTTACGGAATAAGTTGCTTTTCGTTTAGAAGCAGTTACAATCAACAGAACATGATTCTGAAATCTTAAAAAGTTAATAACAAAATGGCGCAGCCAGACTCTGCTGCGTCGCGCGATGACAGCGCAGCAGATGTTGGTTGCACATCTCTCCACGGGGCGCGGTGCCGCCGGGGCTGAGATGGGCTCTGATAGCAAACCAAAAATTAAAAATCCGTCGATTTTGCGCGGTTTTTCAGAAAGCCGTAAAATGCTTCGCGTGCCTTCTATCGTTCTGCAATTTGTTGATTTAGTGGTTTTCGATGATGCTGAGCAATTTTCTAATTTAAACCATGCCCTTAAACACAATATTAAAAAAAGTTATTTACGCAAAAAAAAAATTAAAAACCTAATTATCCTGGACTTTAATAATTTTCCTAAATGGGCCCCTGGCCCAGGACCAAAACGCCACAAGCCTCTTTTCGTTGCGATGAGTAGTTCTCGCAGGAGCGATTTGGCCTGCGTTTTCTGAAACACCCTGTATATATATATTGGTGAAGTTTGGTAAATATAAAAACAATGGACCGGGAAAAGTTAATAAGTCAAAGATGCGTACTGTCGGAGTTACTAATTCGAAGTGTATTACGACGTTTCGAGCGGGGACCGCTCTTCATCAGGACGAGCGGTCCCCGCTCGAAACGTCGTAATAAACTTCGAATTAGTAACTCCGACAGTACGCATCTTTGACTTTGTGTATATATATATATATATATATATATATATATATATATATATATATATACATATTTCTCAGTGTATTTATACGAAACGTCAATGCAAGACCTTCGACATTTTTTTTTCCTTCTGTGTGGTTCCAAAATTGACGATCGCGACACGTTTCAGACGACATGAATACAAGGTTTTGTTTGCCGCCATCTCTGTATGATGGTCAATGTACCTCGTTTCTTCATTCTGGGCTACTGCAGGTCAGGAACATCGGTGGTTTTGAAAGAACCGAATTCGATGGACATCTCAGAATTCTAACTTATTAGGTAATACCCCGAAGGCGACACGTACTGAATACATCTAGTGATTGCAGGAGTGTGGCAGATAAAGAAGTAGAGACTTTTCATTATAAGCTTGATCACTGATTCCAACTAAGTGTTCTAATCCTAAATATACTGAACGGAAATGTATCACCAGATGCACAACTCGCTTACGGTAACTCCGTCAAATGGCCAAGACATTTCAAAATCCCTGCTCAAGGTCGTTCTTAAGAAAAAACTAACATTTTTATTTTTCGGTTAATATCGGTTAAAACCGGTTCCAGGAAAATAAATTACGGTTAGGGTTACGGTAACGGTTTTCATAAAATTCAAATAACGGTTTCGTTCCGGTTACGGTTACTGAAAAAATTTCGTTCCTAAACGGTTTTCGGTTTCGGTTGCGGTTACGGTTTGAGTCCCTGGTTGTAAGAGAGGTTGGGGGGGAAAGGCATGCAACGCGCACGAACACTTCTCCTCGACCTGCGATTGGTCTGTCGTTGCGGTTGTTTGTTTCTTTGTTTCCAACGCAGCGGAGGGACGCACGCACGTGAACGACACGTGCGTGCGTCCCTCCGTCGCTAAGGCAACTGAAGCCTCTCTCTTCGCTTCTGCCCGCTTTTTCGAGCAACATCCTTGCCCCGCTAGTAGGTGTTGCGCTAGTGCAGCGTGCGGCTCGCGCCGTCGGCGCCGTTATCTAGTGTCGCACAGGGAAGCGAGCTCGCTGCTCCGGTCGTCGGCGCGGTCGGCGGGCTCTGCCAAAAACCGCACTATAACCGGTATTTCCCTTCGCGCGCCTGCATTTTAAGCGGTATCTAATTACATGGAGTTCTATGGGAGGTGAACCGGTGGTTTAAAAAAACCGCGTTATACCCGGTCCTGCACTATAAGCGGTTACGTTGTAAGTGGTCTATACTGTATATAGAAAAAAGACATGCATAACAGACTGTTGTGACCGCCAAATCCAAAAAGAATTTAACAGGGTACATTTCGTGGAATTTCTTAATGTTAGAAAAATTATGAGCACAGATGTTTTCTAGCTTTATTTAATTTCAGCATAACCTAAAGCACCCGTTGGTACCTTTTTTTAAATCCCTGTTAGTTAAGCGCATCCAGGGCATCATGAGAGTTAAGCTTAGGCATGTAGCTCTTTCCTTCATATCTTGGCATGAGCCAAACATCTCGTAGTATCTCAGGCTAAGCCTCCTTTTAGCATCTCGTAATAGTATTATTGTTTTCATGGTGTTTTAGCATAAGCTAATATGTCACTTTGCCTTTCCCGCATTTGCAGAGCCGCCAGAATATGTTGAGCAGGACGAAGAGCCTAGCAGCCATCTTGTATCTGTTACGTCGGGTCTGTCCTGAAATCTGTGCTTGTTTATTTTTTTACTTTGGGTTTTACAAAGCATTTTCTTTATTAAAAATGATCTCGCTTTCTTCTTCACTCACAGAGCCGGAATGTTACGAGGAAGTTTGGAAACCTGGGAACCCAGTGCCAGCTCTTACGAAGGGTATGTTCAGACAACATTTCTTCCTGTACTGGGAACATGTCGTCAAAATGTTATGCCTTGTGTCATATTTTCTTCCCACCAGATGAACCACCAGATCACACGGACGTGACAAAGGTTACGTTCCACACAAATCCAGGTCTGTACTTTATTAGACTGGCAATTCTGACATGCAATCGCTGGCAACAGGTTGCATTTTACACCGTCCTTTGCAGAGCTGCAGGTTTCCAAAGAGGCCCTACAACGTGGCAACGCAGCAGTGGCCGTTAAGATAGGTCTGTTGTCTCAGTGTCGTTTCGTAGCTAGGCGCCATTCTGAATGTCGAAACCACTTGTGTGTGCAGAGCCTCAAGATCCGACGGAAGTCGACGCTCCGGCGGTTTCTCTGGGGGCAGGTATGTAGCTACGCTCCGTTATGGGCCCTTCCCACCACTGGAAGCGACGTCCATTGTTGGTCTTGTAGTTGGCATAATAGGGCGTCCGCCGTTCACATTGCCAAGTCCTCGAAAGAGATCGCCCATCGCCCGCAAGAATCAAACCTGGCCCAACGACTTTACTGTGCATTTACGCAGGACTGCTAATTTTTTTTTCTTGCAGTTTTGTCCGTATAGACCTTATTAATTATTAGCGCCATCTCTCGGCGGACACGCAAACTATCGTGCCTCCACGCCATCTTTGAGGCTCCTCCACCGTCTTCGCACTGCCTGCGTAGCCTTCTTCGGGCTAGTTCATACGACGTTGGTTTTCTGTGATGTGGTGGAGGCGTTGGGTACTTAGAAATGAATTATATTAGCGACCCTGTAGTTCTCTTCCTGTAAAAAATGAGACCAACAAGCTTGCCCATGACATGTTCGCAGACAACAGAGTTGGCGATTAACGTAATTTGCGGTGCCTTTTCCCGAAAGAGGCAGCGAGAGGCGACAGAGTGCTCCGCGCCCGCTTGCTGCGCCTTTCGGGCAATACTGCATGTGCATGTGGCTTCGTCTCCTTTCATTTTTGCTCACTCTCTTACGTAGGAGTTGGAGCACTGCGGGAGCTACTCTAGCCTTGACAACCCAGTGCAAAATAGTTTATGCCGAGCATGGGAGCTTGCACTCTTAGCTTATAGTGCAGGAGTGCTATAGGCTAAGATTACTATAAGGCAGTCGAAGCAGCTTCCGAAACTGGGAGCTTCCACTCTTAGCCTTCACTGTGCTCCCCACCTGTCGTAAAGATATCTAGTCTTCATCTGCAATGTGGACATTGGGCGATCGGTCCCACCTCCTTAACAAAATGTTGGGTTTATCGTGGGGATGTCCATACAGTGAGTAGTTAGTGTACCCCATCCATTTGTTGCTTCTAGGTTCGGGGGCGGCATCCTCGCAGGAAGTCGGGCAACATTGGGTCCTTGAGGATCCGACCGTCGCGGTGTGGCCACCTGGGCACGCACCACCTGCCGTCTGCGATGAACTACGGCCGCAACCAGACGTAATCAAGTTCCGCGAGATTGAACGGTCATAGCAGCAAGCTGTTGGGACATAGTTGTTTTGACAATGTTGTTGTGGCACAGTTGTTGTGGCACCGTTGCAGCAAAATGTTTGGTGGCGTTGCGACACATCAGACCGGAACGAGTCGTCGTGCCGGCACAACCTGCTGGTTCAGGTAAGGTGCTCCCCTTGGTTAGCTTTTGGAGATGGCGTACGGTGCCAGGATTGTGTCTTTGATTCGTGTACCTACCACGTCCTCAAGTTTAGTCCCTTGATTTTCGGCCTACGACATTGTCATGCCGTCGCATGCCGCGAGCCTGCCATTGACGAAGTGGTGGAGCTGGGTGCGGGAAACACCCGTTCTGCTGCCGGTCGCGCGCCAGCTTGACGGTTTACAGAAGCCTCGGTGGTCAGGAGTTGGAATGTTGTGACAAACAGCCACACTTGGAATCTGCTGTTGTTGTTGTTTTTTTTTTACGGGACTTTCACGCCTATTTGCTAGGATCGCGACATCCGAAGCACGTCACTCCGGCTTTTGCGATGTCATCTGTTGCCGTTTTGGGACCGCTTTAGATGCATGTGTGGAATAGGACACTAATCGCAGCAGTTGGAGGCACATTCCAGGCACCGTACCTTAGCGCAGCGACTTTTTTGGCCACAGACACAATCAAAGTTCTGTCTATAAACGGAAACTGTTCACTCTGTGCCTGCTGTGCCAATCGTCGCAGGTCCCAGTAAACGTGGTGCGTGTGAAGGCTTTGCTACGAAATGCTCAACTCATTTTCGAAGAAATGTGTATGGCATGGGATACTGCGAGGGCACGAGATGTTGGTTCTACTAAATTTCAAACCCCTCCGGACGGGTCTGCCATTGTCCTCGCCGGTCGGTTGCCATTTCTATGCCGGTCATAGACTTTTTTGTCTGCAGGAAGCCGTGGGTCCACAAGAGGATAAGATCCAGTCCAAGCAGTCCTACGAGCTCTTCTTTGGTGGCTTTGACTACGTTACGACGGACTTGAGGGTGACTTCGGGTGGCGAGGAGAGGTCGCGGAGTGTGTGGTAATGCAGCCACGGAACTGGCTACGGGTGTGCGGCCGGAGACGCAACCAGCCGAGCTTTGGGTCGTACGGAAGAGGAAGTACGATGTCCAGAAAACGTCCACGACTGGTGTTTACGTCCTCCTCAAAAGTGTCCGTCAAGTCCGTCCGTCGGTTGTGATCCTGGTGGTGTCGCAGCAGTGGCGGTGAATGTGGCAGGTGCAAGCTCTGCTGTAGGTTGCTCTCCAGCTTGAAAGTCCAGGCAAGTTTCCACAGCTAGGAGTTGGGACGCCGCAACGGCGGCGACACTTGCATTCGCTCTTACTTTCTGCCTGAACTTCTAGCCCCAACCGCCAGGGCTTTGACATGTGACTTAGTGTCTTCCGCATTGTCATTTGTTGCCACTTCGGAACCGGTTTTTGACGTGCGGGCGGAATGAGGTGCCAAATGCACCAGACGACTCGTTCCAGGCACCCTTGTTGCAGCTCAAGGCGCACCTACTGCAAATGAGAGACTACGTTTCCAACGTCTCCTTTGATCGGTGCCAAACTTCAAATCTGGTGAAGGAGATCCAGTGGTTGTGAACGAGCAGTCAAATTAATGGTGCACGTACGCGAGAAGCGGCGTGTAAAGACCGTCGCATTTTTTTAGCACATGATTTAGAGGAGATGCAGTCTGAAAGTCGGCAGTGCGTTTCTTAGACTGCAAGTCCAATACATGAATTCACATTCTCAATACTGTCTCTTGGCAGTGGGTGTATGCTTATGCCAATAGTCGTGGGCTTCGGTGATACTGTCTGTTGACAGTTGGCAAGGCCCATATTGTCACCGTCTAGGCGATGCACGGCCTAAGTGACCTGGGCGTGCACGACTACATCACGACGGAAGGATTGTGCTGGGAGACGCCGTATCGTCTCGATGCAGACTCTTGATCCCACATTGAGTATCATGGACATGCCATTCAAGTTTCAGTGGCCCGCATTTTGGCATCCGTGGACGCGTATGATGCCCTTTGTGGTTTCACTTTGTGCGTGTGTGTGCACAAATAGTTTGGCGTTCGAGTGCGGCACGGTCGAGTTTGTCGGAACTCCCTTTCATGTTCATCAATCGTACAAGCATTTTTACCATTTTGTGAATTCATTATTATGATGCGGAAATCGTAAGTTCATCGAGTGGCTGAGCCGATTTATTGGTAGTGCTCCAAAGAGTTTGTCGTACAAGGAAACAGGACTTTCCCGGTTTACATACTTGCATTAAGTCCCGAGTTCTGTTGAGAAAACGTTTTTGTTTTCAGTTGACCTGCCAAGTGCTCTGGTTTTTCACTTTTCTGCCTTGTGTTTTAGAGGTGAATAAAGCTTGAAAACCTTGAACAGCATTCTCCCTGCTGTGTCTCCAACTGATACTTTACCTGTCACTCGTTTAATAATCTATTTGGAATGACTGCTTGCATTGAACTTCAGACAATGCTGTTTCATGAAGGCAGAAAATGGATGTAGGCAGTATATTTTTGCCAGGCGGACACAAAACTGGGGGTTGCTCAATTTTCCTTTCCCATAGTTTCGTTTCCCACATTTTCGGTGCCCGCAATAAGAAAATGGGCAAAGTGAAAGTGCCGCTGTTCCGTGCTCTAAAGGACGCTGAGCGTTTGGAGGCTTGGTCGCTGGTCCCGGAACATCAAGCGTGCGGTCAGAACCCTCGACAGTATGTGTGTGATGTGTGCGAAGCACTTTGAAGAACACTGCATTAAGAAGACATTTAAGCACGTTGCAAACGGTGAACTAAAATGATCCGATAGGCGAGTTGGTTGTACATAATACATACACACTGCAGCGCAAAGGACACGTAAAAGAGGTAGACAGGACAAGCGCTTGCCCTGTCTATGTCTCGTCCTTTGCGCTGCAGTGTGTATCGCGTAAACGGTGAGCTCGTCCAGGTCCAGCGCGGCAGACCTCTTGTGAGGAACGATGCTGCTCTTACCATTTTTCCGGGTGCACCAGGTTATTAATGCTAAAGCACTAAAGGTGCACCAAAAACGCTTCTGAGATCGTTTGTTCTTTGAGATAACTCATTGTACGGGATCTTAGCATCCCAGAAATCGAAAAATGCTCGTGCGACGGCTATTTCCGTACCAAAAATTGGATCGAAGTTTGTGCCATGCCCCTTTCTGTGCGGAAAATTCTAGAGCGCAAAATCCAGTGGAGGGGCCGGCAGCGCCTCCGCTGCCGGCGCCTTTGCTTGTGATTGGCTGATGGGCGACAGTCGTCACGCCTCTGGCGCCTCTGATGAATTTTGTGCTCCAGATTTTTCCGCACAGAAAGGGGCGTGGCACAAACTTTGATCACATTTTTAGTAGGGAAAGAATTTTCGCACAAGCATAATTTTTGGATTTCTGGGCTGCTAAGATCTCTTTAGTGCACGTTTAAAGGGACCCTAAAAGCAAAAAAAAAAGTTGTTTTTTTAAAGTTTGGTTGGGACACGCATGTCAAAAATATTTTATGCGAACAAAAAAGTTTTTGGAGCAACATTGACAGTGTGAGACGCGATATATTCGGTAGTCACGTCCTTTCCACTTGTTTTCTTTCTCTGCGTTTGAAGCGCATGAAGGAGAGGTGGATCGGCTCTGCCTTCATGTCGAGGTGGAAAGAGCGAATGACCATTCTTCATGGACGTTGCGCATAGAATTTTAAATAAATTTTGCGCCACCAATATTGCTCCAATTTATTTTTTGTGTGTAAAATTTATTTTTTGACACGCGGGTCCTGACTTAAGAAAGAATTTTTTTTTTTTTTTTTAGGGGTCCTTTAACTGTCACACGGAGCGAACCGACGTCAACAGCTTTTGAAGCCGCGCCAAACGGCACCTAAACTCCCCTGTCCCAATGGAGCGAAGCCTGGCGTCTGCAGCAACGATCTAATGGATAGGCTCCCATTAGCTCTCGCGCTGCGTAATTCCAAGGAACACCACCAGAGGAGCCCTCTCAATGGTGGCGCAGCGCACGCAGCGGATCGGCCGCCGGTAAGAGGGAGCGCCTGGACGCAAAATCCGCACGGGCAAACTCCGGAGAGGCTGCACGGCCAAGAGCGGAAAAGCGCGCGCTCGGCCGTCGGCGGCTACCTCAGCAGTAGCGGAACGTGGCCCACGCCGGTGCGCCGCAGACGAACTAAGGGAGCGGACGAACGACATTCATGCTTTTCGCATTCACAACTCTCAAGAAATGCTTAGGTGTCCTCGGCAGGCACCCTGGCCACCCTGGCTACGTGCCTGGTTCGCGCGGTTCGCGCACGTTTGTTCGAAATGCAGTTCCAGAATCGCTGCATAGATGGCACCAGTCTATGCTCAGTTTATAATAGATATGTGTTCTGTGCCGAGCGTATGTACGAACTAGATGGCAGTCGTCTATAAACCGAAACTATTTGACAAGCTCGGTAATCATTTGAGGATTTGGGCGATCGGATCAGACCTTTGGGATAGGCAAACAAAACAAAAATAATTTTATCAAACAGTACTTTGAAATAATTACAGATTAAGAACTTGCAAAGGCATTGTTCACGGGGGCTTCGGTCCTTCCGTTCCGGGTTTTGTTTTTGTTTTGTTTTTCTGCGAAGGACTGACTGATTACCGCGATGGAGGGCCAGGGGATACAAGATGGGCGGTGTGGGCGACGCTCAGTGATGTGGTCAGTTCGATGAATGGTTCCCCCGAGCCGAGCACCAGCGAAGACGGACGCCCGCTGAGGACGCCGTGAATGCGCCGCGATGAACAGCCCCCTGGTCACGGACCCCGAGGAGGAGATGCGGCTACTCAAGGATAGGGTCCGACAGCTGGAGCTGCAAAACAAGCAGCTCCGTAAGAACCAGCGCTCGCCCGTCGACACGACGAGCAGCAAGGAACGCAAGCAGTCCAGAAACATGAGCATGTCGGACAACGACAAGTCGTCCAAGGAGAGCTCGCTCGAAGACCTGGGCATCATCGACGTGGACCGGTTGCTCGAGAACGACGACGACGAGACCTGGTAAGGGACGGGCCAAATTTGGAAGTTTATTCCGCCGGAACGCAGTCGGTGAGAGCGCCCTGTCCTAACAGGCTCTGCGACCCGTCCGAGCGGCCGTGGCCTATCGCCGACGCCAGCGAAGCCAAGGAGCTGGTCAACACGAGGATCTCGCTCGCCAGCAAGCTGGACGAGATCTCCCAGTGTGAGTACGCGTTTGCCTCGGCGACCGCCCCCGCAGGTTATCCGCCTGCGTAGTCTCCTTGCGTTGCAGAGAGTTTTATCGGGCTGCCGGGCGTCTGTACGAAGGCGCCTGGTTGCTGGCCCGGCCCTGTGCGCGGGGCACTCATCTCCGAAATCTTGTTTTCAGTGGCATCGAGAGCTCAGGAGCTGCGCGACATGCTTGCGCGCGTTAGGCATCCAGGTTGGTCTTGGACCCCCTATGTCGTCGTCGTCGTTGCTGTGCCGCTAATCCCCCTTGTTTTTGAGGCTGCTGTTTTTCTTTTGTTTTTTTGTTTTGCTATTTTTTGTTGTTGCTTTTGGAGTGACCGCTGGTGGGGAGTGTGGGGAGTGGGGTGATACCAGCACATTACGAATCTGGCGCATGCTAGCATACGCTGCATGCTTTGGTTTGAGTGCTGCTCGGAATGGATGCATCCGGTACCTTCAGTGGTCCCGACCTGCCTGCACCTTCTTCCGTGATCTACTCTTGGTCGTCGATCTACAGTCGGGCACTAATGAAACGTCAACATCAGAGCGCATGGCGACGTGGTCTCGAGTACATGCTGCGCTACCTGAGGGCCTCTGCAAACTGATAAAACTGCGAGGAGGTGTGCCTACTCCGACGTGCACTCCCTCGCAGCCCCTCCCTCCACTCCGCAGTCTTATGGGTTCCTACATAGCCTGTGGCATGTTTAGAACAGCCGAACAAGCTCCACCCACACAGCTCTGCTTGCCATGGCTGGAGGTTTCCTTTTCTCCGCTCGCTTACCCTCCAGCGTTAACTCTGCTAAAGCAGAAAAGAGTGGAGGGCCTTGTGGGAGGAGCATGTCCTGCTATTCTTAACTCGCGATAAGGCATAGCGTAACATGCGTCAAAGGCCACGCGTCCCGGCGTTCCGATAGTGCCTCCATCGGGATGAGCACCCTGGGTAGTCCGACCGACAGCCCTCTGGGTCGCAGGCCCCAGCCGTACCTTCGACTCCCGGACGTTTACGAGGCCTCGGAGGAAGCTACGTCCGGCGCTGGACTGGAACGCTCTGCCTACCATTAGCGCGGCGGAGAACGGGGCTCCGGCGGCAGACCACGACACACCGCGAGGTGTCTCGCCGGCACGCGAGGCCCCCCCTCCGGTCGTGCCCCTTCCGGAAGCGGCTGCAGTCCCCCTGGCCTCCGTCAATGTGCACGAAATCGTCAGGCTCCAAGGAGAGAGTAAGCACCCATTGCTTGTCATAAGCGTGGTGTATGTGGCACCGATGCAACACCAGCCTTCGTTTTTGTGCTCTCCCTCATTTGCAAATGCAAACAAACTGTTTTGTAGGATACTTGCACGGGGATCCCGTATTCAATCCCCACTTCCTCCCGTTCCTATCCAGATGAGCATTGTGCCGGCCAGTGGTCGTGCATCACCACTGCATGATGCGCATTAAAGACCCAGGCTCTAGTTGCTGCCAAGGCGAGAACGGCTGGGTGTCTCTTTCAAATGCCAGCCCTTGGCACGTGCTCGTTGCAATTTTGCCGTGCTTTAGCTCGGCGTGCACACTCAACGCTCACGAGATGCCCAAGCGTTGCCGAAGGTAGGAAGCTCGCGCTGAACGCGGGGCAACTCAAGCTCCTTCCTTCCGTTCTCATCTTGTCAGTTACTATAAAAAGCGACACAACTGGAGAAGCTTCTTTACGATTTAAATTGACGATGAAGTTGTGGAGATCTCGTTGTTGACATTGTCGTGGGGATTACTCCACGGTGATGACAGTCAAATGCCTCTCGTAGTCTGGACACGAGTGCTGCGCAAGCACTAGATTTAAGCTTGTGACAACATTCGCATAGCGGCTCCATGTCCAATCGCTGCAATAACGTGAATACCCAAACCCCATATCTGGAACTCGCGGTCGTGTGCCACTACTGCGTGATGCACGTTAAAAACCCCAGGCTAAAAAAAGTGCTGCACTGCCAAAATTTCTCATTTTCAGTGGAGACACCGAATGCCCATTGAGGCTGACTTCTCACCATCTGAACACGCACAAAAGACAGTTTCACGCCGACACTTCAACCGATGAAGCGTATCGAACGAAGTTGCTCGACCCCGTCTTCCTCAGAGTGGGTTACAGAAGCCAAAACTTTGGCAAATTTCTTGGGCGGCCCTCGCTCGATTTCCGAAGGGTAACTGAGGTGATGACGCGGCGATTTCCTACTTTTCCAGGCCTGCGGCTGAGCTCGCCCATGTGCTCCCCCAAGAGGGGATCCGGCGAGTCGGGTGGCAGACGGTCGAGTGCCGCAGACAAGGTTCTGCCGACCTCCGGGCTGCCTACAGGGTGCACAACGGGCGCCAGGCCTAGTGACCCTCGCCGGGAAGACTCGCCCTCCGACGGAGACGGCCTCGCCAGGGTGCCACTGGACGGTAAGAGCGCTTCAGAGGCCACCTTGTGCGACATCTGCTTGCTGTTGGTGGCGACATGCATCGTGATATTGGAGCCGACGTATCGCCAAAGCCAAAATCTGTTCCAACAATATCCGAGTTCTCCGGCAGAGTACATAATTGGTTCATTGGTTCATCTTGGCATCTAGAAAAAGACAAGGACGAGGCAAGCCGATAAAAAACAAAGTGCACATCTTGATGTGCGGAACAGGTGCCGAAAAAGACGACGATAAGGCTAATTGGATGGAGCAAGGTGCCTTGTTCCGCACACTGGAAAGTGTGCCCTGGTAAGCTTTCGGCGGCGCCTCTTGTCTCGGAAATGTTAAGGTCAGCTGTTTTGAGGCCAATGCTTTCCATACACCGTTATTCATCACTGGGCTGCCCCCCCCCCTTCCCTTTCGGCGGAAGTTTAGAAGTTTCGTGGTTTCCTTTGCGGCTCTTAGGCCGGGTCAGCCTGGCCAACCCCGAAATAGACCATCTGCTATATTCTCAAGTGCCCCTGCCCGCACTTGAGGAATCATGGGAACGGTGTTCCTTTAACTCCCTATTGATTACTATTTTCGAAAGAATTCCATGGTTACACAGTTTTGGGTGTAATTTGGAGTCACCCTGAACAAGCGTCGTATAGTGCCCAAGGACCTCTCGTATCACTTTTAAAATTTCTCTTCAATGTCAGCATTTTTTTTATACTATGCATGCAATCCACCTTTCGACCTGGCTGAGCTGCAGATATCTTACAATATTATCATTCTCTTGATTGTTATTTTAGCAGGAATTGCTTAAAACGCCGAGAATCCACAACAAAAACCAGGATTTAGCTCGGAGTTAGCGGGGCTGTTTATAGCATTTTTAACATTTCTAGCTTAATATCAGCATCTTTGAAGCTGTATGAGAGAGAATAATGTAAGAGATTGTGCAGCCCAGCCAGGTTGAAGGGTGGACAGCATGCACAGTATCGAAAACGCTGACATTGATGAGAAATTTTATAAGTGATACGACAGGTCCTTGGGCACTATACGACGCTTGTTCAGGGTGACTCCGATTTATATCCAAAACTGTGTAACCATGGAATTGGTCGAAAAATGATGATCACTAGGGAGCTGAAGGAACGCCGTTCCCATGATTCCTAAGGTGCAGGCCGGGGCGCTTGGGGGATTTAGCACATGGTCTATAGGACGCTAAACAGACCAGTCGGAGATGCGTTCCAGGGCCCGTTTGCTCGAAGCACTAACCGCGGCTAAAGTTAGCCGCAGTACCTAGGAGAGGGATTTTGAAATCACGTGACTGGGCTCGGTACGGATGCGGGGAAACATGGCGGTGCCCCAGTGAGTGAGCGCCGCTCGCTTTGGAACTAACATGTCGTTGTGGTTGCTATATCGGGCGCGTTAGTCACCAACGAATGGTGCAGGAAGCTTTCGCTTTGCCTTACCTCACTTAAACCGCAAAGCATGGGCAATGACATCGCCGCATATTTTAGACAGTGTTTCGATTCTGGGCATTCCTAAGCCTAAATGAACGCGATAATTGTCGGCATAGCAACGTCTTTGGAAAGCGGATTGTTGATAGCACACAAAAGCAGACGACGTCCCAACAAACCTTCTTGCTAAATTATCCAAGCACCGAGGTGCATGCTACGACTGTAGTTGCACGCGTCGCACGTGCTGGCGTCTGCAGTAGTAACCGTTCTAAAGCAAAAATTATAAAACAAATTTTGCCTTGCACGCGCGTTCTTATTGTGATTTTTTACTTCAAATCTTTTATAGGGGGAAGGCCAGCGCGCGTGAACCGTAGAATTACACTTCCAGCGTTCTCCTCGCGATGCTTGGATAATTTAGAAAAAAGTCTGTCGGGACGCTGTCTGCTTTTGTGTGCTATCAACAATCCGCTTTCCAAAGACATGGCCATGCCGACAATTATCGCTTTCATTTAGGCTTAGGAATGCCCAGAATCGAAACACTATCTAAAAAACGCGGCGATGTCATTGCCCATGCTTTGCGGTTTAAGTGAGGTAAGGCAAAGCGAAAGCATCCTGCATTATTCGTTGCTGACTAACGCGCCCGATATTGCAGCTACAACGACATATTAGTTCCAAAGCGACCGGCGCTCACTCACTGGGGCACCGCCATGTTTCCCCGCATCCCTACCGAGCCCCAGTCCCGTGATCTCAAAATCCCTCTCCTAGGTACTGCGGCTAACTTTAGCCGCGGTTAGCGCTTCGAGCAAACGGGCCCTGGCGTCCTAGTCGGAATGATTGGCTCAGTGTTTTTCCCGGCTGCCCGCAGGTGGTGCCCGTGCAGCCACACCCCCAACCCCCGACCTTGGAGGCTCTGCTGCGAGCAGTCCATACGGCTCCAACTCTTCCTTGCACCACGTGTCCCTGCTCCCCAGCAAAGGTGACAGAACCACTCTGCGTCGGCCATTAAGCGAGCTACAGGGTCCCGAGGCAGGATAGATGTCGCTGCTGCAGGCTGTTGAAGAGAGACGGCTGGCAAGGAAACTCGGAACTCGACGTTTGACATTGGGAACAAGGCGCTTGCTTAGCAGGCCTGTCGAGGAAATGCCAAAAAGGCCGTGTGTGAAGCCTGCAATGAATCATGGGATTGTCCTGTATGCTCCTCCTTGCTCCTGCAGCATCTACTACATGACATTGGAGAGAGAGGCTAGCAATGTTGCTCACCTGCCTTTGCCCGCTCTCCCGCGTTGCCTTTGTCGTCTGCTACAGTCGCCTCTATGCAGCCAGTTCCCATAATTTCCCATAATTGCTTGCAGTGCCAGCAGAGATTGCTGCACATATTGCAAAAGGTTTATTACTCCGTGCCTGCAGAGCAGACAGATTTCAGTGGCTCTTCCACTGGACTTTTACCAGGTGCTAAGGATCCTGGGGAGTCATGATCTTTTATGTGTTTTGTACTGCACCAAAAATTTTAGATGTATTTTGAAAGCCATTGGTAAATATTCATCTATCTGAATTACCTCTAGTTCTGAATCTCACCTTTCATATTTTCCCTTTTGCAAGCCTCCTCTCTCACACTCTGCTTGAAATAACCTTAAAGTTTACTCGAAGTGGCGGTATAAAGACGGGTGTGATGGCATCTATCTTTTTGGGTGCCATCACAAGACTGATTTCTAGAGCATTTAACTTGGTGTGTGGGTTTGGCCTGGGCTCGCAGTGTTCTGCATGGCCGGCTTGTGGCAGCGTGCTAAGCGTGCGTGTGGGCCTTGCAGGAGCAACGCGGAGGAGCCTGCCCAACCTGAGTCGAGTGCTGAATGGCCTCGGGTCCCACCCTGGCTCCGCAGTCACTGGCCAGCAGGCCACGCTAGGCGCCCCGAGAAGTCGGCTAGCTGTGCCCACTCAGCACGAGGTGGGAGAACGTGCTGGCTAATGGATCCCGGTTTTTCCACCCCCTAAATAAACGGCACATCGAAAAATGCCGGAACTTTGTGAGAATGCAACGCTAGCTGTGGTGACGGAATGCGAAAGTTTGAGATTGTGACATTACCTGGATCAAAAAGTAATACAGAAGAACAATATTTCTCTACAGGAAGACTTCCGCCTAACACCACATCCGTCAAAGCAAGAAATAGCATTGTGGGTGCCCGTGGCATCTGCTTCAGCGAAAAAGAAATTGCCAGCAAGAGAGAAAACAATAGTCTTTCTTGCTAACGGATCTTTTTTACCAAAATCTTCAGCACACCATACATTGAAGTGCCATTATGCATGGAAAAGATGCCACACATTTCCAGAATGGTCTGCTGAAGTATTGGCTCTTTCTTCCGGGTGATTTTTCAGCAGCCGCATTCCAGCGAGCAAGATTGTAGTGCCGAATATTTTGCGTTGCTTACAAGAGGCAAACACAAAGCGGGGATTTGACACGAGTGCTGCGTCGTTGTTTGGCTACGGTGCCTGAAAGGAGTTTTCCACGAGTGGGTTTAGCTTCCCTATTCCACCCACAACATGAAAGTGGTCCCAAAGTGGCAACAGACGACGTTGCAGAAGCCGGGGTGTCATGCTGTCGAATGTTGCAATCTCGTCAATTGGGTATAGAAGTTCCGAAAGAAAAAAAAAAACATCGCGGGAAAATGCGAGCGTGGCTGTCGTCGCGACGCCCCAACTCCCGGCTGCCAACACTTTAGTGGACTGCCAAGCTGGAAAGCGAGAGTGTGACCTGCGACAGAACAGCCGTCTGCTACATCCACTCGCGTTGCTGCGACACTGCCAGGATTGCGGCTGCAGACAACGCGACACTCTCTAGGACGCGGCAAACGCACCAGTCGCAGATGCGTTCCAGGCAGTGTTTTGCCTGGAACTTGTGCTAATCTGCGCTCTGCGTTGGTCTCTTTAGGTGGCGAAGACGGTCGAGCACTTTGGCCACATTATTTATAGTTATTGACAGAGTGAGAATCGCAGGGCATGTCTCTCCAGCACAAGCTCCATGGCTTCCGCCGTGCGCTGGCTGTTGGCATGTGCTCGAGGTACATGGGATGCCCTAGTGCCGTTGAAGGTAGAATGCTCGCGCTGGGAGGCGGGACAGCCGAGGCTCCTCCCTGCCAGTGGCTGTAAACCCCTTTCGTGGTTACAAACACAAGGTGTGTCTTGCCTCCCAAGAGACTTCCAGCCGTTTTGGCGGGCTTTCTGAGCCCGTTGGCACGAGATTCCTGGGACGGCGAAGACGAAAGGGGATCGGTCATCATATAGGAGCATAAGTTCCAACAAATCTTGTAAACCGGTCCATTGACTAACGACCTGGAGAACTGGTTATCAAATATTTGACACGACATTGTAAGAAGCGGCACTATTGTAGATATCGTTTGTGCCCTTATTTGACCGAACGTTTACAGGGACTCAAAACGCAACGGTGCCTTTTTTCGGCGATTTTAGAAAAAGTGTTTATGGAAAGTGTCGGGTGAGGTTGGCAGCTGGCCTTGGTGTGGTCGCAGGTTCCAGGCCGCTCCGCGTTGCCGGCACCGCGCCCCACCCGCAGCCGGTCGTCCTCGGTGGCGTCGACGGGGCTGCCCGCGGCCTCCCCACTCCCTAGGGGAGGTCGGCGCTCGGAGCAGTTCCCCCCGAGGCCCGAGCAGACGGAGACGACGCCCCTGCGGCTGTCCCTGGCTCCGAGGAACGCCACCCCAGCCACCCAGCCCCGGTCGGGCCTGCCCCGGCCCTCCCGGATCCCGCCACCCACCAAAAGGTGAGCTTTGCGCCGTGAACGTGTCGCCAGAGCTTTGCATGTCAGTGTCACGAGTGCCACGAGCACCCGGGGGTCCGATTTTGGTCACTGCCAGAGCAAAACCTAATTTGCATCGCGCGGAGCAAACGAAAATAGCATTTGTAGACGCTTCATCTGCTAACGGTAGCATAGAATGCGGTTCCTCTGCTACAAGGCGCCGTCTGCGAACATAGCGGAAAAAATGTTGTCCATCTGCTACGAACCGAGGGCCACGGCAAAGTGAGATTGTACAGAGGCTGAAATTGTGATCATCCACTTTTTTGTCTATAACTTCTTTCGGAAGCCGTAGACAACCAGCGATTCGGTTGCAAATTTCAAGCTGTTCTGCTGCCGTACACAAGCTGACATCGACCGGTGAACGAAAGAGCTCTAAGGACAAGCACATCAGGGGCCACGAGAGCTCTCGTGCTGTTCGTACATCGAGAAAACGTTTTCCCCAAAAAATTGCCAGATTTTGAAGTCTTGAACGGGTCGCAAATGCTACATGGGTCGATTACACGGAAGTTGTACACCACGTCCAATCAGCAGTCGAGAACACTCTCAATATAACCGAAGTCGTACCGCTGGAGCAGTGCTTGTGGCACCCACAAACTGCACTGTAACTGGTTTGTTCACTGAGTGGATCCCTAATTAACTGCACTTATCAGTTCTAATCTTGACCAGAAGCATTGTCTGCCATAAGTGCAACAACACAATAGGTGCAGCAACTATGGGCCTTGTCATTATGCAACAGAATAAGCGAGTGATGTCAAAATGCCATAGGCTGCGTGTCAGGCTGTGGCATTTTCCCCAGGTCGCGGGTTCGAATCCCGGCCGAGGTGCCCACAATCCGACGGAGGCTTATTGCGGAGAAGGCGCCGTATAACCGAGCTTTCGGTTGCACATTAAAAGATCCGCAGTTGTAAATGGTCAGCTAGAACGAGAGGGACAAACACAGACAGGGAGAAACAGAGACATACACACCGCTGACTATCAACTAAGACTTTATATTTCTTCTTCATCACTGTGACCCACAAATTCACACCTAAAGTAATGCCAATGAATGACCCTAAATCCTTACAGTACACTACTAAATGAAAATACTGATTAAATAATATTAAATTAAAATTGAAACTAATTAATTACATTAAATTATTAATTATTAATTTTGGTCCAACCCACAGACCACCGCCGAAACATATCCCTCCTAGTCCCTTTCACGGCGCCGTGCCACACTGCAAAAACTGCCTTTCTTTCTTGCTGACCGTGATGGAGGGCATGCTCACGCAGTCGTCGCCGGTTTGCTCAATGGCCAGGGCCTCGAGGATCTCGCGCGCGAAAGCATTCCTGTGTCTGTTAATAATGGAGACGCTACTAAACCGTGGCCTGCACCCGCACATGCGGCAATGGGCAGCAAGGTGCCCAGCTCCCGTGCCTTGCACCGACGCCGCGTGCTCCCTGACTCTGTCGTTAATGCAGCGTCCCGTCTGCCCAATGTAGCAGCTCCCACATGACATAGGAATCTTGTATACCACACCGGTCTGGCACATGGTGTACTTATTCCTGTGTGCAGTATTGCAGGTTGGCTGGCGGTTCGTGGCCCGATTTACTTGGCGGCACATAGAGTTCCCTCTGTTCGGTGCCGAGCACACCACGCTGACGTTTTGTCGTGCAGCGATCTTTTTGAGCCGGTGGGTGACACCGTGGAAATAGGGGACTACTGCGAAGTTCGCTCGTGAAGTCTGTCTGTCTCGCTCGGTACTGGGTGATCCTCTTGAAAATTTCCTGCAAATTGCCTCACATACGGCTCCAAGGAGGACACCTGGGTACCCGGAGTCACGAAGCCGGGCCATCTGCTTCTGAAAGCTGGCGTCAGCTTGATGGTTGCATGACTTGCGCAGCGCTGACACGAGTGCCGTGTTGGCAACACTCCGTTTTACGGTTTTCGAATGGCAGGACGCAAACGGAAGAAAACCTTTACTGGAACGAGGTTCGTACCTCCAGCATACATGTCCATCCTTAAACTCAAGTGCGAGGTCCAGGAACTTAATAGACTTGCCCACGGGTAGTTCATGAGTGAAGAGCAGGTCGGGGCAACATTCGTGGAATGTTTTCATGATCGTGCTCCTGCATCCGTTTTCGTCACTTTCGATGTCTGTGCTGCACAGGATCAAGAAGTCGTCCACGTACCTGAAGATGGCTTTTACTCTAGCATCGTTCAGTGTCGACTGGATGTGCCTACCACACGCCGCCAAGAACAGATCACATAGATGTGGTACCACTCTAGACCCAATGCATATCCCACTTCTTTGGACGTAGTCTAGACCTTCATACGAGATCACGGTCGCCGTTAAATATACCCCGAGCAGTTCCAAGAAGGCGTCTATGCTAATCCCTGCTGCGGTTTGAAAAGGCGTTACGCCGTGTTCCTCGATGGTCTCTCGTAGAATTGGTATGAGGCTAGTGTGAGGAATAGAATAGTACATATCCTGGATGTCGATGGAAAATCCAGATACTACCTGGGATCCATGTACTTGAAGATAGGCAATGAGCTCTTCTGAGTTGGAAATTCTGTACGGGTCATCGCAATGCACCTGGGACAGGTGCTTTGCAAGATACGTTGACACATGAGCTTGCCAGGTTTTCCTTTCGGAGACAATGGCACGAAACGGTACCCCCACCTTATGTGTTTTGGCCGAGAAGAAAACGTCAAGGTGACCGCCCTTCGTAGCCTTCACTTTGGTGCCTAGGCTGGGTAGATTGTGATCTTCAAGCAGCCGCTTAACGGCAAGCTTCGCTTTTTGGCCTCGTTTCCCATCAACCTGGATGAAGTTCTTTGCTACCGCAGCATTGGCCTTCTCTCCGTAGGTCCCAGCATCAAGGATTACGAAACCTTCCTTATCTGAGACACAAAGCCGAAGATCTTTGCTTCGTAGTTCTTGTACCGCGCTGCCAAAGCCCAAGCCTGGACGTGCCGAGCACCTTTGGCTTGCGAAGCACTCAATGGCTTCCGTGATGATTTGTGATTTCTGCTCTTCGTGAGCTCGGGACGCAATGGTGCGAACAAGGGCAACCTTGTCTACCGCCTCTAGCTGCGGTGGTGCAGCATACTTCGGTCCTTGTTCGAGAATAGATGTTGTCGCTTCTGAGAGATGGACGTGACCAAAGGTCTGGAGTGGCCATCTTTTGGCGTGTTCTTCTTTCCTCAGTGCGAGATGTTGCTTCAGGGCAGGAAGAAACCAGGTGTGGTAGGCACATCCAATCCACACTGAACGATGCTAGAGTAAAAGCCATCTTCAGGTACGTGGACGACTTCTTGATCCTGTGCAGCACAGACATCGAAAGTGACGAAAACGGATGCAGGAGCACGATCATGAAAACATTCCACGAATGTTGCCCCGACCCGCTCTTCACTCATGAACTACCCGTGGGCAAGTCTATTAAGTTCCTGGACCTCGCACTTGAGTTTAAGGATGGACATGTATGCTGGAGGTACGAACCTCGTTCCAGTAAAGGTTTTCTTCCGTTTGCGTCCTGCCATTCGAAAACCGTAAAACGGAGTGTTGCCAACACGGCACTCGTGTCAGCGCTGCGCAAGTCATGCAACCATCAAGCTGACGCCAGCTTTCAGAAGCAGATGGCCCGGCTTCGTGACTCCGGGTACCCAGGTGTCCTCCTTGGAGCCGTATGTGAGGCAATTTGCAGGAAATTTTCAAGAGGATCACCCAGTACCGAGCGAGACAGACAGACTTCACGAGCGAACTTCGCAGTAGTCCCCTACATCCACGGTGTCACCCACCGGCTCAAAAAGATCGCTGCACGACAAAACGTCAGCGTGGTGTGCTCGGCACCGAACAGAGGGAACTCTATGTGCCGCCAAGTAAATCGGGCCACGAACCGCCAGCCAACCTGCAATACTGCACACAGGAATAAGTACACCATGTGCCAGACCGGTGTGGTATACAAGATTCCTATGTCATGTGGGAGCTGCTACATTGGGCAGACGGGACGCTGCGTTAACGACAGAGTCAGGGAGCACGCGGCGTCGGTGCAAGGCACGGGGGCTGGGCACCTTGCTGCCCATTGCCGCATGTGCGGGTGCAGGCCACGGTTTAGTAGCGTCTCCATTATTAACAGACACAGGAATGCTTTGGCGCGCGAGATCCTCGAGGCCCTGGCCATTGAGCAAACCGGCGACGACTGCGTGAGCATGCCCTCCATCACGGTCAGCAAGAAAGAAAGGCAGTTTTTGCAGTGTGGCACGGCGCCGTGAAAGGGACTAGGAGGGATATGTTTCGGCGGTGGTCTGTGGGTTGGACCAAAATTAATAATTAATAATTTAATGTAATTAATTAGTTTCAATTTTAATTTAATATTATTTAATCAGTATTTTCATTTAGTAGTGTACTGTAAGGATTTAGGGTCATTCATTGGCATTACTTTAGGTGTGAATTTGAGGGTCACAGTGATGAAGAAGAAATATAAAGTCTTAGTTGATAGTCAGCGGTGTGTATGTCTCTGTTCCTCCCTGTCTGTGTTTGTCCCTCTCGTTCTAGCTGACCATTTACCTAAATTATGTACCAACTAGCTCAACTTCAGCCTGTTATCCGCAGTTGGTTCAAATTAGTCCTCCGCCGGGGCGTGCCGGTTGCCCTTCGATGGTTTGGCATGTAAATCCCCCATATTTTACTTTGTGGTTCATCCTGGTGCATCCTTCTTTGTTTTTAATCCCATTATTGGAAACTGTTTTTTTATGGCTGCTAGAAAAGTTAACCTAGTGATACTGAGCCGTCGCGAAAATTTGAATGTTGCCTCGGGTTTTGAAAAGCTTGCCCATCAACTTTTCTAGTGTGTCGCTCAAGTATGCTTTGTGAAGTTTTGGCCTTAATGGTGAATTCTCTGCATGTTGGCTCGATGCCCTATTTTTATGATACCATTTGCAACCTGGAATGTGCTGACGAGAATGTTGACATGTTGCTTGCATTTTTTTATTTTTCGTTCAGATTTTAGAGGTGCATGATGCTGTTGTTTGGTGGACGACAACCTCTTTTTTATTGTAAGTGTCCGTTGCCTGTCGAACCTTACCATTGCTCTTATTCGTGTTGCTTGGGGTTCTGCGGTGTAAACTGTGCAATACAGTGGAACTGTCGGGTGTTGAGTTACAAGGTCGTGCTATTCGTAAACAGAACACAGCTTGTTTTTCGCAAGTGAGCTGCATTATATTGTTATCTGGCACGACAACTACGAAGGGGGAGATCATCTTGGGATAAAGCTGCCCTTCTTCGCAATGCCTGTGCTTTGGGTGATTTGTGTTGATGACGCATGGTGTAGCTCTAAAGCCCTTGTTCCACCGGAGAACCAAACAGCAACATCCGACCAACTTCAAGCACCACGCAGGCAAACATATCTCTGGAAGGCTTGAGATCGCTCGCGCTTACTTCACGAGCACCGAGAGATTGCGAGCCTGCGAAAGGTACCTTTGCCTGCACACTGCATATGCACGAAGTTGGTCAGTGTGGGTTGTTGCTGTTAAGGGGGGACACTGGCTAGAGGTTGAACTTCTGAACTACCCAAGTGATCGGAATGAAATTCGCAGGGCAGATTCAACTCCAAATGTAGGTTTACTGTGCAAACTTTCAGCTCTCTAGGACAACTTTACATACCTGCATAAGAAGATGTGTCGCTCTTCGTTAAGAAATCTATGATATGTAAATGCAGCTATTAAGCATCGTCTTAACTTCTTGAATATAAAGTAAGGGATGTGGTACTTCAGTCTATCTAGTTTTTATAACTCAAATGTAAATATTTCAGGAAGAGTGATTATTTCAAAATATGAGATGCATATGTGTCCCATGTCAATTTTTGAAAACATTGTTTTTTCTCACTGAGGACTTCAACTGAAAACAAAATAAAGTAGATAACCCAATTCCCCCAGTAAATTTCAGTTCGGAAACATATAGATAGTGATATCAGAATAAGCTTATCTTCGAACAAAAGATTCCTTCGTATGAAATTCGCAGCAAAAAGCGGAACTGAGAAAAATGCATTCAAACATTGCACTCCTTTACTTTGTTACTGCCTCACAATGTGTCGAAAATATTTTATATCAACGTACCTATTTGGCACATGGTTATGAAATTTAGGGAAAGGGTGTATAATATGTTTTTAATACCAAAAACCTCAAAATTGAAAAATGTATTTTTTCAAACAATTTAGAAACTTAGGCCCATGTTCCCCCTTAAAACTCAAGTGGGACTAGAGCATAAGTATGCCACTGACAAAAAACCTCCAAGATGAGGTTTGCGAGGGCAGGTCTAGCGATTGACACGCACGTTTGTGTAGCTCACAACTGCATAAGGATGATGTCACCAGCTCCTATTCTTCAGGGTATTTCACCTAATATATGTTGGAACTAGCGACACTTGAGGTTGTCATTCGAGTTCTCTTGAAAGTTATGCGGGTGCAAATGAACCCCGTTAAATGAGTAGCTGTGCGTCGATCAAGGCGTAGTCTCTCCGAGGAGCGCCGTCTGTGCAGTTAATTTCGTGTCCTCTCATTGGTTCACAGTTTTAACCTTCGATTTGATTGGCCACAGGTCTGGCATCCCGGCGTTGGCGTCCAATGCTGCAGCGACTCTGCGGTTTGCAGAAGCAGACGACGACTGGAGCGACGGCTGTTACTGATGCACGGCCCCCCAAGCTTTGTTCCACCGTTTATCAAGAAACCGCAAGAGCCTGTTGTGCGGGTCAGGATTAAAGAGAGAATAAACATGTAAGACAAGGACAACGCAACCACATCTTTCAAGAAAGATCTGGTTGTGTTGTCCTTGTCTTGCATGTTTATTCTTTCTTCAATCATGGTTTCAAGTTTTTAAAGTTTTACGCATTTTTGTTTGAAAACCTCCCGACGGGAGAAAGCCGATTTTTGCTAAGGCGGCCACTGCTAGGCCCACCGCTACTTCCCCACCGCCTTCCGGTGCAACCTCCCAGGAGGAGCGTTTAATCCTCGCAACAGTGCCAACAGCGGTAAGGAGAAAACGTGTCGCGTGGGGGCAGATATGATTTAGATACCTATGAATGTTCCTCAACGTCGAGTGGTTGCCACTCGACTGAATGTCTAGAGCAGAGTGTGAGTTTGCCTTCCGATCTCGGAGAGGCATCTCGAGTTGTTCGCAAGAGTCCGAGTGTTTGTACGCGAGGTTTAAGAAGCCGCAAAAGCGAGCACCGTCGATCGTTCCTCGTTTTTGGACGCTGGAAAACCTTCGGTGAAGGTTCTTGCACGCGACAGCGGGCTAAACGAAACGCACAGGGTTGCGCAGAGCCGCAGTTTTTCGACCGGCGGCGTCCCCAGACATTTTGTTCCTCCCCTTTGGTGGCGAGTGTGTGTAACCTTTTGCTCATTTTTTCTAGTTGTGTGCGAGACGTGGGCAGCCAGACTCAAGTGCGTTGCGGGGGGGCGGAGCTAGGGCGATGTCATGTGATATATTTATGGACGGCTGCTGGTCTGCCTGCTCTTTTGTTCGGAGAAACGTTGACCCAAACACGTTTTCCTGCGCGGGTTTGCCGCGAGGTGCTTTGTTTTGCTTCTTTTACTGCGAGAGTTTCCTCGCACGTTGGGGGGAGGGGGGTAGCCTAACCCGGGTGTTAACTGCTGGTCAAGCTCGAGCCTGCAGTTGTTGCTGGATGCACTGTATATACGTTGCATGCTTTTTTTTATGGGGTACAAATAAAAAGGTAAGCTCGAACAACCCCGCACCTCTGAGTTACTCTGCCAAACTGAACCACCATCGTTGCAGAGCAGAGAAGGGCAACTTGAAAGCAACATTCTAGTTTTATTCGGTGCAAACACTGCGCAAGTTAAAAAAATATCCAAGGTCAACCCGCTGCTTTTAATATGTTTCCCACATTTTAAAAATATTGCAGCTCTTGTTCCTCGGATGGACGGCATCGGGCAGAAACAAGTGCTCGCAGACGGCTTTGGCAACTGTTAGCGAGGCCACACTATGATTGTCAACAGCGTGCCACTGCTATAAACGGTCTTCGTCAAAAGTTTAGAGCCCACAGTAGAGCTTGCCGAAGTTCCCTCTTGCCCATAACCCCGCAGCCAGCACTACCGTGGTGAGCTCTAAACTTTTGACAAAGACTACATACCGTAAACGCTGGTTTTGCTCAGGCGATGCACGCATTTGCTCAAAGGAGCCGTTGCGAGATCTATTTGTAGCTGGCAGTTCGGTTTTGTTTGAGCAATTGACATCCAGAACTGCGATGCAGAAATCTCGCATGAAAATCAACGAGGCATTTTTGTCTTTGGGTGAAGTAAGCTGCTGGCCTATCGGGATCTCGAGACAAAAAAGGTTGTTCCCGGAGGACTGGCCCAAACCCTCGGGTCGGGGCATTCGGAAACGCCTCTCCGCGAGCCTCTTTGGCGCCTTCGTACTGGTTTGGACATCTGAACTCTAATGGTACCGACTGCATTGCAACTGCTTGTATCACGAACGACGAAAGCGCACACTGGTGCCATCTATGTGCGGTGTCCCTGGAACACTTTCGATCTACGTACATTCCTTCATTTTTTACACACCCTTCTCGCACAGTGGGCTCAAACTAATCTCGACAACATTATAAGCAAACGTTTCTCCCAGATAGTGAATAGAGTTCCATCTCAAAAACTGCAACACCTTCGATCTATGGCCAGAGGCGGGCCAAGCATTGAGTAGTAGCTCCGCTTCCAGCACGCGCTTGTTGACTTCTGCCAGGCTATGGCTGCATTTTGTGACCGAATGTTATTGAAGGCAGTGAGCTAGAGGCCCGTTCACACACTTGCAACCGAGTACGACACCTGTTGAAACCTCTTAAAATTTCTTAGGACGAGAGAACACGCTGGCGCCACCTATGCGGTGACCCTGGATCTGCATTTCACAAGAGCGAAGGTTTTGCGGGATTTCCAAGGTCAAATGTGCCCCATACCTATGAGAAAAACTTGTTTATAACGTTGACAAAAGTATTTAGATCCAAGAACGGAAGGATAATGCACGAGAGAAATAGAAAATATGCCGGACCGCCAAGTTTACACTGCTACCCAATAGATGGCACCAGTGTGTCCTCTCGTAAGAGATATTAAGAGGTTCCAAGGCACTCTGTTCTAAGAGGTCGCAAGTGTGTGAGCGGGACTTAATGCTCCAGGTGGAGCATCCTATGGTTGCACGCAAGTTGAAAACGTCCCGGGACAGTGCTGTAACGAGCGGTTTCAATGCGGTCGATCGCGTTCAAATGCAAGTGGAAACCAGTGTTTTGGTAACGGTCGTCACAGCGACGCCCTGAAGAGTGCCGCTCCGGTGGCCTTGACGTCTGCTCTCAGCGAGTCCCAGGGAAACATGAGGCCTAAGTCCCGTTTGGCGAGTAGGTCGCGCACCCGGTACCCCCGCGTCCAGTTCAGTCCCAGTTCCGACAGAACCACCGAGACCCTGGCGGGCGTGTTGGCACGGTTGAGGAAGGCCACCGCCAGGGAGTGCCGTCCGCCGAGGCTGGGCATCACGGGACGCGTCCACACGCTCACGTCGTCCTCCTGCGCAGGTGCAGAGGTGGGGGTTGGGAAGCCAAAAAAGACTGAACGCCTTCTCTCGCTCCTTAATGCAGAATGTGGTTTGACTACGGTGCCTGGAACGTGTCTGACTCGTGCGTTTAGCACCCCATCGCACCCGTACATCATAAGCGGTCCAAGTGGCAACAAATGTGACAAAACTATGGTGCCCGAAGCACCGTAGGGTCGTTGCGCCCTCAAAAGTGGTCCCTCAATTTCTGCCCCATGACGTCCTAGACGCATTGCGCCATTGCTTGTCATGATCCTGGTGGTGGTATGGCAATGGAGGGGTATGCGGTAGACAGCTGTTCTGCTGCATATCGCTCTCCAGCTTGACGGTCCGTGGAAAATTTACCTGCCAGGGGTTGGGACCTTGCAGCAGCAACACTTGCGTTCCTTATACTTTTTGCAAGAACTAAAGCAGACAACTTGACAGATGTCTGCTTTCTGCTAAGAAAGCAGACATCTGTCAAGGTGTGCCGTGTAAGAGGAGATTTTCCTGTCGCCTAAGCACCAGGCGCCGACAATCTAAGCAAAAACTTCTGTTTTTGGCCGAAATTGGCTCCTGCGGTCTATACACCGGGTGTGGACTATAGTCCGAAAATATGGTAACTTCGGTACCACTTCCAATGCATGGGCGGCAAGGACATGCCAGTCGACAATGCATTGCGAGCACTGTAGTATCGGCCAAGAGCCGCCCCGTTTACACTCGTAGACAACTTTCTGCGGCGAAGCAGGTAGAGCTATGGACGCATGTGTGCTCGCTCATCTTGGGCACCCATCAAAGCTGCGCTTGTGCACTCTTCACTTCCGAGATGCGACAGAAAGTTATCTGCAAGTATAGGTGGCATTGGTCTCCACCTGGAAGACTCTCCTGCCCTGTATCCCCAGGGGGTCCTGGTCCAGGGCAATGATCTCTGGGTCCTGCAGCAGAAGGCGTGCCTCCTTGGACAGGCTGCGCAGGTCGTTGGACATGAGCAGTGGTCCCGCCAGGATGGCCCACAGGCACAGGTGGGCCTCCGCTTGGCTCGGCGTCAGACGCGTGTTGCCAATCATCAGCTGCGTCGGAGGCACAAGCAAGCGACCCTGTCAATCATCAAGTGCATCAGAGGCACAATTATCGGCTGCTAATCGGGGAACAAGCGTAAAACCTTGCTATCATTACACTCTTCGCATAGGGCACACTGTTCTTAAAGGGGCCATGAAACGAGTTTTCAACATTTTCCTTCTTGGCTTTCCTCCTCAACTCAAAAATCGTGCAGCATACTGAACAGTTGAACAAGAGCTGAGCCTGCAAAAATAAAAGTCGTGCCTGTATCAAGACGAGGCCACCCACCATGTCTGGGTCGTTCCAGTGGCCTGGCCCCGCGTAGTCTGCAAACACCTCCTGCTGGTCCCCAAAGTAGTTGATGATCATGTCGATGAAAGGCCAGCTGTCCCTGATGTCGTGGTAGTTGCGCCACAGATTGCAGTACTGCCTGAGCTCCCCGAAGCTGGGCTGCATCGCAACGCACATACCTCAAGTCATGGATGGCCACGTGAAGAAATGGATTTGTTTACATATTTCGACGCAGCAGCGCAATAATATGCAATCGGTGGTTGCATCAATAATTTCACCTGCACCAACATTGATTTGGAACTATAATGGCAAGAGGGTATGTAGCAAAAAGCTGGGGAAACTGAGAAAGAGGCGTGCACTTCCACCAGACGTACAAGTTGCCTGCAGTGTCTGTATGTTCTTTTGTTCCATATGTATCAACAGTGTTCAGCAATGGTGCCACAAAAGACTCAGCAAGCAGTTGAGCACCATAACAATAAAATTGATTTACAAAAATTGATTTACAAAAAAAAAAAAAAAAAAAAGTGTGCATGAGCAAATTTTTTTAAATCTTCCATCGTTATCTTGAGAACAGCATTAGAGCATCCCCAAAACTATACTGCACCTTTTAAAAGTTCTAGTAATGTTGTAATACAGCAGAGGTCGGCATTTTTGGCTGAACTTGCTAAGAGCTAGCTCACAATAAAAAGTTAAAAGCTCACCGTCACCCTGACGGCCGCACTCACCTTCAAGTCCACTCGTAAACTCGCTCCCCTTATCACACCCCACTCATAGAACTCATGAACTCACTCACCGACTCCACTCACTTAGAATTACAGGGTGTCTCAAATAGTGGCCAGGCTCTTTAAATCGACCGCATAATTTGATTCTTAACCTATCGCACTATGATTTCGTACAGTCTTGCCCACACACATTTTTTTTTTTTTATCTCAAATTTTTAAAGCAAACTTACCTGAGTTAAACGTAAAGAAAGAAAAAGGCTTAACTCTTATGGAGACGTGGCGAAGCCACCTGTCTTCAAACAATAGGGCGCCATTTGGCACGGGAGACAAGAGATGGCGCAAGCGGTCGCGACGTCAACTGCCACCAACTAATGAGTGTACGGCACTGAGAGCCGGTGTCATTAGCAAACAATCTTTTCGACTCAAAAGCAGTGCGCGTTACGCAGGCGGCGACAGTCGCAGAACCAAAAACAGGCGCGGTAACGGGAAACTGCAAAGCAGACAACATAAGTACCGCAAAAAAAAGTAAAAATAACCCGACAAACCATTGTTTTAATCGGTTATATGCCCATTCAATGAGTTTTATTAGTAAGGATGATAAAATCATGCATTGGCACCTGACATCGAAAAAGCTTGCACTGCTTTTGAGTCGAAAAGATTGTCTGCTAATGACGCCGGCTCTCGGAGCCGTATGCTAGTTCGTTGGCGGCAGTTGGCATCGCAACCGCTTGTGCCATGTCTTGTATCCTGTGCCAAACGGCACCCTATTGTTTGAAGACCGGTGGCTTTGCTGTGTTTCCATAGGAGTTAAAGAAATGGTGAACCGAAATTTGGATTTTAGAAAAACAATGCTGGAGATGTAGGCGGGCCGCTACAATTCCTACAACACTGCTCGTAAGGTGATATCTCAAATGGACGGCCGTATTTTTGGAAAAAGAAGTCGAGATTGAACCAGGCCGACGAGGCGCGTGACCGTCAAGATACCTAGTTTCCTCCTCTCTTCGCTTCGCTCCCTCAAGACCGTAAGGCGGGGAAGATGCGAGGCCGTTCCCTCTCCTTCACGGAGAAACATGACGTCAACATTCCTGCCAAATGCGCCTCCTTCCCTTCAAAAATACCGTCACCCGTTCGAGATATCGCTGTATGAGTGATGGTTTGGTGTTTGTAGCATCCCGTTGCACGCTTTTGCCGCGTGTTTTGGGGAATCCAGATTTTGGTTCAGCATCCTTTTCAGCCTTTTTCTTTTTTTAACTTTTCCTCAGGTAAGTTTGCTCTATGCAAATTTTATAGAAAAAAATGCACCACCTGTGGGCAATGCTGTACAAATCGTAGCGCAATTGGCTAAGAAACCGAATTTCGCGGTCAATTTAAAGAGCCTGGCTGCTATTTGAGACACCCTGTAGTTCTCACCCTCATTGAAGCCGCGGCACTGGCGCTCGTGTTGTGCACGAATTGCGCGTCGAAGTGGCTTTTACAACTCCTTTACGGCCACTGCCGCCTTCTGCCGTTCCGGCGCCAAACGTCACGTCGCCAAGTGAAGAAATGTTTTGTTTCTTTGTTGTTTCGTTTCGACTCCTTCCATGCGCTGGCGGAGAAGCTTGAGGAAGGTGAACTTTGTTGGGATACAAGGGCGCATAATCGCAAGTTTCGTGAAGCAGTATTCTTCACAGTGTGCAATGTTTGTTTCAAGCATGTGTGACAACTTGGTGCAGTCGGATGTAGCCACGCGACTCCTTGACTCTGCACCATAATATTAATTGGGTAGTCTCCTAACAGCATATTAAATCGCTTGGCAAAAAAAAAAAAAATTTTTTTTGGGGGGGGTGTTAGTGTTGTTTTTACGACCTAAATAAAACACAGGCTTCTAGTTGACCATATAAAGGCTGTCAGACCCCCCTAAACAGTACATTTATTTATCTCTCTCCGATATAAATATTCTAGTGACGGAAATGCGGGGCATGGCCAGTCCTGTGTATATTATTATATCAATCCGCAGTTATTGAGTTAACTGGTAAGATCACCGTGTGTTTCTCAAGCTTTTGGCAACTATATATGTGAATAGTAATTAAAAGAAACCTGCATAACACAGGTGCAGCATTTGAGATGCCAAGATGATAAAGGTCTGTTGTAAGCCACCTCGACCGTCCAAGGGCTCTACTCTACAAAAGCATTGGTGCAGCGAGCGTGCCAATTTGGCGCATAAAATACTGGCATGACCACGAATGGCGTCACATGCAAGCTATGTATAGGGCAGCAGTGGCACACAGCACTTGCAAGCCCTCCGAGGTCAGCGAGGCGCACGCATGCTACGTGGCGCAAGCTGCCACCCGATTAACAGGGTTCAGAATTGTGTATCCATCCATCCATTTAGCCGACCCGCAGCAGCAAGAGTACGAGCGAGAGTGGCTACCTCAATCTTGGCCAGGGTGAGGTCGTAGTACGGCCAGCTGCACGAGTACACCATGGGACGCCCGGTCTGATTCAGGTAGCGGGAGAACTTGGGGTAGCCTGAAACAACCACCGGCGTGAGAGGCTGCCGTGCTAGCCAGCCGCCGAGGTCGCATATCTTCCGAAGCGACTTGTACCATCAGAGGTCAAAATCTATTTTCTTATATAAAAGCTATATTTTTTTATGAAGCAGCACGGTAATTATTGTTTCACTAAGCAAATTGTACTCGGACCCTGTTTCTCTTTAAGGAACTGTCGCGAGATGAAACTTAGTGCAGAGAGTTATTTTAGCTCTATACCTTCAGTACATGTATAATAAGTCAGGTTTATGTGAAGCCAGTGTTCACATAATATATGTGAGAGAGAACTAAGTGGGTGTTTGTGGGACAGGAATGACGTCATTGTGGCACACATTCGTATGATCAGGTGGATCCTAGTGCTGTAAAACAAGCCAGAAAACTCGCCGCCTGCTCACGGAAAGATCAAACTTTCACAGAGTGTGCATTTAGGTGGTGGATTTTACCTGGTGAAGTTTTTAAGACAAAGCTACCTTCCTGCAAAAGGTTAGACCAACAAACTTGCCAGGGCAAACAGTGGACATGTTCGCAGATTACCGAGTTGGCAACGGTTGTAATTTCTGGTGCCATCTTCCATTTAGCGCAGCGAGCAGACAACAAAGTATACTGTCTGCTCGCTGCACCTAACACTTCTGCTGTTGAGCCCGGCAAGTTTCTTGGCCTCATTTTTCGTAAGAAGAAAGCCATGTCTAGAAATTTCACGTGGCAAAACCTATCACCTAAATACACGTTCATTGAGATCAAACTCTGAATGATCGTGTATTTAGGTGGTAGGTTTTTATGTGCAGGCAGCAAGAAGCAAATTAATCATAACAAAAGCGGCCAAATTGACCATTTTATCCCACCCTGTAAAGGTATTTTTAGGCAGTAAATGTTGACACGACCCCTCATATATTTTAATATTTTTTGCCCGCTTCGTTGAATTCGGAACCTAATTTCCGAAAAAAAAATATCCGGTCTTTGCCGTTGTAGCGTTGCTGCCAGCCTACAGGTGGGGTGATAGTGAAAGCGTGGGGCTGCTGTCAGCTGCAGGGAGAAGCGAGCGATCACCACACCTCCCCTTCTAGCCTACCGTGATTACACCACAGGTGAGTGTGGTGGCCGCCCACCTTGCTTCTGGAGGGTGGCATTGGAGTGGCAGCCGTCCACCTTGAGGTAGTCCACCCCCCAGGAGGCGAAGCGACGGGCGTCCCTCTCCATGTCCTTGTCCTCCGTGCCGGGGAAGCCCATGCACGTCGAGTGGCCGTAGTTGGTGTACATGCCGAACTTGAGGCCCTTGCTGTGCACCTGGGGGAGTCGCCAGCATGCTACGTCAGTCGCGCCAAACAAGGATGCTGCGGCCAACGCCACCTAGAATAATCCAAGCCCGTGCGATAGCATTTCGACATCACCACCGTGGGATAGAGCGAAGTCGCAGATTGGACGTGGTGCTGCGTCAGCGTTTGGCTGGGCCTTGTGTTCAATCAATGCGTCGTAGGACACTCGGCATCGGGTTCGGGTTCAGATGATGAGTTGACGTCACCCATCTGTGGCCACGTTCCATAGAGGAAGGAAAGAATACTCGCAGGCCTAGGATATTTTAGGTGGCATTGCCGCGGCAAGAGAAGGAGAGAGGACGCGTCCCCTTCTCTCTGTCTCGTGTCCCAGGATAATCGGGTTCGACCGTCGTCGGTTTGTTTGCATCTTTCATTTTACAACCACAGTGTCGCCCATAAACATTATCTGAACCTCAAACAAGCTTTTGAGGCAACACGTGCGACGAAACGGGCAAAAGTTGCAAATGGAAGCAAAGGGCACCCTTGTAGCCACAAAGTTAAGAAAAGATTGAGAATTGTTGGGACTTTTTTGTTTTTGCAGACAGACCCAATTTTCTTTTAAGAAAACTGCCAAAGCAGTACTGAGGGGACAGTCCTACATTCCATTCACACCCGAGCAGCGGCGGAAGCTGCTTGCTGACCGGACTAATCAGCCACCTGCCTTTCGTCGCCCAACCCCGCGCTCTCTTTACTCATTTTTATTTTTGTGTGTCCACAAACAGCACCATGCCTATAAAGTGGCACACTGTCATAGTGTTTGGGGGGAGGGGGGGGGGGGGGGGGGGGGAGGCATATGGGTGGAAGCGGGAAGAAAGATTTGCGGATATACAACATGGTCTAACGAGCATGTAGCTTCTGCCACTATGACAACTGCCCGAAAACGTCCCCCCTCGCAGTAATTTCTGCAATCATCTCGTAAGAAGGCAGTCCCATGCTTGACAGGCTCTTCAGCACCAAGTTCCACAATTCAAGCAAACATTGAAACTCATCCCCTAACAGCATCCAGGCGCAGGCTGCGTGCGACAGGCACCATACTAATCAAAAGGGCAACCACGCGATCAGAAACCGGCCTCCGCCGGAGCGCAAGCCATGCCCACGGATTCGTGGAAGAGGCGGCGAGGAAACCGTGTACCTCAGTGTTCCCATCGAAGTTCCGGGGTGTCGCGAGCCAGGCGCGCGCAGTGCGCGAGGCTTATACGCACATAGTCCGAGAGGAACTTCATGCCCCTTGGGAATCTCTCGTAGTCGGGCTCGAGGTCGCCACGGGCGTTCCTCTCTCGGGCCGCCCAGCAGTCGTCGATGATCAAATACACGTAGCCGGCGTCCCGGAATCCGTCGTCTGCTAGCCGGTCGGCCATTTCCATGAACAGCTTTTCACTGCATCGATGCGATACAGCCTACTGAGAAGCGGTGGCATAAACATGTCTCGTCAAATCGAACGGCACAGTGTCGTCCTACTGGTTCACACATTTGCATTTCAGCGCGCTTTCTCGTATTGCGACGAAAGAACACTCTGGCGCCATCTGTTAGGTAGCCCTGGAACACCGGTGATGGGCAGACAATGTTTCATATGTTTGAACAGTCTCCGTGACCAGTGAACCAAGGAAAATACCGTAATATCCCGAGATGCCCCAGCCCCGAAAGATAACCCACCTCTATTTTTGGCTTGATTAGCCGATTTCTCTTAAACACCTGCTAATCGTAGTGTTCGGATCAATGATGACCTTGGCGTACATGCGGCTAGTTAGCTATGGCGGGATATAAGCGAACATTGCTGACTGAGAATTGTAGTCATCTTTGTTTCATTTCCCCTCGCTGCAATAAGAAGTTTGGCAGGAAAACATAATAAAAAAATAGTGTTTTTTCAACTTTACTTGATTGTACACCAAAAGTTTGCCCACTCCTTCTTTTCGCCCGATTTGCTGTCGATTTTAGGTGGGCTATCTCTCGGGATATTATGGTAGGTTTTGTCTCTCCTTTGCGTATTGAAATCTTCAGTTGGGAGTCGGTGCCCGTTACATCTTGCATGTTTCTCGTCTTTGCCCTGCGTTTTTAATGTACTGGAATGGAAGCTAAGGGGCGTTCTTGCTGACGTAACTACATTCATCCTTTTGTTATGAGCTGTCGACAGGTGCCAACGTTATTAGATTAGCTCAGTTACGGAACTGCTCATAGACACCGCTCGCACGAGCAGTACCCCCACTCCTCTCACAACGGCTCGCCTCCCACCGTTTGACATGCCGGACGGCTGCTACGGTAACTACACTGTATTCTATGGAAAACATATGTTTCAAAGCACAGCGTCTAGATGGCGCATTTCACCATACCCTATCGAACACACAGTTATGGAACGAAAATCTAGATCGTGCTTCAAACGACAAGAGGCGGACAGAAGTGAGTGAGGGGGCTACCCAATACCACCTAGAAGACAAGGCCTGCGCATGACGTTTCGTTAGTAGATCCCCGACCCGCCCCAAGCGGCAAACACCCCGAAGCTTGACGAGAGTATATATGGGCCGCTTCAGAACTACGGCTGCGTTCCAAATCTTACCCAAATGGATCCGAGTTACTCCGACGGGTCGTGTCACGTGACAACACAGATATTGAAAAACGCTGGACGCGGGTAGGTTTTAAAATGCCAAGGTAATAAACACCTCATCCTGGAGTAAGATCGAGTAAATTTTGGAACACGGCCAACGTCGCATTCACTTGCGGCCACAGCTGCGTGCGCGACTGCTGAGCGCGAGCTGATACTACAGTGTACTAGAATTGATACCGAGCTTGCAGGTCATTTGTAACGTGCATACGAACACTCCCTCGGCCAGAAGCGCCGGCTAGCAGGCGCTCCTGGCTTTGGTACGAGCATTTCTCGAGCGCGCGCTCGTTCTGCCGAAGAACGCTTGAAAGCAGCCACCTCGAGCTCTCGTGCTTCTGGCATTGGCTGCGTTCTCTGCCTAGGAATGAACGGAGTATGAACAGCGCCCTCAAAAATGGCGTCCATTGCCAGCGTCCAGCGCCCAGCGGAGGGCTTTGCGGCCCTTCGCACAGCAGTAAGGCACTTTCACTCATGCATTTGACGCTCCACGTGAACGTCTAACTTCATTGTATGCTATAGCAAAAGACACTCGACATGAGCATCTGTTTCATTATCTGCTACACAAACAACTGAAGCAGTCAATGGAGCAGACAATATTGCAGACGATGTAGCAGACGATGTTGCTCATCCGGGATAGCTAGGGGGCGCTGAGGGGATCTACTAGTGATGACGTTTAGAGGAGGAAACGCGCAGGCCTTGTGTTCTAGGTGGTATTGGGCTACCCCCCACCGCGGGAGTTCCACAACTGAGGTAATCTAGTAACATAGGAACGGTGCCGAGCGAAGGCGAGTATTTGAAAGATTCACACCACTCCCGGAGATTGGTAGTACGCAAAAAATAATAAATTTTATCTTTTTTTTTTATATTTCACTTATTTTAATAGCAAAATGGCGGAATGTCACCATGTGAATGTATGCGAGTTTTGTGCGAGCTTGGCGTCGCAAATAAGGGTAGACGGTAGCAAGGTTGGCTACCTGCCAAACACCTGCGCCGGCTGGTCGTGCACTCTCCGCGTCGTCGCAAGAAAGAGGCAGGCGAGGCCAACGAAGGGACGCGGCGTCGCTTCGAAAAGACGCGGCGGCGCTTCGAAAAGACGAGGCGACGCGCGCCAGAAAGCCGGAGGCTGTGAACGTGTGTGTTGGTTGCGTTTTTCACAAAACGCAATTCTGAATTTAAAAGTTTGGTCGGCAGATCGAAATATAGTTGCCAAATAGCTAGCGTCTTGCATCCTCCCTCCCCCCGAACTCGCAAATGAGAAGCGCTCGCGGAAAACGACCACATGCCCGAGAATCGTTTAAAACAGAAAGGAAGACCGAACCTGAGGCAGTTATCCGGCTCCTTATAGCAGTCAATGTTGCACCTAAATCGCTCCCATGACATCCAGCCCATCGGAGGCGTCAGCGCCACGCCGTTATCCAGGCAGTGAGTTGGTCCGATTGCCCAGCCCAAGAACGCGGTCATGAGGCACCACCGACGCGATCCCATCAAGAGTCTGCAACCAGCGATCGTGCCACGGACATAGACGCATGGAGCAATGGGCTCGTTCCTCGCCATCACCAAATCGCTCACATTCTAACCGCACACGGGGTGCTAGAAGCAGCGATAAGCGAAAAACGTGTCCTGCGCCCATTCGTAAACAGAGCACCCGTCAGCTGCTTGCGTTGCCATGTTGACGAGCGCAGTTCCGCACTTCGCCACTAGACTGAAATGGGGCGCCTCGTGTTTTTCTGAATATATATTGCGATCAAATTTTCGGAGACCGTGTCCCTAAACTATGGCGGGGAAAAAAAAAAAAATATATATATATATATATATATATATATATATATATATATATATATATATATATATATATATATATATTGATTCAAAAAATCAATGGCAATTTTGTAAGATGAGTCATACAGCACCGCCAGGCACCGCGACCATACAGTTAATACCACTGGTTAATACAATCAACGCTAGAGGCTCATCTGGCGCTAGTGTCTACGGGACGTTTGGTTGCAAATTGAAGCAGACAGCAACCAGTTTTCCACGTGATATTTTTCTCTTCGCCAAGGAGTAATAGAAATCAGCGTAGTTTATTTACTCGTAACGGGTACGGGCACTACGTAGCTTTATTCATATTATAAAAATGTAATTAATTTAGCTATTTTTCTTTTATTATTGAGTGATGGCAAAACGCCCAGGTCTGTTGTACAGCATATGTCAATACAAGCTATTAATATCAGCAAAAAGACAACACTCCGTTACTGCTTCACTTTGATCATTCATGTAGTTTGTTACTGATCCAGTATATGTGCTTCGTTCATAACTCTGTGCTTCGTTCTTGTCGGGTTTTTGTTTGATATGGCATATTTTAGCACCCTTTTGGTGTTTTGTGAAGCTGATCACTTTGTGTGCGTCATGGCATTGCCGCAACGTCAACACGTATTATACTTGTGTATTGGGCTATTTTAGTGCAGTCTTCGACCCCATGAATTCTAAAGAAAAACGCTCACAATTTTGTAGATTTAATTGTAAAATGTTCCAAACTTTTTATACTTTCACAACACTAAGCCATATCTGCTGTTATAATCGAGCGCAAAGAGAAAACGAATTTGCATTTTCCCATAGGCATGCATTACCGGAAGTCAAATTTAGACTGGGTGCTGTCTGCTTCAAAATGCAACAGCACACTAGCGCCACCTTACGACCGGGCACAGCGGAGGCTATGAGCCAACAGAGCCAACCCAAGGCCGTGCGAGCATCATGCGACCTAGAAGAGGGGGCAGCGACGCGCAGAAATTGTAACTCGGTTGCGTCTGGACATAAGGTGAAACGGAGTATAGAGTTCATTGTAATAACTCACCGTGACCCCTTGAGGTCCATATCACGAGCAAACGACGTTTTAGCGAATAGCGCCATTTGAGCGAATTGACTGTTTTAGCGAATAACGGGGGCGGGCGTTAACCCGACCACTGCCTGCGCTGCGTTCACTCCGCTTTGCACCGGCAGGCTGCTGCGGCTCATTACAAAAATGTTAACCCACTTGGCCCATCCGTAAATGCCGCCTTGCGGCAGTCAACTATTCAGTCTTTCAATGAAAAGTCGGCGTTCCCCAAAGCTTCATTCAACCGAGGGCTACCCAAACCTCATGTGCTTGTTCAAAGTAACGCTGCATTTGCTAACGCTATTGTCAAACACGGTTTTACCACGAAATTCACTGAACACGCAAAAAATAAAAATCTAACAGCGCTAGCGTGGTCACCTTTGGCAGACATGCCGCGTGTCTAAGTCGGAGATATGTCGGTGGCATAGAAATTTTTATCATGCATCACGGAAACAATGCATTTGTATACAACCCCCCACCCTTGATAGATGAAATAAACAAAAATGCATTAAGCACTTACATCAGTCACTAGCAAGTCTCAGAGCAGCCCAATAAAGCGATTCATGTTTTTACTGCTGAACAAGAGTGCACATGCATGAAGGCACCTGGGAAGAACCCTTCATCCAAAGTGGACATTAGTTCAGTTGCAGCATCATGATCAGGTGAAAGGCAACAAACCGCTACCAAAAGCTAACAGACTGCAATTATAGTGCCAGAAACATGTTTTGGACTGCAATGCTTACTGCATCATCCTTGGTCCCTCGATTTCCGCCCGTCAGTCGTGTTAGTGTCATGCTGCTGCCTGCTTCAATCCTGGCGGTGGCACAGCTGGGGGGGTGGGTATGCCAGCTCTGTTGTAGGTTGCTATCCAGCCCAACAATCCACGCTAACCTGAGCAGCCAGAATTTGGGATGTCGCGACAACAGGAACACTTGCGTTCACTCAACGTTCTTTGCTGTAACATCTACAACCACTTTCGATGTACGGGTGGTGTATTCATGTTTGCAAGTCTTGCTCAGTTGGAGTGTGCTTGGGCACGGCCATAACCAGATTAAGACGCGTCCAAGCGCACCCTAACTGAGCAAAATGGCGGCACCCAACGGCTGAACTTGCAAACGTGTATAGGACGCTAAATACATTGGTCGAAGACTCGTTTCCAGGCATCACAACAGACCCTTCCTGAAAACTCTACAAGACCTGTCGGCCATCCTGCATTGTACCGCGTGGGGCCGCTCAGATGTATGCTCAGGTTGCCTCGTACATTATAAAAGCGGCTCTGTTCCTTCTTTCTTAAAGGGGCAGTGCAACGGTTTTAATGTTTAATTGCCAGTTTGCATTTTTTATATTGTTTATACAAGTCCAAGTGACCAAAAACGCGTCATTTTTCCCCGAAAAACTGCTAATCTGCTGCGTAATCGCAAGGCAAAAAACGAATTATTTGCCGATCTGCAGCCGCCTGTGGCAGCTACGAGAACTAAAATGCCGGCGTCTCTGGGGGTACGCAGAAGTCAACAAACCCTGTCCCCCTCCGCTGCTACACTTGCCGTCAGCCCCGTGGCGAACCGTCCTTTGTTTCCATCGCTTGCCGCGACCTTCGACAAGGCCAATCCTTTAAAAGTAGATAATTGCGGAGGAAGTGGCTGGTCTCTGAAGAGAGGACCCAAGGGGAAACTATGTGAACCCCCAGAGTATGTCACTCGAAAGTAGACGTGGAGAGTTGAGAGGCACTTTGACCTTGGATTTGTTTAATTTCTTTTTTTTTAAATAAGAACTAGCATTCGCAAAAAAATGTGGTTTTCTGCTTTTCGTTCCATAGGTGATGCAGATTAATTTCCGTAGTTAATTGGCCAAAGTCCGAAAATCGTTGTAGTATCCCCTTTAAAGGGATACTACAACGAAATTTCGGCGCTCATTTTTTGGTCTATATGTGTTTAAAAAAGCACCATCAAATCGAACATACCAATATCTCGTTAAAAAAGTCACGAAAAGGAATATTTTAAAATGAATTAAACGATTAGCAAAGAGCACCTGGTGGATGTCGCTAACGCCTCGCTTGTAATGCCCGTCTAGCAACCTTGGCAGCTAGTGACAGAGGTTGTCTCACCTTCCGCCACGACGAGAGAAGAGGGGCAGGAGGAACTCCCCTCTTCTCGAGAATGTCTTTTGTGTGTCACATAAGTCGCTATTGTCCCCCTACAAGATTATAGAAGATTAACCCGTCACTCAAAATTTGTACAAAAGCAGCCGCTTCGGTGGCTGGAACGACTAGGCCATCCTCTCGACGTAGCTTTGCTCGTCTTGAGACGACCTACGTCACGATTGCGTTGGATGTCACGTGGTCTCCGCTGGGCCTTCTCCGAGCGCTTGCCAGAGTGGGCCGTTTATAACGAAAAATACAGCCACCAGGCTCAAAATACAAACGTGCGATTGTCATTTACGGATATTGTGGATCATATTCAACCTATTTTTGAACACGACGGGAATATTTCAAATTTCGTTGAAGTATCCCTTTAACACTATGAGTTCAGAACAGAAAGAAAATGCAGTGAACAGATCGCAAAGGCAATATGTACCCTGTTCTGTTATCATCATGCTCTCTTTGCATCCAGAGATTGCAAAATGCTAAACAAGGAAGCCATTCTTTTCTATTTACAGGTACCCTTCGAACGCCACACATCGGAATATCATGGAGAGTCGGAAAAACGATGGCAGGCGCTGCACGATGAGAGTCGAGACAGGCAGTGTGTTGGGTGGTCGTTTATTGACAGGTCTAGGCGATGAACTCGTATGGCAGGGGCTGCAGCAACTCTGGCTCCTGTCTTCCGTTCAGCTTCACGAAGTGCGCTGGCCGGGGACCCTCGGGCTATGGGAAAGGAGAGAGGCAGTGAGCATCTGCTCGGGGCCACCAATAGTCTCCACCGACACCAAAGACCCACTCTGAGCACACGGCCGAGACGGTGGCTGGAGGGGGCGTGGTATCTGAAGTGGACAGTTCCATATTGCTACGAGGGGAATGAAAGGGGGATTGGTGGCCGAGCGTGTCGGCGCACGTGGACCAAAAGCTTGCATTGCCGATCCCAGGCACCCTGGGTTTGACCCTCACCCCTGCCCATTCTAATCTGGACGAGCATCGTACCAGCGTGCGGTCTTGTATCACTACTGGGTGATGCAAGCTGAAGAACCCAGGCTAGCAGTTTTATCTGTACTGGCTAAATTTATCATCTACAAGAGACACACCATGCGCTCAATGGGGCTGACAAACTTCCTGCTGTCTACATACACACAAACATCATTACTTTTAGGGGAGTAAAACACTATACTTTTTCTTTAACTAAGAGCCATCCAGTGGCAGTCTCAAAAGCTCTAACATTTCTGTCCTAATGGCGGTGACAGAAAAACAAGATCGGCTGAATCAAGCACCCTAACTGTGTGAATCAAAGGCAATGCACAAATACCAACATGTTAGCTTCTATGCTTTTGAAGATGTTCGTCTGGAAGCTTTGATAACTATTATCTCTCAGTGTAAGGCATCTGTGCCAAAACTAATGGCAGCCTTCTTGAGGTTGATAAAGGTGAAGATACAACCAAGCAGAGGATATAAGCATTCGTTTTGACGTGTGGTCCAATCAATCTCTTGTCACAAGTTCAGCTTTAAAGCCTTTTGATGGCAGAAGTCTAATCAAGGAGCTTATGGGTTGCCTCTTTGCACTGATCATTTCTCATGTTCCCACCATCAAAACTGAAACAAACGAAAGGATTATGAGGCGACTGAAGAACCAGTTGTTGTCTGCCATTCACGTGCGAAACTGACAATGCAAAATAAAATCCAGTTTCGTGATAGCCATTAGTTTCTCCATAGCCTCCTTCATGCAGACAATGCCTGCCCAATTTCTGGCTTTCCCATGGTTTGGTGCCGTTGCCCGTTTCACATAATCACTGCCAGAGGCGCCACGTCCCCATGCAAAGACTATGCTTGTCGGCTGCACACATAACGTGATTCAAATACTTTTGGAATGCATATTTCATAGCAGATGAGCGGCAACATGTGGTTTCCAAAAGAGAATAAACGTAGTGGACGGTAGGTATGACCCAACACGAATTACAGGACAGACGGACGAGTTGGTAAACTTTCACAATGTCGAAACCACAAAAACAAGTCTTTTATGGCCGATGCCAAGGACCAGGCGAAAAGCAGGAGGGAAGAGGGATTGCAACAGTCAGGGTCCTCTGGGTAACAACCATTAAGAAGTACCCTAAGCAGAGTGGAAGGCGTTAGCTGTACTATGGCTGTCGTCGGGCGCTCGTCACTATACTCCGTTTCAAACATAGCGTGCAACGCAGTCAAAGCTAGCGCACCGGTTTGCACTGCCGACCGCCTACGTTCGCCCCATAAAATAGTGCTACCCCGTGCAAGAAAAAAAAAAAATCGTAAAATGTGAATTTTTGGAGCTAGTAACTGATAGTGGCGTTATGATTTCGACGGAACACCGATTTTTTTTCAATAAAAAGGAAAAGATAATGTAAACTACTCCAAAGTCCAAACTGTTTTCCGTTTTTGTCCGTGCGGCAGTCGCTTCGGGTTTTCGGGTTGTGCGGCTTACCCTGCCTCGCCGGTTTTGAGGAGATGGCCTCTTACGCAGGGAAGCTTTCCTCTCCTGCTCGGATATTTTCGGAGATTCGTTGTGTGAAGATCTCGAAAAAGTGCAAGCAGGTGATCGCCAACGTGTACGCGAGTCCAAGAACGCGTTTCCCGGAGACGTCGGTCCGTGAAGTCCTGGAGACTGTCAGTAACGACACCGGAGTGTCTGGCAAGGTGGCGTCCCCGAAGCGAGGACCTCGCAACGTGAAAGTTTTGAGCACGCGGACCGTGTTGTGAACTGCCTTCTGTTATTTCTGGTGTTAAAATCGGCCTTGTGGCTTCAAAGTGAATCAAGCCTCAAGAAGGAACCGTGTCTGTGATGAATCGTGCCTACGGCTTCGTCTTGATCGGCTAAGCGGACGATGCCCGTGGTTGCATTCCGAAGCGTCTGGGTTTGTTTGCCTGTGGGACCGTAACCTCGGTCGGCTCCGTCTGCCTGAGGCACCTTAACCTTGGTCGGCTAAGTGGACGACGCACATGCCCGTGCCTGTATTCCGAGGCCCCTGCTTTCCTCGGAAAAGGAAACAATACTCGATCCTGCTCTCGAGTGCCGTGTGTTGTGTACGCGTCTATTGTGAATTACTCCCGGTTCATGGGAACGCCGGCACCAGAGCAGCGAGATACTGCCGTCTGGACGACTTGCATACACCGGCGAGTATTTGGACTCTGAAAAAAACTTCCATGAAGTCCCATCACGCGAGGGAATGCCAAGCCGTCTGACCAATGGCAGTGCGGTCCCCTAATTCCAGTATTCGTTGTATAAAGGACCGTCCACCGCACTCTAAAGGTATTCTCTGATTTTCACGCTACCGTGTAAATAAACGGCTTTAAATTGAGACGCCCTGGATCTCGACCGTTCTTCCGTTTTGACGAGGCCGGTACGGGGTTCAAACGGAACACCAGCCCCTAGTCTACCGCCTTATAAATAAAAACAATAAGAAAATAGGAATTGAAATATACACTTCCGCAATGCGCACAATATTCGCACAAAAAATATGTTGAAAAAAAGAAAAAAAAAAAAAAAAAAAGAAAAAAACCTTTGCGCTTGAAGTGAATTCGAACCACTGCCACCGAGACGTCGGTATTGCCAGAGCAGCGCCTTGTACCACTGGGCCACGAAACACGCGGAGTAACACTTTTTTTTTGTGTGTTTTTTCATGCGCGCTACTTGAGTACCTTTCCCAGCGTTGCACGCTATGTTTGAAACGGAGTATACCTCGAGGTGCGCGAGAGCTGGACAAGTCAGCCAGCCGAACAGCACCGAAAGAGGACGTGGAAGGGTATGTGGCCTGATCCAGCTTTGACGACAGTGAGGCCCCAATTAAGCTGGGCCTGGAGTGAAGCCTCAGCAGGATGCTGAGGCTTCACTCAAACATACATTAAGAAAGACCTGTCCAGGCAGGTGATTGCAAAAGGTGCCTGGTGCATACTCTCGGGTAGGCAGGAAGTAGAATTTGGGACACAGTCCTTCGTCACTTTTCATGGTCCTGGGTTTTGCTTGGGGGGTCTTGGAAAATGACAGCCCCGGCACCTTCTTTTGCAAGTCTGCTTACAACGCAACATTAAGTAAAAAAAAAAAAAAAACTTTTTTGAATTGCAGCTTACAGCTACCACACCGAATGCCCAAAATAGCGCCAAGAATGCAAGAATGTTTGAGAGAGGCTTAATGTCTTTGTTCACGTCTTCTGTCATGTATGGGGAAGCGGCACACCTTTGTGGCGATAACTGGCAATGGGGAATAGGGCAGGCAGTATCAATACACAGGAGGCTATGGTTTGTCAACAGTGAAACTACTTTTTACCACGAAACGGCACTGAATTTTGAAGAGGGTCTATGCCGAAAGCTCTAGCAGCGCCATACTCGCAAGCGCCGTTTCGGCCATGCACCTCCACTGGGTTTTCCGTGCTAGTGGAGACTACAACAGGGAGGAGGAGAGACACTTACCTGTCGCTTGCAGCAGACCTTGATGCCGGCCTTCTTGGCTTCCTTGCGCAGCTCACGGTTCTTCTTGGCCCTCTCCAGGAAGTCCTGGCGGCACTTGGAGTGCTTCACGTGCTCAATGCGCAGGTTGATGCGCTTGGGAATGATGCGGTGCCTGCATGCCACACATTCTCAGCAAGACAAGCTGGTCGCCGGAAGACATCGCAGAAAGCAGGGAAAGGTTATTGTTCCCTGACGAGGCTAAGCCTGGCTTAAAGCAGTAGCAGTTGCCACTCCCATTGTACCCCATGTCCCATGAGTGGCCCGGGGGTCACCCACGTTGTCCTGAAGCAAATTTAGAAGTCCCGAGGTTGCAGCTACATTATTTGCAACTCCAGAGGAGGGCAGCACCATCTAGTAGAAAAAGACGCGAGGGAGAGAGACAGGCAGCTACTCCCTATTCGAGTGTGCGGCAAAGAATACACTCCATTTACCCGTAAGCTGACAGTGCAGTGGAAGCTACATGCCTGCTGGAACGGTCATACACATTCGTTTCGCCATGCGATTACTCAGCTGCCCATACCCGCACGCAGAGAACGAAGTCAGGTGATTAAAGGGAGACAGTTGATTGGTGTGGCATACGTGTAGCACCCACAATGCTCGGCTAATGAGTGAATGGAAGACAGCACGGCCCAGTAGCCGAAATATGAAACGGAGGGAAGGGGAGAAAATGCACACCGCTGGGGTTGTGAATACTCTTCATCTCAACAAAAATTCTGTGAAAAACGGCGCAAAAACATTTACCTCCGTTTATGACGCCATGCTGGTGGCCATTCCTACCAGTTCTTGCCAAAAAAAATATAGGGCTGCGAAATTGACACTGCACAAGGTATGCACTCAGCAAGGCCACCACGAATGCCAGCTGATTCGATGTTAACGCAAGCTAATGTATGAATGCGTCTCTGTCAATTTATGTCATTCTTGCCGAACACTAATAGAGAAAGTCCGTTGCTCAAGCACGGCTTTTTCACTCCCCACAATGCTAGCAGGGGAAGCTGCCCCCAATGCCTCACCGGACGCGCTTGTTGACGATGACGCCGACACCGTGCGGCGTCACGTTGAACACTCGGCCCGTCTTGCCGTGGTAGAATTTGTGCGGCATACCTTTCTGGAAGGCTCCGTTGCCCTGCGAAACGAGAAAGGTACGCTCAGAACAGTGGTCTTGCGTAGCACCACCACCGAGCTGTCTGTGCGGAAGAGGGCCTCACCTTAACGTCAACGTAGTCTCCCCGCTTGTAGACCTGAAGGAAGGTAGACAGGTGCTCGACGCCATGCTTCCTGAAGCCCCTGGCGAAGAGGTAGCGCGTTCCTCTCCGGTAACCCTTGGTGTTCACCATCCCTGTCGACAGCAAGAGATAGGCTTAGCGAGTGGTACCACACGTGCTCACTACGGTCGGCTACCAGTCACTTCATTTAAGCCTCACTCGCAGGGCGGCGAGTGAGAAACCAAATAATAAGGATTTTAAGCTCGACATTACATTAATTGTTAGTGTACGCGTTCGAAAAGATATGATTAGGATGGAGCCAAAGTGAACGTGGCTACTCACCGCTAGTGAAAGATCCCAAAAGAAAGATCCGCACTAAATGTCCAATAATATGTATTGTTCTTGCAAGTTACGAAACAATTATTAGTCTAAAAAGTTTATATTAATCACTATATTATAAATATATACATTTTACTTCTAAGAGGTAATAAAGAGACATTCAAATTTTTTAACTAAAGGAAAACCAGGACCGCAACAGCGGCACTTGTAACCTAGCAACAGCACATAGCAACGTTGGCGCGGCAACAAACAAACCGAGCCTGTCACGAAACAAACACCGCTGGTATGAGGATTTCGCCGGAAATTGATGCTGAAATTAAGCGCATCAAATCAGAAATCGAGAATGAAGAGAAAATGAAGTAGGTGTTGTATCCTCTCTCGATATTCTCGCCAACGTTCTATCCCTTTCAGGCACATGCTGGAACAAAGCATCAACGACCTATGCAAGACCGTCCAGTCCCTCGAAATCCAGTCGCAGAGCACGGACGTTAGCGACGGTACGCTTTAGTTCTGATTTCGTGTGCACCTCAGCGACTCAAAATTCCTTATAGAAGCGCCTGTTTTTTTGTTTTTTTTATTTTATTTTATTTCTTTTTTGTTTACTTGGTGAAAACAGTTTGGGGAAGAGGATGGGGATGTGAGCCAGCTTCACAGCTGTTGAACGTTCATTCTCTGCAGAGGACGAATGGAAGGTCCGCTACTACACTCAGGTGGAAGTCAACGAACAGCTCGAACACCAGAGAGACTGGCTCAAGAGCCGCGCCGAGGCGGCCAGGGTGAACAACAGGGAAGGTCTGTCAGTCCGTAGCCCCGGTGTAAAACCAGTGTTCTCACCAGTTTCCACCGGCAGGCCTCACCGAGTACCTGGCAGACCTAGACCTGGACAGCCTGACTGAGGTACTTACCCGGAGACAGGGGCACGGCTGTGGCGACTGTAAGGGTGTCTTGTTCACAGAACCAGCTGGTGCGTTACCTGAAGCAGCTGGAGAAGGACCGGAATGCCGTGCACAACGAGATACGGGACACGGAGTGGAAATTGGACCAGGAGTCTAAGGTCGGCACTAGAACCAGAAATAAGCTGTGCTTAGAGTATCGGCACTCAGCTTCCTGGTATTCTTGCGGGTGGGGCCATTAGAGAACTTCATTCCCCGATTTTCTTGCGGGCGCCGCCATGTTGGCACTTCTTCTGCATCTTTAAATCAAGGAAGCTCAAGCATTTTATTCTGTTACAGACTGTTTCGACGTTCTTGCAAAAAAAAAAAGTTTTCTGGGGTTTCAGGTAAAGTTTCAGATAGCTGGAACTTTACCTGAAACAAGATCCCATCCCTCCATCAATGGCCAAGTGTTGTTGCTCTTAAAGGGCCACCTACAGAATCCTCTTCTGCCAGGCAGAAAAGCGCTTCCCAGTTTCCTTCTCTCTATTCCCCCTCGCACTCAGTGGGGAGAGAAGTTTTCTTCTCTCCCCACTGCAAGAAGGAATTGAGGGAGAGTTTCCTCCTTTCTGCTGCTTGTCAGCCCTTAAGCGTAAAATTATTTAGCGGTGCTAGTTGGCACAGGCGGTTGGGTCAGGCCCCGGAGAACTGAGCACCGCCATTCTTGGTGCAGGCCTTCCACAAGTTCAACGACACTCGCAAGGCATACATGACGGAGATCACGGATGCCATGCTCAACCTAGAGTCTCTCCGAAACCGGATCAGGATCGTCGAGATGAACGAGCCTGGCCCGCTGCTGGCCAAGTGTCCCAGACGCCTTAAGTACCTGTACGTTACGTAAAGCACTCGGTTGGCTCCTATACCGATTTCGGGCTAAAACGGTGCAACGAGACATGGACGAAGTGTTCATATATACAGGCTGTGAGCAAAATAAACTTTCAGTTGCTAGTCAGCACCGTGTACTCTCGTTTCTACTTCGTCCGTGTCCCGTTTTGCTGTTTTACCACGAAATGTTAATCAACCAACCAGCCTAAACAAACCTTTTAGCAAGCTTCATTCCTATACCAAAACCACCTAGAATACAAGGCCTGCACGTGAAGTCATCATTAGTGAATACCCAACCCGCCCAAAGCAGCCTACAAGCTGAAGCACGACGAGAATCGCCGCAAAGCGACAGACGCGCTCGCTGCAAGACGCGCTGGCGGCGATGCTGACGCAAGCTAGGCAGCACTGCGTCGATCCACTAGTGATGACATTAGTGGGGGTGCAAGGCGTAAGCCCTTTCTTCTATGTGGTATTTCCTACACTCGTAGCGGACGCTACAAGCCGTTCCAACCAACCCAGCACCGTGAACGTGTCGCGCGACTATGTGTGCCATGCGCCTTTCACGAAGGTCACATGACAATCGTACGGCCTTGGATTGGCTCAAATAACTCATAGCATCCACCGCAGTTCATGGCAAGGTGAATTGAGATAAACAAGTGTGCGTTTTGGGTTAGACATCCATTCACCGCTAATATGCCTTCCTTAATCCACGCTATTTTCTCTCCGAGAACGAGATCCTCGATTCTAACAGGTATCGTTTTCACTTGACATGGTCGGTACTTCGCCCCTGCAATTCACACGTATCTTCCAGTTCCCTGCAATGGTGAAAGATTTTCAACATCAAAGATACGAGAGGTATTAATTTAGCCTGGTCAGGCAGTGTCAGCCTACGAGCTACCCATAGAGTGAAGACGGCTTCAGATTCTGTGACCAGTAGCGTCGCTGCATGGACAAATACCAGTTGCAACCAGCCTGAAGACGATTTACTTGTGCCCAGAGTTTGCAAAGACTGCAAAATATACTAGTCGCCGACGGGATCAGAATGGCGGGGCGTCCCTTTCCGAAGCCCGGCCTCCGGCATGTGCTAGTTGCCTTTGGCCATACTTTGGCTGCGCACACGCGCTTGAGGCTCCCGAGACGACTCAGCGTTGTCGAAGGTAGGGTGTTCGCATTTGGGCCGGGACAGCCGAGACTGCTCCCCACCATTCTCATCCTGTGAGTGATTAAAGTGTGTCTGGCTTGTCATGGCAGTGGCTAATCCCAGCAGGTACGCTTGCTCGCGCAGCAACCTTCTCCCGGATCAACGCATCTTGGACCCTCGGAAAGGTCCGATCCGCAAGACGGCCGCCGTGCGCAGCCTCCCCAAGCTGGCTCCGACAGAGTCCCCCCCAGACACCACCGCCGATCCGGAGACCTAGCTGAGCTGGAGGCCCGGCCAAGCCAAGGCCAAGTCCAGCCAAAGGCGTAGCCGAGCCAGTGACCTAGCCGCTCGGCTCTGCCCACGCACGCGCGGGCTCCTGGCTTCTTTGAACAAACTGCACAGTCAACAGCACCCTTTGTTCGGATGGAAGTTCTTTGGTTTCGCCACCACTCTCGTTGTCGATGCTTCAAACGCAGGTCCACGGCACTCGAACACGCGTGATTTACGGCTACACTCTGACCGTAAGCGTTGAAGAACCATTTCATGAAACTTAGGAACGTTCCGGAAAGAGAGCAAAGAGAGCAGTTGTAGGAGTGTCCACTGCATGTATGCATATCGCACTAAAAATAATGTAAAAGCAAAAAAAAAAAAAAAGCAAACGGTAATTAGCTATTGATGCAAGCTGCAAGGAACAAATTCCAAGGCTTGCAAAAGCACTGCTGTCGGGGCTCCCTCTAGTTTACAAAATTCCGAGGCTCCAGTTGTGCAGCCCATGAATCAACTCAGCTTGAAATCTGCCCTCGCAGACCCTGGGATGGGCAGTATGAGCAGAATAAAGTTGCTAGTTTAAATGCCACTTTTTGTCGTCCTTGGCACTTGGAGACCCTTTCTCAAAGACAGTGTACACGGGCTCTAAACACAACTCTTTATTTCTACAAAAACAAGCAATGCGTCGCCTCCAACCACTTGGTCGTCCCCAAAGAACTGGCCGTTGCGGGTGGTCCTCAGCGGACTGGAAGCCACGGCTCGAATACGTCCGCATACTTCTTGCGCTCTGCAGAGGAACCATGGTCAATCAGCGCAAACCAAACACGACTGCCAGCCATCGTGTTCTTCAGAGAACAATGTGCGTCAGACGTAAATCGACCACCTCTTTTAACGCACGTCGAGCTATGATTGTACTACCTCAAGGTGCTCCGAGTTCGCACTTTGGGGAACGCTTTAAAAAAAAAATGTTTCGTAATTTAGTCTCACTAAATCTATCAAGCAGGGTGCATTTTGAGTGTAGAGACCTAACACAAAAGTGCTGGCAGTCTGGAGGGTGATGCACTCCAAGACACTTTACAATTCACAACCACGACCTCATCTGTCTTCAAAAAGTCGCTCACAGCAGGTCAGTCACGCCGTGAATGTGAGTGATTCAGTTTATAAGTGGGCCGAATGTTTAAGTGTCAGTGACTGTGAATGAGTTAGTGACACTGCCGAGGTATCTCACCTGGCTCGGGAAAGTCCTCCGGGTGAAGCAGAATATAGTGTCTGAGCAAGGCGTCCCTTTCCCTCGCAGAATACATAAAGTAACGCCGTAGCCCTTCTCCCGTAACCGCTCCAATGGACGCTGCGATCAGATGCTTTTGGATACCTGTGAGGTTTCAAGGCACAATGATCAGACCCTTAGCAAGAGGCACACGGTGGCCTCCCGACAACGCTTCCACGCTCAACGTGGTAGCGCTTTTGGGAGTACCCACGCCGAGAGAGCTTGCAGCCGGATTGTTTCTAAGGGCCGGCGCCGAGAACTCTCATTCGGCCGTGCTCCAAGAAAGCCCGAGCGGCGTCCCCATAGAAGGTCGCGGGACTCACCGCTGAGCGCCGGTCTCCTTGTGGACAAGTTGACGACGCATATGGTGCCGATTCCTATAAAGGCAGGAAAGCCCCAGTACCAGAGTTTCGTGGTTATGCTCCGATGCTCTTCGTCACGGGTCGGACGGAAAAGGTTGGCGTAATACGGGGGCAACTCGCCGTAGCGACCAGTGAGATCAGCGTTAGCAAACTCGTCGTCCGCCATCTTTCCTTTTCTCCCGACGGAGAAGCTACGGGTGAATGGATTAGAGAACCGAACAGTGGAACTGACTACAAATTAGGGGGCGACCTGCGCCACCTAACGACCGTTCGTTCCGATGACCCCGCCGCTGCTTTTGCGCATGCACCGCTTCGTTATCGAAACGAGCGACTAAAACTCTCCACTACCTGAAAGCGAACCACGGAATTCTTATGCTACTACAGCAATACTCCATCTCACAAACCTTTGCAGTGCAAGCCCAGTCAACATTGACGCCGTACCACTGTGATGATGCTCCATAAAGGTGAAGCCTGCTCAATGTCCACAGGCTCCGGATGCCGTAGAGAATAAAAGCGCTAAAAACGTAGCAGCAGATTTTTATAAAGCAAGTTTGGCAGAGAATATTTATGAATATGCTTAAAAATACCCAATGGTCCATTTTCCTGTAGATACAAGATCCAGCAGAAAAGCATATTCTGCACTGGGACACACCTGGAAGGCGCTAGTCCCTACTGCTGCACAGCCAGAGGCCTAAACAACAGGAGCCAGGCATATTCTAAACGTTTTTATTAGGGTCCATCCAATACAAAAAATAAATGATGCCACTAAAATGAGCGTCGTCCTCCAATAGCAATGAAGAATGAGCAAAAAGTACTTGAATATATTTACTGTCAATGAGGTATGAAGAAATGAACGACTGCAAACGGAGCACAAAAAAAATAAAAAAAATAAGTGTGTGTGGCACCGGCTCCAGAGCTGTGCCCCGGCCTCCCGGGACAGAACATTGGTGTCTTATGTACAAGCCCGAAGAGCCGAGCTCTCGTCCCAAGAATGCGACGACGAGGGGGGACAACCCTCGCACAAAACTGCCCCCGTAGACCCAAACAGTCTGTTAGTCCACCCCCTAGCTACACTGGAGAACACAAAAACAAAAACGCGGCTCGCACGGGGAAGAGGGCGGTGGAAGGGACAAAAAACCCTGGTGCTAACGACAAGAGAAAAAAAAGTGACACGGGGACAACAAAGAAAGAATGTGGCAAAACAAAAAAACCCGTCTGAAGGATCGCGCCCGGGAACCCCCGTCAACATCACTCATCGTCTTCGTCATCTTCTTCCTCGGCTTCCTCCTCCTCTTCTTCGGCATCATCGTCGTCATCTTCATCCTCGTCCTTCTTCTTGCCCTTCTCCTTCGGGGGAGAGGCGCCCTTGGTCTTCTTGTTCTTGTACGCCTTCAGCTCCTGCAGGTGCATGCAGATCAGCTGTCAACCGTGCCCTTTCCAAACACCTCGGCAGAACTCACCTTTTCGTAACGCGCCTTGTCCTTAGCAGCCAGGCCTTCATACTTCGACTTGGTGTCGTCGCCGACGTCGTTCCACCGGCGCCCCAGCTCCTTGGCCACCTCGCCCACCGAAGCGTCGGGGCTTTCCTGGCGCACGTTGGGCCTTTCGTCGTTACAGAACCAGAAGAAGGCTGACCTGGAAACAACACTCTTCAGCATGGGCAAGAGATGCTCGTCAGCATAGACAAGTGCTCCTCAGCACAGGTGGTACAGACCGAGGAAGGGGGTACTTACAGGGGCCTCTTGGGGGCATTGGGGTCCTTGGTGCGCTTGCGCTTCTTGGACTTCTCACCCTTGGGTGGCTTGTAGTCGGCCATCTCGGAGTCGAAGCGCTTCTTGTCCTTGTCGGCCATCTGGTGGAAGCGCTTCTTCTCGCCCTCGCTCATCGTCTTCCAGCGCTCGGCGCACTTCTTAGAGAACTCGGCGAAGACCACGTTCTCGCTGGGGTGCTTCTTCTTGTGCTCTTCGCGGCAGGTCTGCACGAAGAAGGCGTACGCCGACATGCGCCCGCGCGGCTTGTCGCCCTTGCCCATTTTCCTCGCAATCTTCAGGCCGGTACGGGGTTTCCTCGCAAAGAACGAACTGCTGCAACACCTGCGATAATGAAGCGGCACGTCTGAGCGCACGTCAAACAACCGAAGAAAAAAAAAAAAAGAAGCGTCGCCGGTGCCCTTATAATGCCGCCAAAGTCAAAAAGAACTAAAACAAAAACTTTCATTCAGTGAATCGGTGTAACGGACAGAACCAAAGTAATCGGTAAACTTTTGTGGCGGGAAAAGAAGAAAAAAAAAAGTCGCAACGCACCGGGGGGTTGAAACGGCCCGTTCAAAATGGCGCGCGGTTACGTTTTTGGCGTCTGCTTCAGATCGGTTTATTGACCTCCGGTATCTGAAGATTTTCTTCGCAAATAAACAGACGAGGACGGGATAAGCGATCGAATAGCGGTTTTTGTCTGGCGGGCAACGATACTTCCGACGAAGGCACAAACAATAAGGGAGCGTAATTAGCGGGCCTAATGAAATCTGTTCTGACGGCGTCCCCCTAAAAATGTTCGAAATTCGAAAAAAAAACAAAAAAAAAAAACAAAGGCTATTTGCATTTTACAATATGTCCCCCCTTTCCCTAGGAAAAGAAAAAAGGATCTGTGACGAAGAGTAACCGTCGAAGCAACAACAATATTCCGACTATTCCAAGAAAAGTCCCTCAAAAACTCGCAGTACTGAGTCGAAATAAGTCACAGAAAAGCAAAGGACGCCTCGGCGATGAAAATAGCAACGAATAGCATCTTTTCGCGTTCTAAATGGGCTGCAAGCGCCTACCTGGCTGACGTGAGCGAGCGGCGCGTCTGTAGGCTGCGTAATGGAAGCCGCCGGGGCAGTCGCAAGCACTGAAAATAGCGAAGACCGGGAAGAAATCCGCGTCTTCATCAATGAAAGCCCCGTCGAAAAATGCCCTTGGACGTTATCATGGCTTCCGCTGCTAACACTCGCTAGGCTCGGATCCCCCTGGCCACGGAACTCAAAGCCGACCGTAGCAGGGATCACACGGGATTTGCATTGCTACGGCCGTCCCATAGAAAACACTAGGCCCTTGGGTTTTCAATGCGCGTCCATAGCAAAAGCATGGAACGCCCGCCAACAAAGGCAGGCACCAAACGCCCGTTTTCAAAATTTTTTCCGGGCGTGAAGAAAAGGCACAGTCACACCGGAAAAAGATTCGTTAGAAAGCTTCGTCCTTCGTCTACAACTCTGCCGGGCCACAATTAGCGGAAAACGCATGAGAAAAGAGATAGGAATTTTGGCGCAAGGGTACTGCCCGCGACTTCCCCCATTGAAACACTATGGCGTCCATAGGCTTCCTTTGTGAGGCCTCGCACGGCTAATGCTTCCTACGGCGCCCATAGGGATACATGTAAAATGCTACGCCGAACTCGGAATTTACCTCGTCTCGGCGGCTACTGTCACGATTAAAAGAAGTTACCGATCATTACGATATTTTCGAAGAGACTTACTGCGCACAAGGTGGTGCCTCGGAGGTGGTTCGTTGGCAAGAATTCGAATAAACAAGCTGGCACTCGCTGCAACGATGGCCTCCTCAGATCCTATCCACCGAGAGCGCCGCTGAATTCTCGCCACAGGAAAGCAATGGAAGAGCCCCGATTGGCGGGATTTGGATTGAGCGCACAATGTTATCCAATGGCGGTACTCCTTTATATCACGTGAGCTGACGTCGCCGCCAATGAGAAAGCCGAGTGAAGTGAGCGCGGGAACCGCAATGGTTGCAGACGACAAAGATGAGGCGGCCGTTGCCGCGGTAAATTAATGGGTAAATCAACAATCCGAACGATCCGAACAAAGTGTGACTATAAAAAAAAAAAAAATAATAATAATAATCGTCTTCAGCAAAAATTTTCCGGATCTGTTTTTTTCGATTTTTTTTTTTATTTGAGGAATCTCATTAGTTGTCGAACGTTCGACAAACGCGTGGACAAGAAAAGAAAAAAAGGACGATCGCGTATTTTTTTAGATTATTATTTGCGTTAAAACGTTAAAAATTAATTGGCGTTTTAACAGTAGGTTCATGTGTTTAACTTAACCAAGAAAAAAAAAAAAACCGACGCAATGTAGCAGAACTGAGAGAACCAGGTAGTAGCACTGTAGTAGTAGCTCTAACGAGGTCCAATTTTGGCCCCTGGTGAGAGATTTCTCGACTGCTCATTGGACGTAACGTCACAGCTTTTTGCTGGGCGAGCCAGGCGAGCGTTATCGGCCCTTTCCCCTTTCTCGAGTACATGTGGGACATGTGGGCATGTGGTTTACAACAATCGAGGTAGTATTTTTACCGGTTTTGCTTTGGTGAGGACTCACCTTTGTCGCGGATAGCCAGATAATCACAATAATCATGCGCAACGAGAGAGGTTTCACGTATCGCGGCCTATTTTGTGTTTGTTCCGAGCGGTCCTAAATTTATCCAGCGGCAATGAGCAAAGTAACGATTACAGATTGTCGATCGCTTCAACGTGAAGTAGCAGACTCACAATTTCAACATGGAATAAAATGTTAAAAAGCGCAAACATACGGGGACAGTGAAGAAACACGGACTACAGGAAAGGCGCTTCTCCTGTCCTGTCGTCCGTGTTTCTTCATTGTCCCCATTTGTTCGCGCTTTCTAACCTTTTATTCAGTAATGGACCAACTATAGCCCTAACCCAAATTTTAATTCAGCATCCAGTCACCTTTCTCAGTTTTGTTGGCGGATAACCTGAGGTGTTTGCTTGTTTTATTTTAGTTTGCGATTGACACTTCATGCCGAACACCGTTCTTCGGATGTGACGGTTCGTCTGCTAACGATATGTGAGCCAACATGTGAGCTCGTTTACAAAATTGAATCGCGACGGAAAGCTCGCTCCACATGAACGTTGGAACAAGAGTGTGGCACGGTCAACACAATGATAATAATAATAATAATAAAAAAAACGAAAAAGGCATAAGCTGATGATAATGCTACAGATTGTCGCGATCCTGGTGGAGGGTTATATAAACGATGGGCAAAAAAAAGTACCTTTCATCATGGCACCCCAAAATAAACAAGTAAAACGATTTAAGCATAAGCTCCGATTTAACCCGTGGTGCGATGGCTGCCAAACAGAAGCCTGCGAGCCAGACACTTGCAGGACCAGCCCACTAAAGTCGCTTTACAGCCCACCAGCCGCACCCGCACCCTGGAGCGCCGTTAAAAGAGAGGGAGCAACTCAAACCAAAAATATTAGCCATTTAATGGCGGACACCTCTTACATATGCGTGCGTGAGGGCGTGACGAGGACAATGAGAGGTTGAGCAAAGTCTGAAGATGCTAAACACTTTTGCCACCTCCTTGCAGCTTGATTTGTAAGCGCAAAAAGCCGTCTATAAACCACGTGACCCAAATCGCGCAGTTGGAAACACGCAAATCTAGGCACACTCCCCCGCCGCCTGTCGCAGGCATAGGGGGCATAGAGCAGGGACCGCACTAAAGTGAACCTCTAGTTCACTTTAACCGCACCTACAACCTACCTCCGTCGCCGCGCCAACGTCAGGGTCGCGGCAAACTGCAGTACTCCCCACTTGTGACGTCAAAAAGCGTGAATCGAAGGCCCAGAGTGAGGAAGTACAGGCGCGGTCAACGCACCAGTCAGAGACACGATCCATCCAGAGGTTTCAGGTGTTCCAGCGGTTGCAGGGTCTGCGTCGTTTACCCAGTTTTACCGGTGGGATCTATGCCTGGGCCGCGGTCCGCTACCAGGCAAAAATACAGTCCGCTGCGCACGAAAAAGGAAGAACTCCGATCGGGCAGAGCCAGCCAGCCAGCCAGCTCGTGTGCCGTCGGCCCCGCTGTCAAGATTGTAAACAAACCAGCGTAGAGGACACGCCGTTGCTGGTCAGCCTCTTCGATCGCATCGTCCTGACAACGCGCAGTCTTCACCTGCAAGGCAAGTAACTGCACAGCAGCTGGCTTGCCGCCTGCGAGCGCGAGCTGGCTCATCCACCCAAGTCACCGCAACCCCCCCGTGAAGTCGCATCGCGTGCCGTGTTCGTGCTAAGCCTACATTCGGAGTGAGTACGCCGAGTCCGATACGCCGGCCGCTCGATGCAACCGGGCACCAGGCCCGTACTTTGCCGTCCCGGAACATCGGGCACAGCGAGCTTTCGCCGATCGGACACGCGGACCAAGTTGCACGAGACGCTGTCAACATCTCGACGGTGCACTTGCTCGCGTCCCCGAGCCGGCAGAAGCACGACGCCGGCGATCAATCGGCGGTCGGTACGCGCTGCGCCAACGCCGTTGGTGAGGCGCAGCCGCGCAGCTTTCAGTGCCATGAGGATCGTCAGGTGAGCGTATGTATGTTTGATGGCGATCGGCACCGGTCAGCTGGTAGCGCTCCCTCCGCGATTCGAGGATCCCGATGAGCGTTGAAAACGCCCCCTTTTTCCCCCCACGGTTCATCATTGTTTATTAAAGTGCCGGCATCGATCACTAGCGCTGCCCGCCCTTGCTTGTCGGGTAGCCGCTAGGTAGCATTTAAAAGGATTTACCGGTATGCCACCGTATTTCCTGCGCCAGCCGAAACGGCGTAGTTCAACGGTTCCGTTCGGCAATCCCGTACGGCGGTGGCTGAACTTAAAATGGGTGTTCTTTTCGTTTTCGCGAGATGAACGTTTCGCACATGTGTTTTTAGTTCGCATAATGCCCCCGTTTTGATCGTGTTGTCATTGCGACGTTTGTGTTACACACAATCTTGGCGATCCTCTTCTCATCGGTGCAATGTTGTCAGTTTGACAATAACGAAAGGATAAATAAAAATATCGCTTATGAACAATTTATTGCGGGATGAGTAACAGGAGGGGACAAGAGATATACAGCTTCGTGTTGCTTCTCCTTCATTCTGCATTTTATAGCACCCCCTGCCCACCACCCCTGTAATGACCCTGGCCCCAAGGGCACCAAAATAAATAAGTGCGAGCGTAGCAGAAGTTGCACGAGCGACCTCCTGGGCTTTCAGCGTCTCAGTTAAGCATCCGCTCTCATGTAGTGCATCATTCGGGTCAACATGCTAGTGTTTGTAGCTTCCCTCGCACATAAAGTAAAACAAACCATATAAGTGACCTTGAAGGAACCACTGTACATATTAATCCAGCGAAGGCCACCAAGATGCTACCGCTGTACAGTCAAACCAAGAAAAGATTAGCACAATTGAGGGATCAGATGGCCGGCAAAAGAGCCGCACGTGGCACTCCAGTGGCGCAAATACAGTTAGATTGTGACTCTAGGCTCGACTGCTCTCACTTGACTCTGGGCTGTCGATCATTTAGTGTGCTTGCACGGTGAAAGTGTCCAGCCTAGAGTGCCGCAAGGTTGCTGGGCTGGGGTGGGAGCCCTCCCAGAGTGGGGACAACTCTCTGTTGTCTGCTAGCCGAACCGCCATCTTGTCTCCCAGCCATACGGAGGCGTTTGAGTTATTTACGCAGCTACTGAGCCTTAAAACCCGCAGAATGATGCGGGCATAATTTTAGGAACATTTAAGCGTTTGTTTTCGGTGCCGTTTTCTGACGACAGTGTGGCAACATAGTACAGATGACTGCATTTGCGACGTTTCGTTGCAGTATTGGAATAATTTATGGCGACCTCAGCGAGTAGTTTCTAACTCGGCATTTTCACCAGCACAAGCCAATCCACCGGTTTTGCGTATACAAGGCTAAAACATTGCAGAAGGCAAAATGGTTTCCACAGCTGAAAAGGCGGCACTTGCTCTCCGAAAGAATGTTGCCTCTCAATACGGGCAGAAACTGAGGGAGAGGAGGAGACGAGAGGGGATGTCGGAACGCTGAGCTCTGGCTGGAACGATCGGTGGGTAGACGCAAAGCTCTGCTTACTGTTCGAATGCCGGCACCCGGTGTTCACACCTGGGTCGCTTGTCTACGGGGCTTTGCCAATACTTGTGGCCTTTGGGCTTGATTTTTAAGCCAGGCTCGAGCGTTCCTCCTGACGACGGCTTCTTGCCATGTGCAGGGGAGTCCAATGAACGGGTTCAGCACGGAGGAAGAGACGCAGAGCGGCCACAACCAGGTGTGCTGCCTGCTGGACGACGCCGAGCGCTGCACCCGACCGGCCGGCAATGCCAGCTACAGCAAGCGCATCCAGAAGACGGTCGCCCAGCGCAAGCTCAAGCTCAACATCGACCCCAGCGTGAGTGGGCCCAGCTGACGTTGCCACTGACAAGACTAGAACGGCAGGGAGGAGTTTCGGATGCCTCTAGCGCGAGCTTCCTACCTTTGGTAACGCTTTGGCGTCTTGTGGGCGCACACGCAGCCAAAGCCCAACGGAAGGCAACGAGTGCATACTGGAGGCCGGGCACCCAAACTCACGCTGTTCTTGTCCTGTTAAGGTTACTTCCGTTGTGGATGTTGCCATAGGCACCATACAACCGATAGCATAGAAAACCACGTCCGATTTTTCCTACTGGTGGTGCTGCCAGCGCATCATGCACGTGGCGTTTGCTAGTTGCAAGTTTTGGACAAAAGCCACATATCATTAGCCCTTTACATTAAAGTATAGTGAAGCGTATAGATATTATTTTTGTCGGCAAGTCGAAAAGAAGCTGCTTTAAATGCACCGCATGTACCTCAATTTTATTTAAATGTTCAGGATTTTAAATTTATTTGGACACCCAAAGCAATTCGCAAGGAATGCGTTAACAAAAGGAGCAATATTTTTTTTTCATTTGCGACAGTGCATGTGCAGATAGATGGTTACAATCTCGGGGAGAAAGGGGCATTATGGATGTATGGACCAAAACAAAAATGGAAAGTCTGTGTGGCACGCTGAGTCTGCAAAGGGCGACCGGCATTCCCCGCAGGCGCAGCACATTTACATCTGCGACTACCACAAGGGGGTGATCCAGAGCGTGCGGACCAAGCGCAAGCGCAAGGACAGCGAGGATGACAATGGCTCCAACGAGCAGGAAATGGACATCCCCGAGGTGGACCTGTTCCAACTGCAGGTGAACACCCTGCGCCGCTACAAGCGCCACTACAAGGTGCCCATGCGGCCGGGCCTCAACAAGGCTGAGCTGGCAGATGTGAGTCCCAGTGTCCTGCCTCTCTCTTTTTAGAGCGACTACAAAGGTGGCAGTGCAGGATAGTAGACCCTTTCCGAAATTCAGTGCCATCTAGTGACCCAGATATGAGTGACTTTTTGTCACACTAATGTTTGAGTCACGCTCACCGGGCGCCACAACATTCATGCATCAATGGCAGCTGGGGGATCTGTTCATCGCCATACAGTTCTTTCTGAATTTATTTCACTTCCAATAGTGACAGAAAACTATTGATTGGTGTAAAGCATTGACTTAGGCCAGAGGTCTCCAAACTTTTTGGCTAAGGAGCAGTAGCAATCTGTTGCAATCATAAAGGTCAGGGAAAAAAAAAAAAGTAATCATAAACGAAGAAAAACGGAATAAATAAACCTAGATAACCATTTAAACACATAAATGATTTATGATTAGCTAATTTTGACATTACACAACACTTGTGGACAAGAAACTCGCTAATCATAAAGCAAAGTGAATGGGAACTTTGGCACATTTGCACAGTGCAAAAGACTAATGAGAATGATTAAACTAATGCTGACAATATGCAATAGTTGTGACAGAGGACACTAAGTGCAAGGAAATTTTAACAGTTGGACATAAAGCAAAGGACTAAGAATAGTAATGCTGGTGGTGGCAATGTTCCATTAATGATATGGCGAGAGGACCCACGTTCCAATGCAGTTTCTCTCGTTCTTTCTGGCATCTTAGTTTGCGCATTTGGAGCGCATTGCGGTGCCATTCCTTTATTCACTACTTTTTGCACCGCTAGTAGCCTGCCTCCAGCAGACCTGCTGGAAGCGGGTTGCAAGCCGGGCTTCGTTAAAAAGACTGCAATCAGCCGTGTGCCGGTCAAAAGACTTCCGCGGGCCCGGGTTTGGATACCCCTGACCTAGGCAATGCTCACCGCATCGAGTGGCTGGTGGGGAGTATGTGTGCCAGCTGGTTTATTAAATGCGAGTATGAAGTGAGTGTCGATGCAGCGCTTGTGTCCATTTTGTGCGTCACATTGTGCCGACGTCTACATGCTTCGTGTTATCCACTCCGACGCGTGTCTTCATAGTCTTCCTTCATCACCCACGGGAGGGTCACCGTCAGCATGCTACAGATGTCCTGCGCGCTTGGACAATAGCGGTCAAAGTGGGTAGACCGAATTTTGGAAACGGTCTATCGTCTGCACAATTCCGGACCAGTTGGTTCGTGGCTAGTAACTAGCATCTAAGAAACAAATGAGAACAAAGTAACACGAACGACGAGCCCATACTCTCTTCTCTTCGTTGCCATTTCATAACTGCTATTGTGTCGGTGAGCAGCCATGCACAGTTAGTTAAGGGGGGACATGGCCTCGGAATTAAAATTTTCAGAAAAAAATGTTTTTTTCAAAAATAATATGTGTATGCTTATTAACTTCCAAAGAATGGTTTCAGAAACTTTCATTTATAAACATGCAGGATTTATCTCACAATAAATTATTTTCGACATGTCGGCAGCCCTCTGAGTCAGCAGGGAGCAAGTTTTTTGCATATTAATTTAGCACTGCTTTATACTCGTTTAACATAGCCAGAACATCTCACCCTCATTGGAAGCGCCATTTACTCTGGATTTAGCCCGTAGAAGCCTTTCAAGTTTAAAAGTATCAATGGCCAGGAGAACCCTATATATCCAAACAGAAAAAAATTGTGAAAATTTGGTATGAGCAATCTTATTAGTTGAGACCTGAAACGGGATTTACGATTGGTCCTGCCCGGTGATGTGATATTGTGCCATCTTCAGTAACACCCTTTCACAGAATCTTCCACTCAGAGATCATATTTCTGCTCTGCTGCTCTTCCTTAGTATTATTTGCCTCTTAGTTCTTGTCATTTTATCTGTCAAGAAATGCCTGCTATGAAAGTTAGCTTGCCTACAAACGACGCAAATTGGTAGCTATAGCCAGGGGAACAATAAAGTGTCAAAGAGGAAGGTTCTAACAATGCGCCAGGTGAATTTTGGCTACCTCGGACCCACAGAAAAGAAAGAAAACTAAAGTTGAAACTTCAAATGCATTTTTCTCCGTTTCACTTTTTGGCAGGAAATGTGGTATGAGGAAATGTATCATTGGACATTTTGAAAGTGTAAAGATTTCATTCAGTGTTGTCCTTGAATGAAATTTCCTGAGGAACAAGTTAAGGTACTCACAATCTGAAAAAGCTAAATTCTTCAAGACAAAAACTGAATATTTTAAAACTCAGAAATTTGTTAAAATTGTTTGCCCTTTTTGGGCGTTATTGTTTTTCTCTAGAATTGCATTTTCCACAATTAATTTTTATCTTAACTTGCACTATGGGTATTGTACTTCACATTAAACCAAACATTTTGTGGATCACAATTATTATTTTTCTTAAATACATTTCCTAATAAAGTAACTTTTTTCTGGAGTTTGTTAAGCATAGTATGTTGTAGAGTTGGCCGATAAGACTGAAACTTTAGATTTCATCAATCCTAATGGGGTTCATTTCACCCTGAAAGTTTGAATCAATTTGAGACATTGGTTCAAAAGTTGACCCTCCCAGGCCATGTCCCCCCTTAAAAGAGCAGAGATCACCGTGCGTGAATTGAAACCAAGTACAGTACTGCATCTGGTGCCTGTGCTGGTTTCTCTTTGGGGTAGGACGAAGTTTTTGTGGCAAGGGTTGGCAGACTGTAAAAGAAACCATTGCCATCAAATATGGTGCTCGGGGCACATCTCCGACTGTTGTGTCTACCATGTGCTCAAAAGTGGTCCCTCGATTTCCGACCTACTATGTCCTAAAGGTGTCACACCGTTGCCCATCCCAATCCTCGCAGGGGCACAGCAGCAGGGGTTGGATTTGGCAGACACCTGTTCTGCTACACATCCCTTTGCAACCACACAATTGACAAAAACCAAAGAGCTGGGATACCACGACCGCGGGGACCATCACATCCCCTCGCCTTTTTCGCCAGCATTTCTACAACCAACTGCCAGGATTACAATGTCCAACGGCGCGATATACCGACTCTTGTATTGCAACTTTTTTCCACTTCAGGACCACTTTTGATGCGCGGGCAGGGGAGGATGGTAAACGCAGCAGTCTAAGACGCGTTTTAGATGCCGTACTGCCGTCTGGCAATTGCCTGGCATTCGGGTTGCTCTAATTGGAGTCAAAAGACGGGCCAAAAGTGAGCGTCGAGCGATTCGTCCGGAGGTTCGGTGCCTCAACGCTGTCGGCGTCCCCTCTGTCCATGCAGAACCTTGCCCGGCACTTCCGCACCATCCCGATAGCGGAGAAGGAGGCCATCACCTTCTTCATCTACATGGTCAAGAACAACCGGAACAAGCTGGACCAAAAGAATGACCCCTGCACCAGCTAGGTGCACCCTTGCCCAAGGCAGCCCTCTTGTACATAGCATCCTCCATCCTCTCCCACTGTACATATAGATGGCCCCTGTACATAAATTAATAAAGAGAAAGCCTGGCCAGCCTAAAAGGCAAAGGTTTTTTTCGTAGCATGCTTCGTCACAGAGCGGTTGACGGGCTTTGTCGGGCGCCCAAAATGGGGAGGAGGGTTTGGCTGCCCGACGCAGTCTTCGAGCTGCGCGAGAATGCCATGGGCTCTGCCAACGGTTCCTGTAGTCGCGGGCTGGTTAAGAAGCACCTACCAAGTTCTTAAACTGTCACAGACTATTGGCAACTCCGGCCAAATCGACGGCACCTAGTGGCTAGAACAGAAAGCCTAGGCGGCAGGTTTGCTCGCCAGCCTCATCGGGCGAATCGGACATTCACGGCGGTCGAAGGACTAAGCTGTAAAAGTAGGTTCGAAAACACGGTGGAAATCGCCATGGATAACGAGGCCGTAGTGGCGAATTTTTTCGGTGCTCCAACTCTCTCAAATCTAATTGCACTAGGGTGTGCGAACGAGACACGGGACAAAGCCACACATTCTCACTGTAGTGCTGGGGGCATGTTGGGTATGTGTGCGAGTATAAAACGCTCCTGTAGCACAAAATAGTTGATGCCGAGTATAAAGAGGAGAATGCGGGGCGCAGACTGGATGCGAGTGGTGCGTCACCATTCGGCTGGGGGTCCGTCGGCAAGATCACGAGTTCTGGCCGGATGTCGGCTCTGCACTCACGTCCAATCTGCACCCTGCGTTGGCCTCCGGTAGGTGATGCAGCAAATTTGGCACTGGGCCTTGCTATCTGTAGTCTGTTGCAGGAACGCGATGCGCCCCTCAAACAAAATTCTCTGCTCGACGTGATTGGTGGTTTCCTCCTGTTCAGCATTCACTCCTGAAGTGGAAAGAGTGGTAGTCTTAACCTGCAACAGACTATAGGAGATGTTGGCTCAACGCGACTACTGACAAGAGGCCTGTGGGGGAATGGGACTGCTTCGTCAATTACCTCGAAGGACCAGTCGGTGTAGCGGACGCTTTATTGAGTCCCTCTTAGCTGCCGGGGGGCGGCGGTGGCGGCAGCATGCCGTGGGGTCCCAGCAGCTTGGGCTTGTTGTCCAGCTTGAAGCTGAACTGGAGGAAGAACTGCTTGCTGTCCCGGTTCCAGAGGGTCCAGAACTTGGTCTCGGACTTGTCCACTTCCCGGCTGGGCACCTGCACAAAGGCGTCCAGCCTCGAGTTCGGCTCTGTGATGCCACTTGGGCCAATACCACCTACACTCATTTCCACCCGAAGAAAAAAGGAAGCTTTGCGAATTGTTTGAATGCCACGTGAAGTAGTTCTTACGAGATTTGGTTGTTGGAGGAAGAAGCTATGCTATTGGCATTTAGAATGCGTACGTCTTGATAAGATAACGTAGCATATCTAATCTAAAATGCACCTACACATATCTTGATTCTTTAGGTAAATGGGAAACCTTTTTTACTACGGTTCCCGAGGTGAGAATGATGTTGTCTTTGGTGGACCCCGACCCATCCCAAGCAGCAAGCACGCTGAAACTCGACGAGAGCCTTGCAGACATGTGCCTCTTGGTGTCGCCACGTGCCGGCAGCGCCGCTTGGACCCACTAGCGATGGCATTTGGAGGGGAAACGTGCGGGTCTTCGCCTCTAAATGGTACTGGTTAGGCTCACATCTGCCCATGCTTCCGTTGCCTGGGGCAGGAACTCTCAAACTTCGAGATCTCGAGGAACCCTCTTTTTGCTTCGAACAGCGGAGAAAACCACCCCTCCCTGCCTTTTCTCTGATGCAGTAAGGCAGTGTTGTAAACAGTTATGCACGCACCATACTCTGATCAATTCTAAGCTGACGGCGTGGTAAGAGCTATGCTCTCGCCAGACCCATCGACTGCCTTCCTTTTATCCCCTGACCCCACTGCCTGCACTTGGGTATGAGCCATGGAGGTAGGAAAAAGTGGAGGTGACATACCAGCTCAAGCCAGCCAAACGAATAAATCCCAGGTGAAGCCGGAAGCAGAGGTCGCGGTTGGTGGATATGCCCCCAAGGGTGCCTGAGTCTGTCGAATAGCGTCTTTTGGTTTTGGTCGTGGTTGGGGGTGTGCCCCTCCAAAGCGGAAGTCCTAACCTATCTGGTGGCGTCGTGTCGCCCCCAGAAGTTTCCCACCTCCATGGTATGAGCAAAAGTGGGACCACGTGGCAAAAGGTCAGTGGCAGATCCAAAGGGGGGGGGGGGGGGGGGGGGCGACAAGGGCAACCGCCCTCTCTCTCTCCCTCCCTCCCTCCCCCCCCCCCCCCCCCCCTTTCTCGGAGGGCAATTTGTCATTGCTGGACCCCCCGGTGCACAAGAAAGAATGGGAGAATAGTATCCTTACAAATTTTCCGCCCCCCTCAAAATGGAGCTCTGGATCCACCCCTGCAAAAGGTACACGCACAGCTGGCCCAACTAGCATGTAGCTTCCACCGCACTGTCAGCTTAGGGGTGAATGCAGTATAGGGAATGTTGGGCTCATAGTTACGCATCGATTGATGACTCGGGTCTGCTAAAATAGCGCTTAAACTAGAAAAAACACTTGGGAGCATTAATGCAATAAAGAGGAACAGAAACCTATGCGGAGAGCAAGTAGTCTGCTGCTTGCGCAGGAGTTGCGGCGACGTCGGAACGACGCCGAGCTGTGATTGGCTTTGATAGAAAGGATAGTGGGTCGTCCTCCATGCTAGATGCCTAAAGGTCTATCCACCATTTTTTTAGATCAGCCAATAAGAGCTCGGCGTTTCGACACAATCGCAACCCCTGTGCAGGAAGCAGACGAACTCGCACTCTGCATAGGCCATGTGAACAGAAATGCCCATTCTAGGGAGTTCTTAGCACACAGTCGCAAGTCGTAAGATGGCTTATGCCTGCTAAAATAATCCTTTCAATCCATTTCTGGAAGGCCCCAGCATTCTTTTTTTTTTTTCCCTTCTCTAAAAAACATGCAGCTCTAAAGTTTGTTGCAGTTTATCAAAGTGTAGCACAATACATTATCTTTCTAATGATATGTATAAGTATGAAATAGGGAGTCTAATAAATTATGTAAAATTAAACTTCTGAAAACCAAAATTATTGGGGCCAACACAACAAAAATGAGAAATATATGCAGATGTCTTGGCAAAAAATGACAGCCAAAAAATTTAACAATATACACAACATGCCAAATTTCAATAGCAAGAAAGACTAAATTGTAGTGCCTTATATAAAAAAGAAACAGGTACTGCAGAAGGCATTTGCCTTGTGCTCAACATCGCACTCCTCCTAACAAATCTTGCAGTTACACTCCTTTTTCCTTTTTTTTTTTCAGGGGGGTGGGGTGGGGGAGGGGGGGGATGTTTGTGATGCAGTTGTTAAAGGATAGAAGGGTGTTGGATATGCTCTACATCAAGTCTAAGAATCTGTTAGGCAAGCTCTGTTTGGAATACCAGCTGATCAAAACGTGCACTTCTGTAGTGTTCAGGAATGTTTGGATGCTGCTTGCAGTGTGCTTGAAAAAGAATGCAGCTGTTGATGGCTGAGATGTCACTACAGTGACATCTCCAACAAACACGCTTCATGAGGATGTTCTACGATCCGATCAGCTGGTCCGATTTGTGAACTCCAAGCATATCTTCATTGTAGTCGTCGACAAGCTGCGGCTTCTTGATGGAGATCTGTGACCATGTATCTTCTCTTTCTTCCCTCTGTTTTACAAGCATGCGCTTGTTGGCAGTATGTACAGTGCCCGTTAAGTGTACGACGCACCAGTCTTTTCATTGAAGATATAATACTTTTCGACCCCCGTCGTCACCGGACATCACCTCTTTTTGACTTCTCCCATCTGAAGTCCTTCTCAGATGGAAATTCACAACACACTTTTTGCAACGCAAAACACTGTCTCCTCGGTTGCATTTTTTTTTTTTTTTCATAAAAATTGTTATTTAGTGGTGAAAAAAAAAAAAAAAGACAATGCAGATACTCGAACTAGAGTGTCTAATCTAACCACCGCAAGCACAAACAGCCTGGACTTTCACGCAAGACCAGCAAAGAACATGAAAACCAAAACCAAAATAAGTCCTTACCGACGTGCAGTTGTCGGTGTTCCGGGCTTATTAAAAAGTAATTGCTGTCAGAACTAAAATCTGACCATCCAACATCGCCTTCCGACTCACTCGCGTCAGAATCGGCAACAAAATCGACCGCAGACGTCCTCCAATCACGACACTTCAAATACTTCCGAGGAAGCGTGCTGCGCAGACACCACGTTTGCAGCGCAGAACGCTCTTCCTTGGCTGCGTGTTTAATTATAATAAATCGCCAGCTCGTGAGAAAAAGATAACTATACAGTAACTGAAACTAGAGTGTCTTTTCCAAACACCAGATACCACGACTTGTCTACAAATGTGCTGGTGGCTTTGCAACGGTGCTTGCAAATCGTCGATCAAGTTTGATCGATTTTGACGGGTGTGGTGCGGAAAGAGTTAACCAGAAAAACTCTGTCTAGAAGCAGGGGCAGTCGACATAATTTCAGAGCCTAGGGAACCTCTGAAGGTACTCTGAGGAACGTGTGTGTACTTAGGAGTCCGGTCAGAGAGTCTATGCACTATAGCCAGCTAGGAGCCCACGCAACAAACTCTACCACCACGAGCGAAGGTGCCCCTTGCTGAATGTGCCCCCAAAATCCCGGCGCGGAGGGAGGGCCCACCTTGAAGGCGATGGTCTCGTAGGGTTCGGCGGCGAAGAGCAGGTACTGCCACTTCTTGTCCGGGGGCTCCACCTTCTGCTCGTAGGCGGACATGAAGCGGTGCCGGGGCACCACACTGTCTCCCACCTCCGGGTAGTCCACCTGGAACAGCAGCGACTGCTGCCCCGTGGTCCCGTCCCGTTGCTGCACACGCGATAACAACGCCCGTCCTTGAGCCCTCTCTTCCCGTCCACACGCACTGCTTGCCCAACGTAAGCGGGTGACATTGCTCCGTGTTCAGCAAAAAGGGACGGACATTTATTACCCTAGGGCGGTTTCACAAAAGCCTTTTTACATCCGGTAAGCCGCGTTCTTTCATGTCGATAAACAGTGTCCTCCACTCTCTTTGTTAGTTTGCATGCGGATGCTTAGTTATTGGCGTCACTTTTGAGGTTGCCGAAACGCACAAGCATGGCGAGTGGCCTCGCCGACTACGGAACTCGGTAAGTGCAACCAGGGACGTATTTGTGGCCGCAGAAAGCAATGCTCGCTCAATTTTCTCCTCTTTTCGGAGTCGATTCGGCAGCATCTCCTGCAACCAGTTTGGCCGCAGACGGCTGGACTTCTCAATAGCTGGCTCGGTTTAGGTACAAATAAAGACCGACGCGTATAAAGATCAAGTACCAGCTGCTGCTTTTTTATGTTCCCGACCACTCCAATCGGCGAAGTTGATCGCGACGCAAAAATGACTCGAGCGAGCTGAAAAACGCTGCCTTTGTGCATTGAAAGATGTAAGGCGCAAGTTCATCAGCATGTCGCCCAACAGGACTTGCAGCCGGAAGTACATCACCTGAAACCACCCTATACATTATTTACTCTCAAAGCTGGCAAAAGTTGCGTATATAAACGTCCTTCTCACAGGCATTTACAGGTGCCCGGCCACTCCGGACAGCCGGGTTCCCGTCGCAACCTAGTGGTGAAAACCGAGTGCAACCAGTGTATCCAAGCGCTGGTCGCAGATGGTCCAAGGCAACTGTGGGGCCTGGAACGCGTCTTCGCCTGGTGCGTTTACCGCGTCCTCAAAAGTGGCCCACTTTTGAGGAATGCACCAGCCGGAGGTGTGTTCCAAACACCACGGTCTCGGGGTGCCTCACCTTGGTGACCCTGTACCCGGGCCGTCCGATCTTGACAAACTTCTTGATGTCGACGCGGGGCTTGGCCGGAGCGGGCTGGATGGGCGAGTCCTTGGCCTCCTTGGCGGCCCTGCGTGCCAGGTTGGCCTGGTGCTTCTTGCCTTGAGTGTGGGCCAGGTAGCTCCCCTCGTTGTTGTGCAGCGTCAGGCACAGCTTGCACTCGTACGAGCCTGAGAGAGACACCCACCAAGCGTTTCGGATGATGCTTGCAAAACAAGCACAGTTTCCTGCTTGTTCGTTACTTTATGCTCGGGATCATTTTGTGCGAAGAGGATAAAGAAAATGTTAATAAAAATTAACGAACTCCATTTTTTCTTTGACATATAAGAGCTGCTTCATGGAGCACATACAACATGTGAAAACTTGCTTTTTCCTCGAGGTGATTAGCGTGATTAACCTCTGCCCGACTGCAAGCACCTTGGCACAGACCTGGACTTGCCACCCGGGAATTTGAAGGCTAGCACTCTGCCTCAGATCCATCAAATCTCCCTCACGCTTGGACACTGTTTTCATGGTGTTAAAACAAAATGTGTCAGGTAACCATTTTAATTTTTTTATTTTTTTTTTGTGAAACAGAGTAATTTATTACAGAGCCAGATTTGTGCCACTAGCCGCTGCTTGTAGAACTGTGGGGCCGGGAGATTAGCCACCGGATGATTCAAGCAGTTGATGTGCTGTACTCGGCCCAAGAGCTCGGGAAAGCTGATGGTGCAGACAAATAAATGAAGCCTCTTACTGTGGCTCACCCCTTTGTTCCCACCATAGCAAGTTGAACAAGCCGAAGCAAAGTGGCTTGATATCCAAGAGCGTCAATAGGGGCACCTGAAGCATTGCAAAGTATGTAGGTGGAACACACTCTGAGAACAATGAAGCTGGGAGTGGCGATGAGAGAAACAATTCTTAAGTATGACAAAGCAGAAAGGAGGAACATTGTGTAAGGACAGCGCAGTTTGACATTGGATTGGTACTGTGAGCTCAACCAAGGGGTTGTCAACTCGTGCGTTAAGGGTGACGCTCTAAAAACTCGTGAATAACAACATTTTCAACGTGTGGTTGCCTGCCAAGCCCGGCTGGCAGCGAGCGACGAGCGCGCTCGTCTGGCGCGGGCCACGCGCCGACTGCCGCCCTCACCGAGATGGTTCTTCATGAAGTAGGGGTCCTTCTGCAGGTCGATGGTCTCCAGTGCCAGCTGCCGGAGGCGCTCCCGCCGGTCCCTGTTGGACTCGGACCATGAGGCCACCCCGCCGGAGCCCGTCTTGCCCCCTGGGCGGTGTTGGAAGTCCATCGCCGATGCTCCGCCGGCTGGGATACACACGCCCCGGTTAGATGACACCCCACTGCAGATGGTTTCCGCCCGGAACTACACTCGGGGACGTTTTTTGGCGGTGCAATCATGGTACCGACAGATGTGTCGTTTCCTATTTTGAGCGCCGATTAAAGCACCGCGGAAACGCAGAGAGAAGTTGTCCCCGGGTGCATCTCGGCAGTTCTGCGCGGCGCTGGGGAAGCCACGGGTGGCAGAGGGAGAAAGCCTTTTTTTGTATGAGGCTTGAGTGACAGGCTCATCCTCGCTGGGTTCAAGAGCAACAATCGAGATACACAATGGAGGGCTCGGGTAAGATGGGCCTCTTTTCCCTCCTCCCCGACTGTTTGTGTTATGCTCTTGCCCCTTCAATAACGCTGCACCCAACTAGTAAGATGGAGAACATACTCCGTTTCACCTTACGATGGAACTCAGTGGACGCTACGAGTCACCCTAGCCAATCCAGCGCTCTGAAACTATCACGTGATCCGAAGGTCACGTGACATTCGCACAGCATTGGGTGGGCTTCGATGGCTGGTAGCGTACTCTTTGATCCGTCACAAGATGGCAGGCAGAAAGTCCAGAGGAGCCATAGCTGGGCTCCGGCTTCACGTCCAACTTTGACCCGTGATGGGGACTGTTCGTCGCCGAGGGTCATTCGTAATTCATCGGGGCGCTTGTGGCTGGTAGCAGAATCGGCCATGATATGAGCATGAACACGCGAACGCTGGCCGATCGGCAAGGCGGCTACCGCAGAGCGGCGCCAATGTGACTAAAGTCCGTGTGATTAAAGTCCCAGCTTTCACGGCGGTGCAGTCTTCTTTCTGCGTTGCAGTGCTGATCCACCTGCGTATGGCGTGTTCTCGCTCACATTGTGGCCGATAGTGTAGTGTCCCGGCAAGCGCGCTACACGATTGCAGAAGCGGTGAAACAGGACAGCTTGGGCAAAGTATAAATACAACCGTCTTTTAAGCTAGCATATATTTAATTTTTCTGCGAGTAAAGCTAGAAAGAGACATATAAGACTCACAGAAACGGACTTTAATGGGACGGCGTCAACGATGTGACTCAACGTGCGTCAAACTTGGAAGCGGCTTCGGCTATGCCTAGAAGCTTAATTGAGCTGTAAAATGACTCACAAGGGGCCTCTCGACGCGCTCTAGAAACTCACCGGCTTTTTCTTTTCAAGATGTACGGTCGCCTTGAATTTTTAGCTGAACGCTAAACGTTGAGCTATGGCGTTACTTCAGCATTCAGCGAACGACGCAAGACGCCATTTTCTGATGCGATAGCGATCATCCCGTCAGTTCTAGAGAAACCAGAGAAACCAAACCCCTTGAGAGAAACAACTGGAAACAATCTTTTTTGTTTTCTTACGTTAAAGAATACTTAAATAGCCCGGGATTTTAAAACTATACAAATTAATACAAATATTACTGTGTTTTATCACGTTATTTCAGAAATCAGCGATGTAGTCAAATGACATGTTTGGTTTCGGTTTTTCTCGTCATCACACAAACCGGCGTGATTTCCACAAATGTTGTCGCGGGGATCACCGGGATCACGGTGTTAACGTAGCTACCGGAGACTAACCGACGTAATTTTTGCTGTACCGTGAAAACCGTGAAAGCGTAACTTTCACGTTTTTCTTTTTTTTTTTTTAACGTAAAGCTTAAAAAAAAAAAAAATAAAACTGTATTTGAAAGAGAGAGAGAGAGAGGGAGAAAAAAGACCAATGCTGCAGAAAAATGAGGTTAAGTAAATAATATTCTAGCCGGATTGAAATTAGATGATGTTTGAAAAATAGCCTCCGGAAGCGAATTTTACTCAAAAACAGTACAAGGAAAAAAAAAAAAAAAAGAAAACTGCTTTACGCTTTAGTTGATATACGCGCAAGCGTTGAGCAGCTCTCTAGCGCGTATTTCAAGCCAAACTTGTTTGTAAATTGGGGTGCAAGGATTAGTTATTCGAATGGCCAATGGGACGAATTTTTTACGATTGGAAGAACGAATATACCTTTTCCTAAATTACCCAAGCACGAAGGAGCATGCTGCGGCTGTATACTTACGCGCGCTGCACGGGCTGGCATCTGCAGTTGTAACTGTTCTAAAGCAAAAGTCTACAACAAATTTCATTTAACACGCGCGTTCAATGATGCATTTTGGTTATTTACTCCGAATCTTTTATACGGGGAAGGTGAGCGCGTGCGGCGCGTAGAAATACGTTCCCAGCATTCTCCTTTATGGTTGCGTTGTATTTGCGCGATCGAAAGCGTCGCTGTGATCGGCCTTCCACGATTGGCCGAATGCTGACTATTACGTCAGCAAAGGATCTAGGATTGACGGAAATAAGAGTAATGTAAGGACTTCTACTTAAATATTAAACATTAAATATTTAATATTTAAGTCTGCGCTGTGGCATTACGCAATGCAAAGCGTCATGCTTGCATTGCGTAATGCCACAACACAGACTTCATTTTGACTACTAAACAGATGTTCCGCCTCATCATTCAGCTGTGTTTGAGACTTGTTGTTGTTTTGTCCGTTTTTTTTATTTTTCCGTGTCTCCGGTTTACGATGGAAGTTCTTCACCAGCTCGCCTGTGCTTTTACCCTTTCTTCGATCATTCAGTGCGCTGATTTCGTAGATCGCAGGGATTTGCTCTTCGAGTGTTTGGCGGCTAAGTAGACGCGCAGGCATTTCTTAGAGTGTATCTCTCCTCAATATGTTCGAGAGAGACAGTTTAGCGGTCATTGACACGACGGTTCTATCGAACCAATCCTCGGCAAAAGTGTATGTCGGGAACACTGCCGCGGAGATGTGGGACGTGTACACTCAACTAGACGACGTCTCCTTGTTTTAGATCGCCTTTGCTGTTAAACAACCCTTTTGTTAACCTGTCAGTATCTCTGTTGGTAGCAATCTGAACCAGGCTGACTTTGCGCCAATGAATCTGCGCTGATACGGCGCTGCATAAGTTACGTTCAAGCAGGGCAGATCGAACGCCGGAGAGGAGGTGAGCCCCCCTCGCCTCGCCTGCTCCCCGGCGCTCCAGCCGGCGACCGGCGCCGCATGTGCGTCGCCGTCAAAATTTTGTGCGGCGGTAATCTGGCCAATCAAAGCACGCCGCTCCGCGGCAGATCTGGAAGGGCTAGGTTTTGGAAATACGCCCTCTCCGGCATTCGCTCTGCTAAGTGGAAAGAAGGCTTCGTGGGAGGAGCTTTCCAGCGGCTTTTCTTAAATGCGGCAGGGGTTGATTTAACGCTTCGATGTATGCCTGATATTATATAAGGTGATATCTCAGAAAATATGAACGCCTCTCATTCATATTGATATCTCAGAAAATACTGACGCCTGGCTGTCATTCGTGACAATATTTGGAAATTTCCAAATAACTTCTTGAGATTGTTCTTTTTTACCAGGAAAGTCGGACTCTCACACGCGTGACACTGCTCTTGAATTGAACTGTTTCGACGCAAAAAGTGCACTTGCATTAATTCCCAAAACGCAGATTAAAAAAAAAAAAATCTTTAGCTTGAAGTAACATTTGTAGACACACATTTACACATAATGGCGCAGTCTAACTGAAATACAGTAAAACCTTTCATTTTCGCGGCCCCTATTTTTCGCGAGTCGGTCACAGAGTACATAATCCCGGCCAGTTAAGCCCGCGAATTCCAGACGCCTTTAAATTTCGCAAATTTCAGTTCGCGTAATTTGCGAAAATTAAGGGCTCCCTGGGTTTTACAGTATAAATAAGCCGACATTGAAGCGTTCTCCGAAACTGAAGCGTCCCATCTACGTGAACCTTCCAAACTGATAGGTTCAGCCGAACTTAAGCATTAGCCAAAATAAAACTTTTAACCAAATTTAAACTCTCTTCTGAACTGGGGCTTCACCAAATTGAGGCGTCAGACGAACTGAGACAAAAACCGGTATGTTTTATTTTCCGATAGGAACAATGGGCGCTTTGCACTAGAAGCAGCATATTCAATAAATAAAATGACAATAATATAGGCACTTCATTGTTTCCGTTCAACACGCGTCTTCGTAACACGGTGCAGATGCTGCACCCTGCCACGAACATTTCTTTTAATTACACGAGCATTAGAACGCTCGTTTTGATGAAAACCCGGCGGTTTCTTTCGTTTGTCAGCGCCGGGGAGAGAGGGAGAAGGATGGGGAGAGGGTGACGCATGCGACGCTCCCATTGGTCCGAAGCGCTGACGTCAGCACGTGTCACCCTCTCCCTCTCTCTTCCGCGCTGACAAACTGACAGACACCGCCGGGTTTTTGTCAAAACGAGCCCTTTCGTTTTCGTCAGTCACGCGCACAACTGGCACGGAGCCAGAGAGGAGACCGAGCCGCGGCGCGGTGGAATGCGGGCGTGCTCAGTTGCTGTTCTACCGTCGCCGGTTGTTCTTCGCTCTTGGTTTCCGCAGAGGCGGTGCGTGTGCTGTGATGTGTGTGTGTAGTTAAAACGGTGGGTGCGGTTCCCTTCACGAGTGATATGAATGCAGTTCCTTCCACAAGTGATATGGACGTGGTTTTTTGCACGAGTGGCAGGGATGACCGTATCCAAGAGCTTCGAAGTATACTCTGACAGGTAGAGTACAGAAAAGGGGTGAAACAAATTACAGGAAGATTCATTGGCGGATTCTTAGGGAATGGATTAGCATAACCCTTGGGAAACGCCACACATGTCCCCCTTTGGGAATCGCTAACGCTAACCCCGTAACGAGGGGAAAAATAGGCAGCAGAAAATAAAGTAAGCAAAAGAGAAAACTCTAACAGAAAAAAATGAAGGGGCAGCGTTAGCGATTCCCCAAAAGGGACCTGTGTGGCGTTTCCCAAGCGTCATACTAACACATTCCCTAAGAATCCACCAATGGTTCTTTATTTTTTTTTCTTTGTGGAGAGGTGTTTGTTGTAAAACCACTGACTCACTTTATTTATGGCGATGCGCGGGCAATCGGTTCATCGAAGGCACCAAACGAAAGAAGGGTCAAAGGGTGCGATTAATATATAAGCTCTATATGTACCGCAACATTTCGCGCAGACAAGATTTTTAAGAGACAGGACAGTTCCTCGAAAAGGGGCTCTGTCCGATATACACCGGGAGATTACTCCACCGGCAGGGAAGGACATACGAATAAGGACATATGTTAAGTAACTTCGAGCCATGACTTGAAAGCAAGCCGCCCCAAGCGACTCATTGGCTCCTGCGCCTCTTGCGGACCGGGCGGGAGCCCAGTTCGTCCTTGGGCCGAGGTGTCCTCCCGAGCCGGTTGGAGGTGAAGAGCAGCCGCAGAGCGACACGGACCGCGGCGTCCGAGCGCTGCTGGTCCTCCTGCGTGCAGCGACATCTTCAGCTGACGCCGGCGCGATCGAGGAGCGGACCTGCCTGAAAGAGCACGAATCCGAGGAGCGCAAAGGCCACGTCTCCGACGGCGAGGAGCAAGAGCAGCGCGTGGTACGGCGTGGCCTCCTGCCAGGACCGGGACAGCAGCATCATGGTGGCCGTCATGCTCAGCTGCAGCAGACAGGATGACAGCTGCGAGATGCGCACCGGGTCGAAGTGCTCCAGGCTCTGCATCACATGGATCGAGGGATGACAGCAAGACTAGAAGACAAGACCCTGCGCCTTTCTCCCTCCAAACGTCACCACTAGTGAATCCAAGCAGCGCCGCCTAGCTTGCGTGAGCCCTATCGCCAGCGCGTCTTGCAGCGTCTGGCAACCAGTGCAACGTTAGCATGCGGCGACGCCATGACGGATGCGTCTGCAACTTTGCGGCGGCTCTAGCCGGGCTTTAGCGTCTTTGCCGCTTGGGGTGGGTCGGGTATCCACTAACGATGACGTCAAGCGTAGGCCTTCTGTTCTAGGCGGTATTGGTGACGAGCAGTCCAGGAGCAAACAAAAACAAACACAGCAAAAAGAAACAAAAAAACTGAGATTTTAATGGGACAAGACACGGTGTTGTGTTGTCCCTAATCTAATTTTTTTAGATTAGGGACAACCAGCTCACCTGTGCAATTACCCAGAGCGTGCACGCCCGTGCATACTCCGTTTCACTTGACCGCAGCCGACAATCCGGTGTAGCCAATCAGACAGCGCCGAAAGTGCTCATTGCCTTATTTGCGACCAGGCATAGTGTGAATGCGCCGCGATCCTGCGCTCTTTGGTGCGTGATTGATTTAGCGCGGGAGTAAACCAACAAAGAGAACGAGGGCCGTGACAATGCATTGTTGGTGCTGCTTATTGATTGGCTCCGTCCGATCATCGGCTCCAGTCGGACGGAGTCAAGAGGCGGAGGGGTTCTCAAAAACCGGCGAGACCATTTAACTGCGGCTGAGGACGTGTTCACGGCGCTCGTGGTTTTAAATGCGTACGTCTTCGGGATTTTGTATATGAATCTTTGTTTCGCGCCAACATGCTTCCCGGCTCTTGGGCGTCGAAAGGGACATGGCGGGATTGCCCCTTCCTTCCACCCGATTTTTTATCATAGTCACTGGTAGCCCAAGAAACCCAGGGTGTGACGAGTGTGTCACGCAACTTAATATCGATCAGCAGCCAATGCTATTACCGTGACGTAGGACGAAGCGCACGGACATAATAGGCCCTTTAGTATCTGGTGGGACGATCGCCTCACCCTGTGTCCTTCTTGTTCCAACGTCACGGGCTCTTGGAATATGGCCTCGGAACCAGCGCTCATCAAAAGGAATGCTATAGGCTGAGAAAATGCGAGGTCGTTCGGCGCCACTCTCTGGCCACATTTCACACGCTCATACTTTGTTGAGGAAGATGACGTGTGCGAGGAAGGAGACGAGCACCACGACGAACCAGGCGGCCGTGCGCAGGGACACGAGCCGCCCGACCTCTGAGACGGTCATGACGATGGCCTTGACGGCGATCGTGTACGGCACCGAGGCCCACGCGCTCACGCAGATGTTGAGCAGGATACAGCGACGGCCACCGCCCTGCGACACCAGCCCAGCAGCGAGCACCAGAACCACGCCGACCAGCAGGGCGTACACCACGAAACCTGTGCAACGTCCGTCAGGAGCAGATAATAAAAAAAAAGGAGGAAAGAGGTCGCTCCCCCCCCCCCCCCCACCCACCCTCTCTTTAATAAAAAAAAAAAAACTACATTTACCAGCTTTCTTAGGAAGAAATGTTTAGCCTTGGGTGAAATGGAAACTATATCAGATGAACAAAATATAGCTGGTCAATGCTTCGCTCCTCACGTCAGATCTCTTTGCAGAAGGGGATGGAGGTGCCAGCAGCCAGTCCGTCTGACAACTGTGCAGATTGCTTTATCTCAAGGGTGGTGCGCAACAGAGTGCCCTGATTGTAAGGCGTGCTGCAGCCGGGCCGGTGACAAGGGACAGCTAGGTTGCCATAGTGTCATGGTGACCAGATGGACAGCCTGAAGTAACTTCCGGAGATTTCTATTTTAGCTAAATACTATCTAGAATCACTCCCTAACGTTAATAACCAAATAAACGTGCCTTAGCTTTTCTTCCTAAGCAATGGCAGTCGGCAAATAAATTCAAGAAATATGAGCATCACTCATCCCCTCAACTCGGAGCCAGAACAAGCGGCCACGTGGCCTGGTGCTTACCCTGCCGCCAACGTTAATCATAACCACGCGCTGGTGTCGGCAAAGCAGAAAACGCGTACTGAGTACCAGGCATTGTAAGAGTTCGGCTATTCTAATCACTGCAGTGGTTGGACACGAGCCACTACCCGAGTGTCCGTCGAGGCATTGATTGTTACGAGCCGAAGTCGAGTGCTCACGCAGTTCTCGTGTCCAATCCATGAGCCGCGCTCGAATGCCGTCAGGCGGGTGGTTTCGAGCCCGCAATGACGTCATCGATCTTTGCGAAGGCAAGACTGAAAGAAATAGTTCCTTTTTATTTTCGTAATTATGCCGCGACCGAGAAGCTTCTGAATCCGTGGCGGTCTCTGCGAGTATACTTGGGCCAGACTAGGACCAGTGTACCTCTGTAAAGTCCTGAACGTTCCAACCCGATATCCTTTCATGTCCCCAACAAGAACCTCGGTTAGTGGAGTAGAACGAGCATTATATCATCATCGATATGTTGGCTGACAGCGGTGCCGCTACGGCCACAACGGCAAGAAATTCTTTGGAAATATTGGTTCTGAATAAAACGGAGCAGGCAAGACGCCAAAAAGAAGAAGAAAAAAAAAAGAGGGGGGGGGGGGGGGGGGGAAGGAGGGGCTGTTTTTATTTACGGCTGGACAATACCTAATACAGATTGCAATAAAATGCCCAATCTGCATATTTTTTAGCGTCTTATTCTGTCCTAGCCCCATGGAACGCAAGGTATCTCTATTTCTCGCATACATATTAGGAAGTTTTAGTAGACCGTGTTTCCCCCTCCGCTAACCCTCCGCAACGAAGAAACCGCCACTGCGCCTTCGTGCCGATGGCTTTGGCTGTAGACTTCCGGATAGCAGAGGTGCTTAGCGGAGGGGGAAATACGGTCTACTAAAACTTCCTATTACGTTTCGCTTTGTACCGAGAGAAACTGCGGGAGAGGAGGAGTTCAGAGCGTCCGGTGATGTCGGATCGTCGAGTTCTGACTGGAATGATTGTAGACGGAAAGGACGCCAGACCCTGGGGGGCTATGTTGCGCTCCCCAGGAGACTAGGGAGAAGGAAGTGACGTCAGCGATACACCAAACGTAGATTGGGTGTTGACAGAAGAAAACAAAATCAACATCCAATCTGCATTTGCTGCGTTGTTGATGTCACATCCTTCTCCCTAGTCTCCTGGGAGTCCAAAAAGCGCAACATAGCACCCCTAGGGCGAGGAGCAGACGACGTTCTTGCTCGCTCTGATTGGTGGGGAGGCAGTGGGTGGAGAGCGGCCAACCTTTGGGTCTACCCACGAACTTGCACTCTGCATTGGAGTTTATACAAGTGAGTCACCACAGAATCCGTAATGAATTAAGTTCGACTTCTCGCGGAGTTTTACTAATTTCCCTCTTTATGGGGTGAATGAACATATATGTGCATATAAAATTAGCTACATGTTATTTTATCAAGACGGTACGCGCGTTTCAAACGCCCAAAGCATCGTTTCTTCTCCCGACAACCAAATCGTGTAAGGGCTACTTCGCGTAGCGGATGAGCAATGCGCAAAACTTTTTTTTTCTTCTTAATTAGGCTAGGAGTATAGACATGGAACTATGACTGCTGGATCTCTGCAGGGACATGCTAAATTATGATCTGTGTTTTCGGTGTATAATTTTCGGCGAATTGGGGGGTGTTTTCTGGGGTTTACTTTTTCACAAACATTCGGCGTTTTTCTGTGTGAATATTAGGTTTCGGATAAAAAAAAAGTTGGGGTTCCCGTCGAAGAAAATAGGGACATAAAATGCCCCAACGTTTGGGAAACATGTATACCCGAATACTTGAAAGGAAAAACCATCGAGCTCGACGGGGACGGAAACGAGACTTCTTTCAAGTATTCCTATCTATTCAACAACACGCCCGTTTTCAATTATGTTTACCCGTGGCCTGAATAATTAGAAAAAGACCCCGTGCAGACAAGAAAAAAGAAACCAGGCAAGAGGTCCGGTTCCGAAGCAAGAAGCATGCCTGGCGGATAGCGCATTCAACTCAAGTGAAAATGCGTTTTAATATTTTAAAGGGTGAATTGCTCGGCTATAGTTGGTTGTTGAACGACATCAGCGTATGTCCTGTTTGCTCCTTCTACTTTTGTCCCGTCCTTTTGCGCTGTTTTTAATAATGACGTTTTATTTATACAAACGTCTAGGTCTAGGTCTGTTTTCCGAGACAACATTGGCATAAAGCTGTGAACTAAAAAAATTTGCTTCCTGATACGCTTTTTTTCTTATTTTTTTATATTTAAGGGCATTTCAGGTTTTTTGGTTTTCCTCGATTTTGATTAAAAAGCCTCGGGGGTTGATTTTCGGGATTTATCGTTATTGTTCCGCAAACACGGAACCTATACAGTTATAAGGTCTCAGAGGCGTGGTGCTTCCCACGAGAGCTTCGGGGGGGGCACCTGTTTGTACGAGGTAGAGCTCGAGCTCGAGCGCCGTGGTGGGCTCCATCTCGGAGGGGACCCCGAGCACCATGAGCAGGGTGCCCACGATGGTGAGCAGGCAGCAGCTGACCACCAGCACCGACGAGGGCTCGTGCAACAGCGTCGCCGTCAGCAGCGCCCTGCGACAACAGAGACGTCACGTGTGTTCGTCAGGACGGAACCGTCATTGAGTTCGTGGATAATCAACCTTCCCTTGGAAGGTCTTCTCTGGTGTGTGCAATTTTTATGCGGCAACGCGCAAGCGGGGTGCCCCTGAAACCAAACTAACGCTTAATATTAATAGCACACCGTGTAATTTCACGCCTTATCACCGGCTATCATTCAGGTTGAACACTAGTGAAGCGTTCGGCGGAACTTATATCCACGTTCCATTGTGGTTGAGGAGGTCGTTTACAGGATTTAATTATTTTATAATCTAGGGTCACTATACAGGATCAGAAGGCCAGGGAGCCTGGAGGTCTTTCAGGTGTCCCGCCACTGGCGCCAGCTCCTTCGATAACGCTTCGATGTCTTGTGAGCTTCAAACGGGCGCATAGCCAAAGCATGTCGGAAGGCAGAGCACGTGTTGGACGTCGGAAGGAAACGTTATGCCGTTCTGATCCTTCCAGTGACTGGGCGTTGGCCAATCCCAGCATCAGGCGAGCGCAAAGACTGCTCACGTGACGAGACCGTTGGCCATGCCGATGGCGACCACCGCGGTGGAGGAGGTGAACTGGAGGGCCAGTCCCTGGGCCACGTCCGCCGAACTGCCTGCGTACGGCCCGGCTCACGACGGGCGCCGAGTGCGGGAGCGCGGGGGGCAACGCACCCACCGAGCGTTGCTCCCAGCAGCCAGATCGGGTCCAGCAGGCAGCCCAGCTCGAAACCCCCGAGGCCGCCGCTTCCGCCTGCGCATCGGCGAGCGGGTCTTTAAACCACCATGGTGGTTCGACAGTTTCGTGCACGTACTGCGATCAAGAGTTGTATAACCGTTTTCAAAAATGCGCGCCCTCCAGTGCTGCATGCGTCGATTATCCGAGGCCGTCATATTTTGGGCATACGCTTTGAGCACGCGTTGAACCCGCCTAAAAGTGAAGACCTGCGGATGACGTCATCGTTAGTGGATTACCGACCTGCCCCAAGCGGTAAATACGCTGAAACTGGACGAGAGTACGCCACGAAGCGTCAGACGTTTGTCTTGGAGTCGCCGGGTGCTGTCCGGACCGCAAGTTCGTCTGCTTCTTTTTTCAGGGCTTGTGGTAACGTCAGAACGCCGAGCTCTCATTGGCTCCGATAGAGGGATAGTGGGTAGACCTCAATGCTAGCTACCTTGAGGTCTACCCACTATCTTTCCAATCGGGGCCAATCAGAGCTCGACGTTCTGACGTCACCACAACCGCTGCTCAAGAAGCAGACGAACTTGCGCTCCGTATAGAGCTCGAACCAGGTGAAATCTTAAATCGTCTTGTCTGATTATGATTTCCGTCCTGCGACTCCCTATGTAAAAAAAAATGAAAAAAAAGGAAAATAAAAATAATAATACTGACCGGATCAAGCCACACCGGAATCACCGGAGTCGTTTTTTGAATTTACCGAAAACATGGAAGCCGTTGACTGGAACCGGCCCGAATGGAAGTGTGCCTCTGGTCGAGCGCAGATTGAAGTCATGGCCGCCAGATACGAGACCGAATCTGACATGGATCTGACATTTTCGTACGGGATAGCTCGCCAGCTCTGCTTAGTGGAAGCTGGTCTTCTCCTTTCGAACTGTTGCGTCGCGGAGAAGCGGCATTGCGGGTGACCAGCGCTGTGGGAGGCACGAGCGCAAAACGAGCAGTCTTGAGTTGGCATAGCGATATTTGTATCGCGATACTGTAGGTCGTCACTGACTTTGATAACTTTCAACTGTAACTCGATACATTCTTTTTTTCTTTTTAAGTAAGCGTAACGACGACCTAAATACT